ATTTATCAACCCTCTCGAGCGCCTCCCCCTGCTTAGGACTTTGGTGTGGAGGAGGTGGGGGAGTACGAGCTCGACGGCGTGGGTTTGGCTCCCCGTCGTCGCCGCTCGCACTCGGAGAGAGGTCGTGCGCTTTTCCTTGCTCGGCCATTAGGCTGAACAAGAAAAACTTGGCGCACACGGAAGAGTCTGAGAGCTCAGAAAACACACGCTGAGCCCCCTACCTGGCGCGCCAGATGACGGAGCTCGTGGCTCCTCACCGGGAGACCGCGCAGGCCCCTCTTTGCCAGTTCGGCCGGGGGCTTAGGGTGAAATCTCAAGCTCTCGCTCTCCCTCTGTATCTGGAAAGATCGTCTGCCCGCAAGACACACGAGACACGGCGATGTATACAGGTTCGGGCCGCTGCGAAGCGTAATACCCTACTCCTGTGTTTTTGTGGATTTGTGTATGAATGAGCTACCAAGTGTGAGCCAACTTCTTCCCCGTTCTAAGCTCTAAATCTGGAAAAGAATCCCCCCCTTCTCTATGGGCAAGGTCCTCCTTTTATACTTCAAGGGGATACCACATGCACCCTTCCCTTTCCAAACTGGACTTTTCTTCTCTTTATTGACGGAGATTGGTATGGTTGCTGTCCGAATGACACTCCGATGGGACAGCCCACACCTACCTCCACTCCCGGCGGAGACAGGCGCAACGTGGGATCGTGGCTGCCCGTTGCTGACGCGACCAGTGCCAGACCGGTCATTCTTGTCCACCACGCGTCAGTTTAACAACATGCATGTTTGCCCTTCCTTGTGTAACACCTTGCCTGTAATGGTTAGGATGAAGCCTGGTATATATCGATCGGGGTTAACGTGCCATCTCTGGGATGTAACACGCTAGCTCCAGCTGGGGACGAGTGCTTAGAAGCTCACACCTTGACGGGATGGGGTAAGGCGTGCGTCAGACCGCCAGTCGCCACCTAACCCGTGATCTGACCGGTCTGTGACTGGTCACAGACCGGATAAAGGAACGCGCCGTACTGCGCTGCATGCAGCGTGACACGCCTGACCAGACTGCAATAAATGCTGTTAGGTGAGCACAGCTGTGCTCACTTATCCCATATATGTGGCGCAGACTTCCTTAAGGGGGTCGGGGTGCCTCGGCCCTCGGGGCCGGGGCAAGCGCAACCCGACCCCCCCTCGGGGGAAATCAGGAGGAGGGCGGACACCTCACCCTCGGGCCCGACGTCCCCGAAGGTGCCAGGCCACGTGGGCGATTGTGTCTGCCTCAAGCCTCTAGTCATGATACTCCCGGTCCCATATCACCGACACTATTAATTCCTGAAGGCGATAAATTAGCCAGCATAAAGTATATCAACAACCTGAAGGCGAGGGATCGATATGATGACCATGTTGGCCTGGTGAAAATCATCCGGGAGTTTTGAAGCCCGCCAAGAGTGGGCATCCGATTCTAACATTTTTGTAGGGGTAATCTTCGTAGGGAACTTCAATATTTCTTAACTAGAAAGCTCTAAGAAGTATTATGTTTGAGCCAGATCGAGAAAGAAAAAATAGGTGGGTCTCATTAAAATAAAACAGAGCTACAACCCTCCTCCAATCTACATATGGCAAAAAAAAAAAGATTGTTAGGGTTTCGTGGGGGCTCCCATGATCCTCATGACAGTAGTGGAGGTTTGAGCCCCAACGCTCCCATGATGGATCCGCCCTGTTTTGTTTCGGCAGGAGGAGTTGGGGAACTTTTCTTTACACATAAAACGAGGTAGCTCACTAAATTTGAGAAATATATTAATATGATTTTTAAAATAATTTTTTGATTTTTTTAAAATACACCATTCAATGAACGTTTATAAAGTATGCGTGTGAAAATCAATGAAGCAAAAAGGTAAGAAAGTGATATACCGTACGCAGCCTAATTATTTATCCCTGCATTTACTAAGGCTATGTTCGGAAGGAGGGGTTGGGAACCCCTCCTCCCCGGCACGTAAAATGAAGCTCGTATTATTGCATGATTAATTAAGTATTAACTATTTTTTTAAAAAATAGATTAATTTGATTTTTTTTAAACAACTTTCATATAGAAAGTTTTTTTTATAAATCGTAATATTTAGCAGTTTAAAAAGCGTGTGCGTGGAAAACGAGAGAGGCTGGTCGGGAAAATAGGGAAAGAACACAGCCTAAGCAAACATCATGATTCTTTTTTTACCTTCCTAATTAATCTCTCCTCACTGTATCCTTAAAGTATATCACCCCCTGCAGACTACTCTTCTTTGTGAATTGTGAACTGGATTAGCCTCTCTGTGCCACCACTATTTCTTCATATTTTTCTCCTATAAATTTTATCTCGGACTAGTCTGGCAACAATTCAACCACTGTACAAGGGCAAACGACCATCCCGGACAACATCAATTTTCAATCAAACATGTGCCACAAGACACATATAACAATTTTGTTAATTGCTTTCTCGAAATTAAATAAACGAAGAAGGTCCATGTTTACAATTAGGGTATTACAGTTGCAAACCTGGCCAGCTACTTGCATGGTCAACATGCCTATAAAAACAAGAAATAAAAATTGCTGCTTCACCATCACCAGTTGATGCTTTTTAATTAGTAGTACTATCTTGTTACAGTCACACATCACATCTTCCAACTGCATGCATTTTCTGCTCCATATGTCATGAATAAATTATTTTGATGGTCATGCTAGTTGATTCGTATTTTTATCATTCTCAACAGTCTTTGTTGCAAGAAATTAACTACGTACCAGTTGGAACTACTATCGGTTTGTAAACAATTCAACCGTGCATGTATGTAGTTAATTACTACAAGAGTACTTTATTTTAATTTCTTGGAACAGATGCAAATGAACACGTACACGTGATGATTTGCACACGTCTGTGCTCTTGCTAGCTTGGAGTATGTTTTTAAAGAAACACAAAATGCTTGAAAGCAATCAATCAACCAGTGGCTGCGAGCAACTTGTCTAGCTTATGTCGTAATCTCAACTCATCAAAGTGTTAACTTAGTACATTCCCGTGCTAAATTCCAGGGCGTTGACCTAGAGCTATATATAGTTTTGTTCTGTTCTCACCTCTGTAGTTAGCTCCGTCCATTTATGATGTATTTTATTTCCTTTTTCTTTTTGGCGAAGAGATGCATGCATACTTGCATGATTCGATCGATCGCTCTTTATTAGGCATATACACTATACTCCCATATATTTAGATTATTTGTGATTGTGCAAGTTAAATTCATAGGTAGATCACTCTATACCCAAATTAAGCCTTACATAGAACGACAAGCTTCAGTCTAGTCCATCAAAGATAAGGTCATTTGCGTAACGAGGCATTTTGATCCATTACAGATGTGTCGATCTGGCGTGGTGACAATATATTGACATGTGGTTATATATATCCTCTCCATATTGTAGACACTTTTTTTTTCCCGGGGAGACTAATTTCTGAAAGGCACTAATTAAAACTAAGTTTTGACTTCCGAGAACTTAACTAATAACTACAGACTAATTTCTGAAAGGTACTAATTAAAACTAAGTTTTGATTTCCGAGAACTTAACTAATAACTACAGATTACAATTTGCAAATTATAACTACTCTTAATCTACCGTTTTCTTTGAAATTATTGATTTTTTTTCTCGAACGCGCAAAAGGATTGCACGTCAATGTATTAGAAGAAAAGAATATTTGTTATACAATGCAATCAACCAGACCGACTTATACCAAGGAAGGAGGGAAAACAATAAAAGACCAAGGAAAAAACTGGGTTACTGCGATTCCAAACAACAACGGGAAGGGGATAGAGCCCACTACCCTCTCAATAAAACCCCAAAATTAGCAATGCCAGCTAACGACTATAGATAGCCTTATGAAACTATTGAATTCACGAAATTATGTAACTAGAGTTGAATTAATTGTAAAACCGTAAAATAAGTTAAAAATGGCATCAAATCGTATAAACTAAACATAGATTTAACAACAATTAAATTAGACACCTGCGTGTTCAAACGGGATCGCGCCCGAGCTGGCACAAGTTTTTAATTGATTAAAGCCTCTGTTCCAACTTCCAATAAAAGGATATTAATTCAATTGAGCTCGCCTTAAACATGCAGGTCCCACATGCGCGTGGCTTGTGGATGGTTTTATTAATTCTGACAGATAAATGCGGGTCAAACTCAAATGGCGCGTTGTTCCTCCACCCAACCGCGCTACAGTACGTGTGCCGTGCAAAATATGCTGCGTCTTTCTTTGAATGTGTTGTATGCATACATTCAAAATTAACTTCTATTGGTAATTGATAGGACACGAAACGATGAAGCATCTTAATTGATGTGATTAATTTGAGAGTGATGAATATCTTAGTGTCATTGATCTTGGTCTCTTTTTAAGATGATTAAGGGCATGTTTGGATTGATGCCCTACCAAAATTTTGGTAGGGCCAAATCTTGGGCAAGTTTTGGTGCTATTAAAATTTTGGTAGAGTAGAGTTGAAAATATTTATTTGGATTGAAGCCAAAATTTGCCTATAAGAGACAAGTTCATAGGCAAAGCCAAATTTATAGCATTGGTAGAGTAGTAGAGGTGTTTGGTTTGCTACCCTACCAAAATTTTGGTAGGACAAATTTTGGTAGGGTAGCAATCTAAATTGGCCCTAAACTATAATGGAGGGAGTATAATAGAGGTTGAAGTAATTTTGTGAGTACCAAAAGTGGCATAATTAAATTGATATCATGCTACCTCTAGTAAAAATTATTGGACGTTGGAGAAGCAGAGTTGACTGCTCCTCCTATATATTTAATTATATAAACGTGGAGTAGTTTTTAAGGTTTTTATCTTACCGGTAGGGTCCTTTGGCATGCTGAAAATGTGGCACTAATTAATTAATCAAGAGAGGATGACTAACGTGCATATATCAACCGCGTCTGATCATCACTCTTACGCGTGTCGATCAGACCGTACGAACGTTCACATAAACAGAGATACTCCCTCCGTCCCCGGGGAGGTATGTTTTTTTTTTTTAAACTTAAACATCCATCAATACAGGGCGACAGAGTTCACGGGAATAAATCCCAGTACATTGCAAACAGATCAAAAGGAAGCATAAAACCATCCGTTTCGAAAGAACGGGGAAACTGCACTTAAGGCTACAAACTTCGTGATGAAACCACACTGCAAAGAAGGTGCACATCGACAGGGAGCTGCGGCAATGCCGCGACGAATGCAACCTTGGGCCTCCTTTGGCGTGCAGCACGCTTGACAAACCGGTAATCTCCATCCGGTTGCCTCCACGAAGACTGCACAAAACGGAGGTTTGCTGCTAAGCCGTAGATTTTGAGGGAGCATCACCGGACTCAGCAAGAGAAGTCCACGGAGTTCGTCGTTAAATCTGAGGAGCGTGAGCTCAACCCGAACAACAAACCCTGCATGGAATGAGCTGGTGGGAAACACAGAGGAAGAAGGAGCCCACATCCAGATCCCCAAACCCACTGAAGCACTCGAATGGTGGCAAATAAACTGCTGTCTTCTTGGATCGACATGCGGGAATGGGGGAGAGAAATCCTGCGAGACTTGACTTATGGAACCATGGCATAGGAAGCACTCAAGCATGCACCGGCAGAATCGCCGCCACCTCGCCAACGGGCAGTCAAGCACCACGAGCAGCAAGCTCTGGGCGATAGCTTGCCCTGGCGAAGCAGGCCTCAAGAAGCTGCCGCCGCCGTCTCTAGGAACGGGGCAGCGACCTCCCGGACACCGATGACGAAGCCACTGACACTGCCACAGGGAGCCAGCTTTTTCTGTCGATTCATCAGGACAGTGACATCCCGGACGCCGACGACGAAGCAACTGGCGCCGCCGCAAGGAGCCGGCTTCTCCCGATTGCCGACGACGATGTAGCCGCCGCCGCCGCCGCAAGGAACCAGCCTTTTCCGTCGATTCATCCACCGGTCTTCGGATCTCGCATCTCCACCGCCACCACCCGCCGCCGCATCCGACCACACCGGCACCCATGGAGCTCGTCGGCAAAAGACCAATTAGGGACAAACCCTAACTACAGGAGACACCTGACGACCTAATAATAGATCTAACAACCTAATACTAGTAGAGGGGAGGTGGCCGGACCTCTCCTCCAACCCTCGCCGGTGGCAAGCCGCCAGAATCGAAGGGGAAGAGGGGCCGGTGAGGAGAGATTTTGGGGAGAGTACTGTAGAGGGAGGAGGGGAACGAGAGAAGGGGAAAGTATCGGTCGCCTTCTCCCGGGGAGGTATGTATATCCAGAGAGAGATCGGAGTACACGGTAGTAATTCACACTTACTCCCTCTCCCTCTGTTTACATAATATAGCAACCTAGAAAATACTACGAGTGGACATAGATACTTTTTATTTGATTCTCGGTTATTATATTTTATGATGAATGGAGTACTTTCTCCATCCAAAAAACACGTTATCTAGCATAATGGTTAAAAAAGAGATTATAGTGCTCCTAATGGGGTGTTTAGATCCAGGGGTGTAAAGTTTCGTCGTGATACGTCAGGTATTATATAGGGTGTCATATGGGGTATTCGGACACTAATAAAAGAACTAATTACATAATCCGTCGGTAAACCGCGAGACAAATTTATTAAGCCTAATTAATCAGTCATTAGCAAATGTTTACTGTAGCACCACATTGTTAAATCATGAAGCAATTAGGTTTAAAAGATTCGTCTTGCAAATTAGTCACAATCTGTGTAATTAGTTATTTTTAGCCTATATTTAATACTTCATGCTGGTGTTCAAATACTCGATGTGGCAGGATGAAAAATTTTAGAGTGGGATCTAAACAGGGCCTAAATGATATACGGTTGAAAGTTGAGTAGTACTTGAAAAATACAATAATAGAAAGAAATTTGAATGAAAAGAGATGAATGTGATAAGTAGTAACTAGAGTGATAAGTCTTTCAGGATAAATTTTAAATTTTAGAAAGATAACTATTTTAAAGCGGAGGTAGTGATTGTTCAGAACATAAGGAGTATATATAGGGCATGTTTGGCACAGCTCCAGCTTCACCTCTCAGCCAAACAGTTTCAGCTCCACCTAAAATAGTAGCAGAGCTAGGTGGAGCCCTATCACAAAAGGAACTAGAGAAGTATAGCTGGGTTTAGACAGCTCACAGCTCAACTCCACTCCAGACCCAACACCAAACTTAGAAGTTGGAGCTATATATGTGTCCTTACTCCACGTTGCAAGAGCAGTATACTGTATAAATATTTATATAATCGAATTCATCCAAGTTCCCCCCCTCGGTCAGTGTGATGCCACGTGAAATATATACCTACGACTAACTAAATTAAATATTAAGCTTCCAGAAATCTGAATATCTGATGATAAATTATACTCCAGCCGAAGTTGCGTACTAACCGAGTATCTATATATATATACACACTATAGGGCGACGCGTAAAAAATTAATTAAGATTTTGCAAATTAAGCCCATGATACTTATGTTATCCAAAAACATGCAACAATATCGAGTGGATCGAAGTGATTATCTTAATTTAATAAATAAACAATTTAACATTACAGAATTTTAAGTTTAATGTGGCGGTTGTAATTAACGGTTAATGACAGTTGGGGGGTACGTGCTTAGCTAACGATTGGAACATGCATGCACGTCCTTCGCAATAGCTAGCTATATCATGCATGATCTGAACTTAATTAAGCTGCAACTTTCTCCCCTAAAAAAATTGCAAGTGGACACCTGGTCAGCCTATGCTAATTAATTATTTGCTAGTTAAAATATAATATGCAATATTATCCACCATATGTGTGCAGCAATAGTACACAATAGTATCATGTAATTAAAGTACTATAGTCGCACCATGCATGTGATGTAATGAGATTATATTACTCATTGCTGGCCTGTCGAAAGAAACCCAAGTATAAATAAGATGATCAACTCAGTTCTAAAAAAAAAAAAAGAAGATGATCAACTCAATGGACCCTACCTGACACTAATTTATTTATTTATTGAAGGAAACTGGCACTAATTTTATCATGGCGTGTGTACTAGTACATGTGGAGTGTTAGGTAAAGATGCAAAGTAGAGACTAGAGAGTGATTGTGATTTTATTATTAAGTAGTAGAGCAATCAACCATTCATATTTCTCAGCAGAAGGAAAAGGGGATTCCTCTCGCGATTCTTCGGCACGCTATATCGAGATATCAATTGCCAGATATGAAACAAAGTATACATGATTAATTAATTATTCTAGAAACTAACCAAGGTAGACTATAATGCTATAAACTATATTCGTCACGTTTACATGCAAACACGCATGCAGTAGCGTTCCATTGAACTTATTTAATATTTATATAGGTTACTTTTTGTCGCCATCAATTTTCACTTTTTTTTTCTATAATATATAGAACAAATGCCCATGCGTTGCACCGGGTGAACATTATTTATTTATTTTAATCTATTATTGTTATATGGTTTAGTTATGTGAGAATTTGCTTGGATATATATATTCTGTTTTTAGAAAATTATGAGCTGCAATTATGAATCCGATCGTCTCAAGTTAGCATGCGAGTTTTTTTAAAAAAATTCTTATACGACTCCTTCTATATTTCCAAAAGCGAACGAACTTAAAAATTAAAAATTGACTCAAATACGAATATGTATTTCCAAAAGCAAACGAACTTAAAAACCGACTCATACATGGATGACGTACCAAAGTATCGGCAAAAACATCTTCAATTTTTATAATAGTAGAGATATATCGAGATATCTACTGGACTACTCATGAGGTGATTGGATCAGGCCCATTTGGAAATTCTTAGCTAGCCCAGGTTATAGTTGGGCCAAGCCCATCACAAAATCCTTCAAGACCGGATCACCTGCTACAAGTACATACACACATAAGAATAAATGTACTTTTGCAGCAAGCAGTTACAAAGAAATGTTCTCTTAGAAAAATGAAAATCCAGCTCTCTATGCATGGCATTATATAAATACATTCACATATATATGTTTATGGAATGATATATGTGTAGAAGACATATATATACAGTTATGATCTGGTACCTCAGGTGTCATACCAATGCCCGTAGTCTCTCAGAAATCCTCGAAGCCTCTATGCCAATTCTTGAGCTAAAGGCCTGCATACAGTTCAAGAAGAAGTCTAATTAATTGAGTATATATCGATCTGAAAGCAGAGATAGATGATGCGAATTATATCTGAATGAACTAGTATATAGTTATTAATTAGTTGACGAATACATATAATAAATTAATTAGTTGGCGTATATATAGGTGGTGGTGGAGTACATACCCTGGAGTAGATGGTGTAGTAGAAATTGTGGGCGGCGAGGGAGAAGTTGGCGGAGATGATGTCGGCGCCTTCTTCCTCGAGGACGGTGATGACGTCGTGGAACTTGACCGGCCTCGCTGCGCTGCAGATCAGCACCACGTCCAAGCTGATCAGCGACCCCTCCTGCACGTGCTGCCGCACCTCCACCACCGCCGCCGCCGCCGTCGTCCTCGTCATATCTTCTTCTTCTTCTTCCCCGCCGCCGCCGCCGCTCGTCGACTGGCCAGCAGCAGCAGCTGGTCCTCCTCCTCCTCCTGAGCGGCAGCGCGATGATGTGATACTCATCATGCTCCTCTTGTGGTGCAGCTCGTCCACCCTTTCCTTGAGCTTCTTGATGTAGGCCGCCGCTTCGTCCAGGCTGCCCAGCTGGGTCCTAGACGCCGCCTGCATCTGCATGCACATTCATTTTATTTATTTCCTCGCTAGCTCCAACCAGCTTAACTAATTAATTTACTGCCCAACAATTAATCGCATATATATATATATATATATATATATATATATATATATATATATATATATATATATATATATAGAGAGAGAGAGAGAGAGATCTTATCCTACCAAAAATATTGTACCCTAGCTCTGTGCTTCTAATAATAAGTTTACTTGTCATTTTTTACATCTACTAGCAAAATGCCCGTCGTTGCACCGGGTAATATATAACAGGGTGGCTGAAATTTGATCAGAACTATTTACATGAAGAAAATGAGTGGAATTGAGTTGATGGCACATCCGAATCTCGACATATAGAAATTTTATTTTCTTATGCTATGCAAGCAATTTGGAAGGATCCGATCGAGACACACAATTTTAAGCCGGCCCGGCCGGCCCATTCAATGAAGTCTTGAGGATTGTCTAATTAAGACCGCGCGCAAGATCGAACTCTCTAACAATGTCTAGCTAGTATAGTAGCCTAATTTCATGTGGATTTACATTAATTAACATTTCATGTAAGGACCGATGAGACAAAACTAGATCTAATTAACCTTAGAGCAAACCAAAGAAATTAGTGCATATATGAACATTATTTTAACCAGCATTGAACACTAATTAGTCATCCAATAGCATATATAAGCTCGATCAACAATCTTGTAGTAGCAAACTAAAACTCAATAAAAATTAATTAGTGAGTAGTCGATCCTAATTCCTAGCTACCTTGGACATGGAGCAGTGTTCTTTGGGGATGAGAGAGGCGAGCTTGACGCAGAGGCCCTTCATGTCCTGCCGCCTCCTGCGCTCCATCTCCTTCCTCTCCGCCGCCGCCGCCGCCGCCGTGCTGCTCGCGCCGCTGCCGCTGCTACTCGTCGCCCTGCTCCTCCTCCTCCTGCCGCCGCCGTCCGCCTTCTCCTGATCCATAATTAGTTAACTGATTGATCTGATTGGTCGTCGACCGACGATGGCTAACTGGTCGTCTCAGCCAGCTATATATCTATAACTGAAACTCAATTAATTCTCTCAACCATGCATTTACCCATTCCTTGACAGATAAAGGAAAAATTGTGTATACATATCACATTAAGAGCTAGCTAGCTAGCGCCCGCGCGTTATCTCTCACTCTCTCTATGTACAGAGAGACGAGTGCTCATATTTATAAAGATGAGAGAGCAAATCAGCACCATTCGTTTTTTAAATATTAATTAAGATAGCCAAAGCAAGCTAATAGCAAAATGAAGCAAGATATATCCTTCCAAATTATACGGAATAAATTTGCACGCAGCTGGTAGCTCTAGCTAGGCCCTTCCGTTTGTATTTATTCCGTATAATTCTATATATATATATAGCATGCATACAATCAATGTTTCCTCTATCTTAAAATATAATAATTTTTAGCTATCAAAGTTTGTTCCAAAATATAATAACTTTTTCACCAACATTCTGATCCCAACCAATCATAATATCCATCATTAAATTTTCTCACATGCCTACACTTCTTATCCAGTTACAACATTTTTTTCATTTAATTTTACCACTTTCTTAGTAATCGTGTCTAACCATATACTTCCTCCGTAAAAAAAAACCCAAACTATACAGCACGGATGGGACATTACATAGCACAACGAATCTAGATATAATCATATCTAGATTCATTATACTATGTAATGTCTTTATATTCTAGGGTAGGGGTAGTATATTATATATGACCAAACACAGCAACACAATATATATGTGTTCTAAAACATTAGTGATAGCAAGGTAGCCTATACATATTTTAGAGCACGTAACTAATATATGATCCCTGTATACTATAGTATTTACACGTACACGTACCTACAGCTAGCTATAGCCCCACTACACCACCAGGACGGCTGCAAATTCATGTGGTGCTGCTGGGACCCTGCATTAAATGCACTTGCGATAGCCAGGGTCCACAAGCGTAGGGTGTGGTTCACGCCAAAATTAAAAATTTGATTAAAATTGATATGATGTGATAGAAAAAATTAGAAGTTTGTGTGTAGAAAAATTTTAATGGGATAAAAAAGTTAAAAGTTTTTTAAAAAAAGTTAGGAACTAAACCAGGCCGTACTCTTACAGTGTTTGCAGGAGCTAGAGTCTGCTCTTTCTGGATCTCATTCATTTCGCCCTCTATTCCATCTAGTATTACACTGACTCCCATGCTAATCTCTCAACTATTTTCTGTACTGATGACATACTACCCCGTTCATATTTTCGGTGTGCTTGTTATGACTTGTTCATGTGCAATTTTGTCTACGCAAATTTATACTAATTGATTACATCTCATTGAGTAAAGACCGAGATTTTATTTCATTAACTAAAGAAAAGACATAAATGGTGTCGGTTTTCATACAAGAACCAGTACATATATATTGCACGTACTCCAAAAGAGTTGCGTTAAGTACAGAAATTAAAAGGGAAGGATAAAAATGAAAACAGTGTTATAACTAGCGTCGTACGTACTAAATGTTAGGGAGTGTTAATTCGGTGCCGCTAGATACGATCGTAGCAGCCACAGCTAGCTGCATGCTGCATGACCCAAGCTTGCATTGCTGCTCTACTATGGCAGCCAGGCGCCAGCACATCCGAACGTTGCCGCTAATTAGTTCTAATACTAACCTTTTATATAACCTCTAAAACTACTCTCTTCGTTTCAATATATAACGAACTAAAATGAGAGAATAGATCCATTTTATAACTACGAATTTAAAAATTATTCATATCTATTTAAATTCGTAGTTCTAAAATAGGTCTAATCTTCTATTATAGGTTATCAAATTTTGCAAAGGGAGAGTAGTACGTTCTTGTAGCGCTATATATACAGTATTATTAAACTTGATAGCGCTAACATAAACAGTTGATGATATATAGATCGCCTTGAATTGAATGTTGAACAATATTCCAGCTAAATGCATGTTACTCGTACGCGCGCGTAGGAGTAGGGAGTGGTTGTGATAGTGTGTCAACTAAAGCGTGTGCTGGCATTGAGCATTAACTAACGTTAATTGCTGGTGACGGCAGCAAGGGTGACGTAAGGTGTGTGTATGTGTTGCACATGCATCTATTGATGTTGTGGTTGTAACTGCTGACTGGCTAGCAGCCTACAAGATGGATGGATACTCATACATCTAATATCTATGGATATGAAACAGATACTGTAGATAGGAGACAAATGTACACAAGGCACAAGAGGCTGTAGTAGCAGCTAGCTAGCACAGCTGCACAAACCAACAAACATATACGTACAATACACTTGGTACATCCACAGGTACGTTAGCCACAGCCCAAACTTTATTCAGTTTAACATATACACACGTCCCGTCCCAAAATACTACTAGTTACTATCTCTCTCTAAAATTTAAAATTTATCATAAAAAATTTAGACAATAAAGTATTACTAATATTTGTCCCATGCATTAATCATTTTTGGTCCAAATTTCTACTTACTCTTCTCAATCACCCTTTTATTTTTAAGTTTCAATCATATATTATTTAATAAGATCACTATAGTATTCCTTTTCAAACCTTAATATATGGTAAATAATCTAGTAAAACGTCAAAAATTGCATGACGGAAAGAATATACTCCATACTGCAATAGTACTTCTGCATATACGACAAACATACATACCCAAGAGACTGGAATATTGCAGGTTCTAGCTGTCCAGTCACACTAGTCGAGCTTTAGCTATAGATTGGCAGATATGTATAGTACAGGACGATATATATACACATGTCGTTTTGGTCCACCATATATACAGGCCGGGCGGGGACCAGAACAAAACATACTTTGAGGAGATTTGAGCAAATGAAAAATTGTTAAAGTAATTTCTAAAATTAAGTCAATTCTATAATTCAAAATAAGTTATAGCTCAAACAAACAGAGACAATTGATTGTTGGTAGAACAGGAGTATGTAGTAAAGCTAAGCCCTGGGTTTCCGTGTCCAATGTTTGACCGTCCGTCTTATTTAAAAAAAATTAAAAAGACAAGTCACGCATAAAGTATTAATCATGTTTTATTATCTAACAACAATGAAAAGACTAATTATAAAAAAATTTCATATAAGACGGACAGTCAAACGTTGGACACGTAAATCTAGGGTTTGTCTTTTTTTTTGGACGGAGGGTGTACATCCCAAAATTTGAACAATATGCAGCCGTGTTGTCCAAATTTAAAGTATACGACTGTATTTATTTTGGGATATAGGAAGTAATATTTTTTTATGGAAGCAATAGTTAATTAGACTTAATTAATTACCCTTACATGTATGTACATGTGTATACAATGTATGGTCAGGATGCATATATACTACTGGTTTGTCCTGTGTGGCGCAGACGATCTGAGAGAGGATCCATCGACATGGACCTGCATATAATTACGAGCGGTGAAATCAGTCCAAGTACTGCTACTCCGTAAAAAAAAAAAACGTTAGCTATAAATCTGAACACATATATATTCACGTTTGTACTTAGGATTAGATTTTCTTAGACGGAAGGGTACACTATTAGTGTACACTGTAGCTAGAAAAACAAAACAAAAGGCTACGAATAATATATCCAATTAAGCAGATCCAGATATATATGCCTGTCCTGATCGTACATACATACATACATGTACATGTATATGCATGCATGCATATGTATCCACAACGACTAGGTAGCTACTGTTTGTACTGTACTAGCCAGTTTGTATCACTCTCGCGGTTCATGCATGTATCCATCGTAATGCTCTCCATCCGTACCTATGTCCCTTAAAAAAAGTTAGTTTTAAAGACTGCCGTGCAATTTATTATTACGGAGAGAAAACAAGAACAAAATACTAATTGCTCCCTTTGAATTGCATAAATGGAAAAACGGAGGCATAAGAAAAACACATGATTCTGACAGCAATACAATAGCAAAAACAGATGATTGTAAAACACAGAAAAAACACATGAATACTCGTTTGATTGAAGCATAGGAAAAATATAGAAATCGAATAAGGATTCAAAGAAAATTTTCCAAGAGATTAGAGCTCTTGATAAGTTTTCTTCAAAATCTCTTGATTCAATTTTTTTTTCAAATACCTTTATAGAAAACTTTTCTATAAAATTGAAATTCTCCAAATTTTTTATGTTTTCTATAAATCAAAGGGACCTTAAAGATGTCTAATAGACCTCACTCTAAAAATACATTTGTTTTTTGTTGGACAAATTCTTCAGTTAAAACTACAGTCTTTTGAAGACGTGGGGAGTACTATTATTCACACGATTATTGATTATTGTTGTGGATTATTTGTTTCACTGTAGCCCATTCTTCTCTTTGTCTTGCCACTATTAATACATTTACTGTTGCATTCTAGTAGTATGACTGTATGAGTAGTAGCTCTCCACCATAGTCTCCAGCGAAATTAATTTGAAGATCGTACAAATTAAAATGAGGGTTTGAAATATCGATCCTGTTGCATAATATGGCAGTGAAGGGGGAAAATGCATGTGATTGGGTAGCAGCAGCCGGTGATCGATCGACAATGATACTTCTCCTCCATCCCAAAATATCCATAACACCTTATATTTTAGGATGGATGCTGGGGCGGATCCACAATGGGGGCGGAGGGGTCTTGAGACCCCACTACCGCCCCCGGGACAATGGAGACCCCCCTAAGCCCCCACTAAATTTTTTTCCATAGATCTATAGGATGTGAGGACTGGAGGTTCGATTTATATTGATGTAGTTTATTTAGCCCCCGCTACTATTTTTTTCTAGATCCGCCCCTGGATGGATGGAAATCTATAACTCCTTATATTTTGAAATGGATGAAGTATGTGGTTTAGCTCTAGAAATAATAGTCAAATTAGAAAGTCTAATCGCTCGCCTTTATTGATTTGTCTCAGGGAGGACCTACTGAAGAATTCCTTGATAAGCAGTCCTGATGCATACTGTCTCCAAGTTCATACCCTTTGCCTGACCTGTACCCGTGGAGAGAAATTTATTGACCACTCTCCCCGTCCCAAACATAGAACAACTTTTCCATATAGTCTAATCTAAATCAATCACAACCATCCCAATTAATTTCTTCACGTACTTCTTTTTTCTCAACTAATTAATCATAATTTTGTCTGTTTTAATTCCATCTATAGGTAACGAAGGAGGGGTAGTAAAAAAGAATGCAATTATAGGAGGGATGGACAGCTAATTAATTCATGAACAGCAAGCAGCATGAACACTGCTGCTGATGTTAGCAGCCACACGTCATACCACATGCGTGTAGATGCCACGTTATCTCCTTCAATTACTACGGGTAATTGAAAGTTCCAGTTGACCTTTATGCCAAACGCCTTCACATTCTGTTTGGCAAGTGTGGTGTGGACATTGCCCGCCTCAATGTCACTGTACCATCCACAGAACGTTCATAGGATGTAGACACAACTGCAACCCAGATTCTTTCTTCTACGTACAACTGCCTAATAATGCAAGTGTTTTCTTCCAGCAGTACAGTACACGTTGGAATAACTAAGATGCTCTTGTTATCTTATCTACTCCTGCTATCTCCAAATTCAAACAAGTCTACTTCGTCTCAATTAATTACACAGCAGATGATACATCAGTTATACTTGTATACATGTTCAAGCACTGCTATGCGTCATCTTCAAAATTGCAAGCTCGTTGGAAGCAACCAGCAGGCAGGGACGTCACCCGTGAACTGATGATCGTCACTACCCTACGATGCAGGGAATATTTCCAGAGCATCCTAGGACTTGCCTATTTATCTTTTCCATTCTATTAGCATAAATTAGCTTCAATTCTAATCAGCGGCACGCTTCCATCCCTTGCAACGACAAAACTCATGTTTCTAAAAGGAAGAAGGAAAAAAAAGAAGAAAACTCCCATCACCTGGGGCCCTTGTGTTTAAATCGCCTATGGTCCTTCACAGCAGAAGATACAGCCGAAAGAATATGCCAAACCTATCACCCGCTTAATTACATACATCCAGCCAATCACGAATACAAATTATACACCACGGTATAGGAGCCAAACCTACTTGAAGAAAAGGCTCTTCTTTCTTCCTCTCCTCTTCTCAACAGCCTGCAAAATGCATGATGTTTCACATCAGTATTTAAGGAACGTGAGACGACATATTCTCATCAAGTCAGGCAGCTAATCCTGGCTCTACGGTTAACCTGTTAGTCACCATTCAGATATGCTACCTTGGGGGAAAACACAAGAAATGAACTTTGACAACACAGCTGGACAAAGTGCACTACAACAAGTATTAATAGGCTGGATGGAGTACAAAGTTTACTTTCCAAGCTTACAGCAAAACTTTAGTGCGCACGTTTGTCTGGAGGGTTGATGTGGACTCCTTTGTAACAGAGAAAACACAAGCATAGAGGAAACGTAAACGTATGATTTTGATATAAAATGGAAGTGTAAATTGGAGGATTGTAAAACAGACCACAGAAAAAACTTAGAAATTCAAGAGAGAAATTTTCTAACAGGTTACACCTCATGCTAACTTTCATCTCAAATCTTCATACATTGGGCCATTCCAAAGAAATCCCAAAAGATTTTTAGTGCTCCAGTCCTTCGTTCCAAATGGTCAAACAAAAATCCTACAAAGTTCTTGCACAGATCATTTGTTTGAAAGGGCCTGTCTTGCACCGTTGCACGTGCCCAACGCTCACCATCTCCAACTTATGCAGGACAAAATGAATCACTCCGTCCATGACGCATCTAACATGTTCGCCATGAAGCTATACCGATCAGCAACCTCATCAATCTGCAATAGATTGCAAACATCATAAATATATTGATATGAAACTATGGCGGTACATGTAGAATTGGACAAACCATTTTTTTAGTTGGTCTGCCAGCTCCATGCCCTGACTTGACGTCAATGCGACCAATTATTGGATTGACCTGTGGTGTATCCTCAATGCTAGTGCACAAGACATACTGCAGTGTCTGAATAACAAGAGAAGCAAAGGGGTGAGAACATAAAACTAAAGAGGTGAAAAACCACATTCGGAAATCGAACGACTAATCCATCATCCAATACTTTCATAATCACGGTGCTTAGAAAATCAAACAACTGTTTAATGTATCAAAATAAAAATACATAATCAGAATCCGATTAATCCTTTCAGAGCACCTCAATGTTGCTTGACATTCCAGTTAACAGAAACACACCAAACTTATCATTGTCACACGCCACACATGAAATTTGGTTTTTACAACAAAGACCCCTATCTGTTTACTTCTCAATCAAATTCCTCTTTTTGTTTGTGCCATTTATCCATCAACGTGTCATTCCTGACAATTTCTGTCCAAAACTGGCATGAAATAACCATTCTTTCCCAATACTTCCCTAAAGGCCTACACACAATGTCTTCGCACTTTAACTAAGTACGAGTAGCATGGCGTGGTAATCATTACTAGCATGATGCCAAGTATCTTGGTGGACCCAGGATGGTAAATGAGTCAAACCCACAGATTTGGTTTCAGCTTCCGTTCAAAGTGGAAGGCGGGTTAAGTAATTGGATTGGCTTTGTCAAGTGGGCTTCAAGCCAAGTTCTATGTGGAAGACGATGTCATAACTGGAAGGCTTAAAGCAAAGGTTTTGAGGCTCAACAATTACAAGAATACAGGCTTGCATTTACACAATCTATAAAGAGATCCTACCAACAGGCCAGTTATGTTATAGATTCTTCACTATAAAATTGTCAACGTTTACAAAATATTTGTTTGTCACGTGCATGATTACTATTCAAGCGTTGTACTGTTCACATGGGCTGTTCAGATTTTATTTATTTTGTATTGTTTCCATAATCTTAGAAGTTCCTTAAAGTGTCTTGTCACATTTATATATGGATGGAAACGCATATCTACTCCTTAAGCAAGAAATAAATAAAGAGTCTTTAGTCACATCCTCATCTCCATGGCACCATCACACCATTTGGGTCCAGGAACACCTCGACTAGGTCTAAGGGCCTTTATCCCAACCATGCTCATTACGTTTTGCACTACATTCAAATATTGTTGATAATTTTCAGTTTTGAATATGCTTATGCCTAACAGAACCAATGATTTTTATATTGTGGACTGGATGCTTTGTATTCAAATGAAAATGCAGAGAAATGGAATAAAGAAATGTAACTTACTGCTAACAACTTCAATGAGTGCAATGGCACAACACGATCATCATGATCAGCAGTCAACAGCATGATTGCTGGGTACTGACAACAGTTAACAAAACTTTGCTCCCAAGGTCTCCTCACATTATGAAGGGGGGAATATCTAGTACATGTTCACCACTCATCAGTACAGCATAGATGTGTAATACATCTAATAAAACACTGAAAAAAGATATGGCGTGACTTTGGAAAATGGAAGGTTCAACTTGGTCAGAGTTCACAATGAACTCTATTACTGAATGACTAAAAAGACTCTTTTGGAACACTGGATGCCTTTTTTCTGCCGAGACGGAAAATTGGATAGAAAAATATTATCACCACAAATAATTAAATATGATGGACTCAGTGGATTAACGTATATGCAAGATTTTAGTCTAGGAATATTCAGACTAAGCAGGAAAAATGAAGAAATTAACATGATAATTAAGCACTACTGGACTCTCAATTAAAAGACCTGAACAGCACATATAACTCGGAAACTGTCAGCTACGAAATTGTAATTTTCAAACCTCAAGAATAAAGTGGTGTAGCAGTATTCTACATAGCCCACTAGACCAGCAATCACTGGAGTAATGAACTAATAACTGAAACACATATTCTAGTAAAAGTGGTGTTGGAAATAACAGAAATTCCATACTTGATAAGCCAGTGGAATTCCTCTTCATTGTCTGAACAACCATAGTCGGTAGTCCAGGCATGACCTACAAAAAAACATGAAGCATTCACTGATAATATGCATCAATATACAGGTAAAACAAAGATGATACACAACAGAACAAAAGAAATACCAATGGTGAACTTGTGAAAACGGAGCATGTCCATAACACCAACATGAGCAAGAGCACACCCAAAGAGATCAGGCCGCTGAAAGACAGGAAATCAAATTTATGCATGATATCACAATAGGATGATATTATAACCACATCACAATAGTATGCTATCATAACTACTACATTCATATTTTGAACAACTCTAGTCAAACAAGTGCATTTCGAGCAAAAGAACTATATCAATAGATATTCAAAGAGCTTACATAAAATTTTGTTCTATATGTATTAAGAAATCAACAATCAAAGCTTGTCTTTTAAGACTTTCAAAATCACCCATATTTTTTTCTACTGAGGGAGTACAAGATAACTTATACAGACTGAAGAAGCATTGTAGAAAACAGGAGTTTACTGTATGACCTGATTAACGCAAGCAGCAATCAGAAGACCACCATTGCTTCCACCTTCAATACATAACTGCCTGTAACTCGTATAACCAGCAGAAATGAGGAGTTCAGCACAAGCAATGAAGTCGTCAAAACAATTTTGTTTCATTGCACGTGCTCCAGCTTTGTGCCACTCTTCCCCATATTCCCCACCACCCCGAATATTTGCAACACAGACAACAAAACCCATGTTCTTGCATAAAACAACACGACTAACACTGAAAGAAGGAGTAAGACTTATGTTGAATCCACCATAACCATATAGCAAAGTTGGATGTGATCCATCAAGTTCAATATCTCTCTTTGACATTATGAACATAGGAATTTTGGTTCCATCCTTACTATTGACGAAAATCTGAAAAACCAAAAACAGTTAGAAACCACATTTTAACGAAGTATTTAGTTTCATTGGTATTCTTTGTATAGAAAATGATATGGCAACCTAAGACAGTGATGGCATGTACCTGCTTAACCTCAAAATTTGTTCGATCAAATCCAGGAACTGAAATTTCACGAAATATCTTCATTTCTGGGATCGCAGATGTGAGGTTACACCTGTAAATAATACCAGGGGAAAGAAAGCTTGTGAAGCCAATAAAGACGTCCATGTCTTCCCGTCTACAGGAGATCTCTGAAACAGAACCAATTTCTAGAGGCAACTTATGAAGCAAGTTCCCAGTTACAAGGTCTCTTATCTGCAGAATATGCTTAACATCTGACATATAACATACCAATAACTGGTTACCATTAACCGCGTCAGCTGATTCGAGCACATCTCTTTCATGTTCAGGAAGAATATCAGTCCACAATTCTGGCTTCTTGATATCTACTCTTACAAGCTTGTTCTTAGGAGCATTTCTATTGGTCAAAAATGTAAATTCATCACCATCATTTGCCACAACATGATATTGGGCATCAAAGTTATCTATAAGCTTGACAAATGGAAGCATCCCCTTTGTCTCTTTGAACCCCTCTATCCCTTGAGGAAGAGTACAAATTTCACAGTAGTATAGCTTATTGACAGGATCGCAACCTTCATAAGTACCTAGTATGATGTACTGTCAACAAAAGATGAGGTTATGAGAGAACTGTTTTTGTGGGCTATTAAAAGATTTAGACAAAAGTCATTAATTAAAGATGTGAAGAGATACTCTGCTTTTTAAGGTTGGTGCAACAAACATGTAGACCATAAAGATCACACTCTACTGCAACATCCATCACGAAATGCTAATGCAATGAACTCAATGGAATATTCAACCCTTGCAAAAATCAGAAAATCAATAATTTTCACATTGGAAATTCAATTAATTTCAAGCTCCAAAACTAATTTATGCTAGCTCCATTTCAGGTGGTTCAAAACAGGTTTGCCCATTGCATTTTATACTCCTCATCATATAAAGCCTTTGCACAGAGATTTTGAAATTCGGATGAAATAAGGATTCCGAAACTAATATGCAATCATTTTTGCACTTTTAGCCAAATAAATCTTTGAATAGCCATAATGTTTGCTCAGGACCTTGGGTTTGAGTTGTTCTTTCTGCAATTCATTCACATAAAACCATGAGCTAGCTACTATAAAAATTGCAAGCAATTTTGAGCTCTATTTGGTATTTATTCGTATTGGCTATTTATTTCACTTAGACGACAGGTAAGATTCATTCTTTTTGCATGTCATATATAACCATGAGCTAGCAACTGTAGAAATTTTAAGTTATAATAGTCATCAACTTGCGCGTTGTGTGGGTTATTATTATTATTATTCATATTGTACATATATAGAATTTAACATACACAGGCTATTTTCTAAATTGTAGTAATTTAGATTAAAAGTGCACGTCAACTTTAGCTTACTTGTACAGTTTCAATATTATTTAAAAAAAAAAAATCAAAATTTCGTAATTAAAATAAAAAAAACATCATATTTTTTTAATCTAGAATTTTGGAGTTACTAAATTTTAATAAAATGAAGTGCATATTATTTTTGATGGTATGTTTATTTAGTTTGGAGGAAGATTAATTAGGAAATAGTTTGTTCTCTACACAAAGATAGAGATTACCGAAATTAATTGTTATGACTATGGATCTACTATTTTGCTGGACATCAATACGTATTCAAGCATCAGGGGTTGTACAACAATACGTATTCATGCATGATTATTCATTAGGAGATAGGAGTAACTTCCATCGGTTTATTGGTTTGCTATGGACCTAATTTGTCGGATCGGACATCAAGACCATACATCTATGGGAGATATTTCCTACTAATAAACCATATAGGATTCTACGATCCGATTTATGTGGCTGTTAAAAATATTACGATCTATGGTTGTGATGTTATGATTTATTATATCAACGGCTAGATCTTTTTGGTTGACTTGAGAGCTCCTAAAAAGTGCACGATTAGTAAGGTTTAGATAGATAGATTGAGTTTTGTTAGTATTTATTCGTATTAGTTGTTTAGTTCACTTAGACAAGATTGAGTTTTGTTAGTATTTATTCGTATTAGTTGTTTAGTTCACTTAGACAAGCAGGTATATGTAAGGTTCCAAGGAGTTGTAGGTTCATGACAGGAGCTGGCCTCTGTGAGCAAGGCATGGATCTTCTTCAACATGTTTATCTTACTCTATTACTACTTGAATTATGTTGTCTCTGCAAGTAGTGCTATGAGTGCATGCATGTTGATTGAGAAAATCCATTATACGATCATGTAATATTTATTGCCATGTAGAAAGCCAAGAAGCACCAAATATTCTAGTGAGCACTTGAGAAATTAAGATAATCCTAGATAATGCAGGAAGCTCCATCAGAAGCAAGGGACTGAATAAAATATTTTCGAGAGAAGTTCAGGTAGTAAAATTGTCTGTACTGTCATTTAAACTAGAAGATGAAGCATCAACCATAGAAGAAGAGAAATCAAGTTTGTAGTCTCATCCAAAAGATGAAAGAAGTAAATAAGCATATAGATATGACTGGTACACAAATGGGAAGGAGAGGAAGTGTTGTTACCTTTCCATCCTCTGTGACCGATGCACCAAAGGAATACTTAGGGTGTTCAGGATCTTTCCAGCATAATATATCTTCGGACTGATCAGATCCCACGACATGGTAATATATCTCATGATTAAGATTAATGTTTGTTTCAGTTCCAGCATCCAATTCCACTTCTCTAACAAAAGGAGTAAGAGAAACTAAGCAATCTATTACAGTACATTAGAAATACAGAAGTTTGTAAACCTACCGGGGTGCAGGGTATCGACCATAGAAAAAACCTTTTCCATCATGGGTCCAACTGATAGATGAGAATTTCACCTGCACCAATAATTGATGGAACATATATGTTGGATTTGGTTATAAGAACCAATAGGTAACACATAAGCACTACAATTTCAAATAATAGTTACAAGCTGCATCTGCTCACCCAAGACAATTTGTCAGACAAAGTCTGCTTATCAGCAATGTTCATCACACGAATAGTGACCCAATCACTGCCACTTTCACTTAGGCCATAAGCTATGTATTTGCCATCCTTGCTAACAGAATACGTCGAAAGAGCAACTGTCCCATCCTTGCTTAGTGCATTTGGATCCAGAAGAACCTCCGCCTCTCCATCCAAACTATCCTGAATTGATAAGTACATGCTATATTCATTCTAACCCTTTCATCGAATCAAGACAATTATGCAGCCTTTTATTGACAGAATTCAAACATAAACAAAACTAGCACTCGAAAAAGGGTAAAAGAAATACTAAACGGAATATGTGGACTTGTTTCTTTATTTTAAGAACACCAAATAATCTTATGAGAAACTGAAAGCATGAATATGACAGAGAAAGCAAAACAATCAGCATTGCTCAGTGCTGTGGAACTTGACTATGAGATTTGAACATTCTCACAGGGTTCATTTTTATGTAAAGCATGTTTGGTTCATTTGCTAGCCTAGACTTGGTAGGGTGGACTTCCTTGCCTAAAATCAAACTGGAACAAATGCCCACTAATGTTACTCATCGAGGCTAAGGAAGGGTGGGCAAAGGAACCAAAACATGTGCATAGCAAATATTACACAAGCACAGTTGGTATATAATAAGTCCTGTCCAATTGCACATTGTCTAGGTTGGAAAAGAGTGAGTATCGCAAAGCTTGCATACCAACAAACAATCACATGACTATAGATTTTGCCTTTAATTTTATCAGAGAACTAATGATACTTTAATAAACTAGATTCAATTTAATCAAGAAGAATTAGGTATGCAAGCAGCCAAGCCAAAGAGGTCTCCGGCTTAGGCAATAGAGATGTATACATTGCAACATTCACTAACTGAACTAGCCTCAGCTCCTACAGCACAGTAGTTTCTAAAGTCAAGATGTATATTCACGAAATCTATTGAAACCCATCTCCAATTATTTTCACATCATCGGGACAACAACATGTCCCGCAAAGCTCCAAACCTTAGATCCACTGCGTGCTTTATTAATCGAGTTTGATGGCATACCTGCACGTAGAGCACGCTCTGGGCTTGGAGTCCGGAGTTGTGAAAGTAGAAGTACTTGTTGCCGCGACGGAACGGCGCCCCGTGGCGCGGGTGGTCGAAGAGGCGAGTGACCTCACGGCGAAGGTTCTCCCTGTCGAAGCAGCCCGCAAGCACAGACTCTGCTAGCTCCACCTGACTTGCCACAAATTCTTTGGTATCTTCCGACTCTGGGTCCTCCAGCCTACGTGCACGCCGCACACAACATAAGTAGCCAAAAATATAAGACCTCCCCCGAGAAGCAAGGTTGGAGTACTTACCAACGGTAAGGGTCGGCGACAGGGACGCCATGGTACATGTCGACGACGGAATTGTCACGGCGAGTGGGTGGATAAGAAAGGCGGGCGGCGTCGCCGGCAACAGAACCCATGGCCCGTGAGAGGATGGAGAGGCGGCGGCAACAAGAGGGGTGGGGTAGGTAGACTCTGGGATTAGGGAGACGGTGTTAGAGGGGAAAGCCAAAGGAGATGGATTTAAGGAGACTAGTAATATGCCTGTGCTAAACGCTACGCTGCAATTTTATTTTTGTCCTAAATAATTTATAAAATTTCATGTTAGCAAAAAATATTTTTATATGATCTGTGTATTTGAACTTTTATTCAATTCATGTCGCACATCAAATATATGTAACGTAAAGTACAACACTAGGATATTGCGTAGGCACAATAAAATTTTACGAGACTATGATATTGCGTAGGCACAATAAAACTTTGAGTGGCGTGCGTATGCGTATACATATCGGCATTATAATTCCTGCACATGGTTGGTATTTTATACGGTCTATACGCCCTATATTTCTATTATACAATGAATGAATTAAATATATTCATTTAAGTTGTATGGACGAACCATCTAAAAAAATTAAAAAGGAAAAAAAATATAAGCATATATATGCGTTAATGTAATATAGACCATAGTTACAATCTCAATTGACAGCTAAATTTTAATAATCTCGAAGAAACAATCTCAGACATGCATTTGTTTTTCTTCCAGGATACACCCAACACAACACAATCATACACTATATATCAAGGGTTGAGAAACAGACACAGCCTTACCGTGAATTAGTCTGACCACGATCTGGTGCACACTTATCAATTAGGTTCCACCCTCTTGATATATTGAACCTACAATTAGAACAAAGCCTCAGCTTGCTGCCGTGAAGTGACATGGCATATGTTTCACAGCGCAAGGGGAAATCTCATAGGTACAGAGCAAACAAAATGACCAACCTCAAGATGAGAATGAATATGAATGTTAAGGAGTTAGAAATGACCAACCTCAAGATGAGAATGAATATGAATGTTAAGGAGTTAGACTGTCAGCAACCAGGGGCAATGAGAATCTACATATTCCATGTAACTATTATCGGTGCAGTACGCTTCACATGTGTATTATCAGCTATGTGACAAATTGGTCAGATTTAGGTATAATTCATTCTTATCAATGACACTTTTAAGGGTGATGCTTGATAGTCGCTGGATAACCAATGTTAAAGTTAAATTCAGATAAAATATTAATAGGCTAACTTCAGATCAGGTTTGTCTGAAACAATGTAAAACAATATGATTTGTTCAACTTAATAGGCTAACTTTTACATCTCCTGCGTATCATCAGCTTTGCGACCATGGCCTTCACGGCGCCCAGGTTCTACTAGGGCCCAGGTTCTACTAGGGTCCAACATGCTATTTTACAAGATCCTAATATACTGTTTTTCCTCATATTTTTTAATATGACAAGCATAAGTTGAATATTCCTGGAGTGATGGCAGTGAAAAATTATAGGAGATATTTACTAAATCAAATATCAAAACACGCAGTGACACACGTATATTTGCTAATATGTTCAAAAAAAATCAATCAAACATGAAATCTCACAAGAAGCATCAGAACAGGTTATATACTACCTGAAATTAAAGCAAAGAAAATGGATTCTCTCGAGAAAGTGAACATGAGGGGTTGAAATTTACCTAGATATATATATAGAAGTGCAGCACTTAAAAAAACCCAGGATGGCTGTAGCCTGCAAGAAGATGGGATCAAGCAAATAAATGAGACAAATGTTCTAATTTCAAAATAACTGTAAGGAACCAAATATGAAGTATAATAACCATCGAACTTCATCCGCCGGCAGCAAGTATCTCGACATAATCAAATTTCATGCACTGCTATATAATGTATATACACACACGTCCCATTCAACTTCAGTCCATCATTTTTATATAGACATTTCTAATAATTTATCAAACAAATACACCAATGAAATGAGTGGAGCAGGCCGGGGATTGGGCTCAGACCTTAATTCTGCAGCCTAGCCGTAGACCAAACTCGCCCGCGTTCACGCCGTCAGCGGACGCAGAACAGATCGGGGCACTGCCAAGTGGTGAGGCCTCTTCCTGCGATCGGCTGCGGGGTTGAAAGTCACGACGTTGACCGAAGATCAGCGCCGGGACTATTAATGGGCAGAGAATTTTTTTAGTACAAATGATTCAAGGTTAAACATGAGAAATAAACTATCAAAATTATATTATCATCCATAAATGTAAATTAGTCTCTTGAAAATTCAGAACTTAGTTAATTCCTTTAATTGGAAAAGAGGCAACATAAATGAAGGGGATCGTCGCTTTGGTCTAAATCTAGTAAAAATATTGTTAGCACAAATTTATTTAAAACCCTATAGGCATGGCAATGTAGAGAAACAGATTGGTAATTGTGTTATAAACAAATCCAGCATCATAACATATTGGTGTAATAGTTTCCTACTATTGACTACAAATTTGTTTGATTAACAGGGTGGCAGAAAGTTTCTGCAGCATTCAATAGAATGCCGAATGTCCATGGTCTGCTCGTACATCACAGCCAAAATCAAATAGGTCACAGAAAGATGGCGGGGTATAGATAGAGGAAGGGGGGGGGATCTGTACCTTTCGGAGATGGCGGCGGTGGGTGCGTAGGGGTTGGCAGATGGACAGCGGTGGAGGAGGATCTGACGACGTGACGGCTGCTCACGACGAAGGGGACTGAATCATGTTAGATGACAATTAGAAAAGTTGAACACTTAACATTACAAAGTAAAGTTCATCACGAGTTCGGTACATTGCGTAACAGCCATCCTCTCCATTGCTTGAAACAAGTAGACTAATTGTGGATAACGGTGAAAGAAATTTTTGGAGCAGTTGAAGCAATGAATAGAACAGCCATAGCTAATATGATCAACTGATAGCTAAGGTAAGCTAGTAGCTGAGAGTGGAACTGCTCTCCTCTCGCTCTGTCCCATTTTACCATAAACCGAAGATAATAGGAGTATATATGGAGTAATCCAAATATCAAGTCCAAGATCAATAAGATTTCATATTCTAGTGATGTAAAAAAAAAAAATCATATGAGTGCAGAATTGACAGGAAACAAATTGACCGTATCTTTCTGAAATGCATCGTTCAGCATAAACACTTATTGTATGACGGCCTAAGTATTTGCTAAACGCACTGAACATCTCTACAAATATTTGTACTCTAGAGAACAAATCATTAGAATTTTAGTATAGGAGGAAAATACATGTTATATTTACATAGAAAACAGAGACGAAAAGAGACATACTGACACAGGCGAGAAGAGAGAGAGAGAGAGAACCCCACCTCTCGGTGAGGTCGGTGCCGGTGATGATAGCGGCGGCGGCGGCGACGCCGTTGGTCAGCACGGGCCACGCCTCGATCAAGCCGGCGCTGACCCCCGAACCCGCCGTTGGTACTGCTCCCAGGGCGCGAAGGAGGCGGGCGTCGCTGGCGGCTCGTGCGGGGCAGATCTGACGGAGGCAGCGGTGAGGGGAGGCGGGGGACGCGAGGGAGAGGGGATAGGGTAGTGCGGCGAGGGGAGGCGGGGGACGCGAGGGAGAGGGGAGAGACGACCAGGCGGGGATTCGAGGCGCGGGCGTGGGTGTTCCGGCGGTGGCACTGAGACCGGCGAGGCAGACGTCGCTGGCGACGTGGGCGGGCGAGAATCAGCGGCGGCGGCGGGCAGCGATTAGGATTAGGGTCGGAGATGCGATTTGGATTCTTATTTATCATTATCGTCATGAATCAACTATCAAAATAAACAGGACGAGAAGAGAGTACTTCTCTCTATCTCTACTACTTAAAAGATTTAAAATATTTTCATCATCGGTGCCAATAAAAAGAAGAGAATTTTTTTCTTTTTGTCTTTGTCAGTCTTTTTTTAGCCATTGGATCTCCCTTGAAGATTCGTGTGCTCCAACGTGATCTAGCCAAGGAATTGTGCTCCAGCCCAAGCAATTGCATGCCCTAAAAGCCCAGCAACCAAGCAGCAGCGGGACCCTCGCCTCGCGTCACATATTTTCAGCCCATTATTTCCGCTACAGTTCGAAAAACAGTAATATCCCCCTTTCCATTTTCTTTCTCCGCCACGCACGGGAGAAAGTGAGAGAGAAGGAGCTTTCCCCTATCGGTGAGGAGAGAGAAGGAGCATATAGGGAAGGAGAGAAGGTGGCGGCGACGCATCAGCAGGGGTGCTATGCTGTCGTCGTCTTCTCCGGCGGGAGGAGCCCTCGTGCTACCCTTGGGCTTGGCAGAGAGCGCGGGGGAGGAGGGTCGTTGTGTTTTGTCTGCGAGACACGTTTTGTTGTCCCCACGGCAGTCGGGGAGGTGCTCGTGGCGATTCCGGCGATCGTCGGCGAGGCTTCCATGGAGCCATTCGCGCACAGTGGCGATCCCTGCGTCGGTGGTTGAGATGACCAAGTCTTCTCAACCGATTCTCATCATGAATCCCAGGATTTCTCAACTTGTGGCAAGCAACAAAGAGTCCACAACGATTCACAAGGTGAGTTAGTTTATTTTCTGCAACAAGGAAGCCACATGGTTTTGTTGGGAAGAATGCAACAGATTTTGTAAGGTGCAGACCTGCTGTGGGTAAACTGAAGATAAATTCTGATGGAGCATATATAGCTGAAACAGGGGAAGGAGGATGGGGTTTTGTAATTCGGGATTCGGAGGGAGAGGTTATCCTGTCAAGTGCTGGTAGAATATCTTATCTGTTGGATGCTTTCCAGGCGGAAGTTGTTGCGTGCTTGGCCGGAGCAAGGGCCGCGAATGCACTAGGAATGGGCCATGTCGTTTTTGAAACTGATTCCATTATCTTGAAGCAAGCTATGGATGCCGATGATCACAGACTTGCAGCAACGGGTGGCTTGATTTATGAATTGAAGAAGCTGATCGGAAGTAGTTTCCTTTCTTGTTCCTTTGTTTTTGCGCCACGAGAATGTAATAGAGTAGCGCATGCTTTAGCAGCTTTGGGTTGTAAATGTCCTCGGAATACTGTTGAACAATGGGACATGATGCCTCCGGGCATGGAGGACTTGGTGGCCAGCGATTTTGCTGAGTCCTTAAGTTAATGGAAAGTTCTTTTCCTCTCAAAAAAAAAGGAAGCCACATGGTTTCTGATATTTGTGTGTTGATTCGAATGGGGAGTGATGGTGTGCTATCTTTTTTCCTCAGACAATGTGCTTTCATATCTGAGCAAGGGTGATTTGTGGAATGAACAAAGTTATATGTCTTAGACATCGTGCTTTCAGATCTGAGCAAGGGTGATTTTGTGGAATGAACAAAGTGATATGTCGCTGTGTTTTCAGATCTGAGCAAGGGTGATTTGGCATGAACAATTGTGTGTACTTTTCTGATTTTGTGATGTCAATTCAGCATTTAGATTTTCTAGTTTTCAGAAATGTATATTGTTTTGCGTCTGTTGTGGAACTAGATAAATAAGCGCGGCTTCACTCCGCGTCCATCAATGTGTACATAGTGTTAGTCGAAAGTAACTAAACAAGCTTTGCCAAATCATAAGACTTGAAATCTCTTCCAAAACATAAGCTTATATCCAAGACCGTCCTTCCATCCTGTAATCAAATATGAGTTCAGAAAACAGTATTGTTCTATAGATTTCTACAAAGCATCAGTCCATGGAAAGACGCATTTGAGATGACAAAGCCATACAAGTCAATAAAATCCACATGAATAATTGCTGATGAGTCAATGACTCACAACAGCTTCTCAAGGCCACATCATCACAATTACAGTGTTCCATTTGACATAAAGAAATCTGAAGAATGCATCCATATTTTCAGAATTATGCGGACAAAGACTGTGAGGTACTGAGGTAGGCATCTATTACCTTGTATTCTTCCTAGTCTCAGATTCCTTCACATGTTCATACAAAATGCATTCACTTGCAAGTTAATTTCTTCAAAAAGAGAAATATTTAGGGCAACAAAAGAACTCAAGTCACTTCATCAGCTTGAGAGAATGGTTATTTGCACAAACAACTTGAGCAAGCCATACGACCTTAACATCCAGTTTAATGGTTTGTAACCAATTATTTCCTTTTTTTTAAGAAAGGGAGGTTTCAACCCAGTCAGAAATACATATTTAAAAAAATGAAAAGACATCAGCTAGTGATCAACCTAGAAAATTAAATATCAAACAGCACAGGAGGTCAAACAAAAGGAATAAGCCTAATTTCTGATATTGCAATGCTCTGCTTTCTGAAATTTCTCGTACGAACCAAAAAACAAATGCATGCTCTAAGACCACCCGCAATGGTAAAGTAAGGTGATATCTATAAAACATGTACATCTCAGCAATAGACTAGATTAATAGTAAACCATCTCAATAGTATGTCTACATGGGTATCTATAGCTCTCTAATACATTGCATCGTTTTTCTCTATAGACTATCTCCAGGTTAACAGATATATTTGCTCTCTCTCTTCATTTAATCTCTTCCAAGTAGGAAAATATGCTGATATGGATCTCTTATATAGAGCCTATAGATAACCATTGCGGGTGCCCTAACAGCGATGCTATGATGGGAAAATAGATCATGCTTAGTATTTTCTGCTGCTTCCTGCTAGCCTCCTTTTTGCTGGTTGTTTCTTCCAGAGGGAACTGGGAAATCAAATGGCAGCCACAACAGCTGACCATGGAGCTGTCATCTCCAAGTGGCCATTTTCAGTTCCATGTACTTACCTTTGTTCTTCCAAGCTTGACTAAAGTAGTAGTGAATGTCACCATCTGATTATATCACAAATACTGAAAAGTAACTTACGCAGAGATTTAGAAGTAGGTGCTTAACAGCATAGTGTCATGGGCATTGGGCCGTAGGCCAAGGCCTATAGGTAGCCCAATATCAATTAAGTTAGAGATAAGAATATTAGTTAGTTAGAGATACGATAAGAAGATTATTAGTTAGTTAAAGATAAGATAAGAAGATTATTAGGATTAGATTTTTACTTAGAGGTCAAGTTGTACAATCTATATAAGGATGGGATTGTGTCTATTATCAGGCAAGCAATGAATATCAATTAGTCTAATCTCTCCCTTCCAATAATGTTTTTCTCCCTAGCCTAAATCTACATCCCTTCTCCAGGAGCCGACGCCGCCCTGCTATCTTCCCGGCGGTGTTTATCCCGTCATGGCCTCGGGTCATGATACTTAGTCAATCCATGGACCTTGTACTAAACCTTTGTAATTCATATAAAAGATAATTGAACCAAGAAACATAAACACAAAATTCATAAACCTAATCCTTATGTCTCAACAGTCAAAAGCCCAAAGTAACTACTTTGCATTGTACATCTGGAAATTATTTTATAATCAGAATAAGAACACAAAGAAGCATACTTCGGTGCCAACATACTGAACAGAGCACAACCTGCGTATGTGTATTGATCAAAAGACATCCAGAACGCTCAGCAGCTAAGTACTGTAGCAAAGAACATCCCAAATAACTGCAGAGTAGAACTCTACAAGAGGTGAACAACAGAACAAAATTAATCAGCGGTGATACCTTTTCAATGGACCATTGCTTTGAAATACAGATCTGACGCAAAACTTGCCTTGGAGCGGCTCTGTTCGGAAGGGCTTGTTACCAACTCCCTCCGCCTCGTTTTCCGGACGCACGCTTCTCAAACTGCTAATCGGTGCCGTTTTTACAAAAAGTTTCTATACGAAAGTTGCTTAAAAAATCATATTGATCCATTTTTGAAAAAAAAAGCTAATACTTAATTAATCACGCGTAGGGATGAAAACGGTCGGAAACGGTCGGAAAAACCCTCTACCATTTCCATTTTCATTTTATTTTCTCGAAAATGGAATCGGAACGGTATACTCGGAAACGGTAACGATATCGGTTATATCGGTATCTCGGAAACGGAACCGTCGGAACGGGAATATACCGATATCGGACGGAAGTCGAAAATTCATGTCGGAAACAGCGAACTGTGGTATCATCCCGCATTTAACTATGTATGAAGATGACCTTATAATTTCACCCTTGCATCATTACGCTGCCACACAACACCGTTATATGATGATTAATAAGTTGACAATAAGATTGATAAATAATATAAATAAAGTTCAATGATACTTCAACATCAATGTGGCTAAAGCATACAATGTGGCTTACATGATAGGATTACAGCATAACTAATATTGTCCGACTTTTTTTAGGATATAGATTTGAAGTCTTCGAGAACACCAAGCTCACAAGCTGGCATGGCTTCAGCTGATCAGCTCCTTGTCAAACATCATTCATTATTTCATCATCAATTGACATAGCTATATCGTCGTCCTACAGTGGCACATTGCATAAGAACTTTTATGTTGACACTGTATAACTACTGTTGTAATTAAGTTTCATGCTAAACTAGACTTTTTGGTATTTCCAGGTCGATCACAGAGAGGAGTCAAGATGGTGGGGCCCGCCAGTGGATCCCACAGTCTTTCTTTTCCTCTCTTTCTTTTATTTTTTCTCTCTCTCTTATCCTTCCCTTCTCTCGGTTCCTTTTCCTGCTCTCTCGATTTCTTCTCTGTTTTCTCTCTCGTTCTCTTCTCTGCCTTTGGCTCCTTCATGCGCGCCCGAGAGGAGAGAGGCGCCGGAGATGGCGGCCTGGCGCAGGGCGGCGGTGGGGGAAGGAGAGAGGAGAAAGGGGCGGCATCGGTGGGGAGGAGGAGGCTGGGGCGGTGCGGCGGCGCTCGGCGCTTGGCTCGGTGGCACGAAAGCCGGCGGTGGAGCGTGGGGGAGGGAAGGTGGCCGGCTGCGACGGAGGCCGTCGGGGCGAAGGAGGTTGCGGCCGGCGTCGGCGACCTGGTGGCGGCGCCCAACATGGCGCGGCGGTGCCCCAGCGCCGATGAAGACGACGATGCGGTCAGGCCTAGTTGGCTTCTTTATTCGGAATGGGCTGCTCCTTAATGCCTAATGGGCTCCTCCTCTTGCTAGCCAGGCCCAGCCGACTTCCTTCTTCGGAATTTTGTCGGAAATTTGACGGAAATTACCGATAAAAAACGGTTACCGACAAAACGGTCGGAAAAAACCCCATATCATTTCCGCTACCATTTCCGAAAGAGATTACCGTTTCCATTTCCGATACCGACAATTACCGATACCGATTGAAACGGTCGGTGCAAACCGGAAACGGTAGCCGGAATTCTCGAAAATTTCCGTACCGTTTTCACCCCTAATCACGCGCTAATGGACTGCTCTGTTTTCCGTGCGCACTGATCCGGTTGGGAACACTGACTTCCGAACAGAGAGCAACCGAGAGCAAGCCAGGAGTAAAAATCTAAATAAGGCCTTGATTAGGCCCTGTTTAGTTCGTGAAATAAAAATTTTTGGATGTTTGATCAGCTGTTTAGTTCCTAATTTTTTTTAAAAAAACATCACATCGAATTTTTTAACACATGCATAGAGCATTAAACATAGACAAAAAGAAAAAACTAATTGCACAGTTTGCATGTAAATCACGAGACGAATTTTTTTGAGCTTAATTAGTCTACGATTAGTCATAAGTGCTGCAGTAACTCACATGTGCTAATGACAGATTAACTAGGCTCAAAAGGTTCGTCTCGCGGTTTCTAGGCAAGTTATGAAATTAGTTTTTTCATTCATGTCCGAAAACCCCTTCCAACATCTGGTCAAACGTCCGATGTAACACCCAAAAATTTTCATTTCACCAATTAAACAGGCCCTAAATGCATTCACATTCCGTTTGGCAAGTGTAGTGTGGTGTGGACATAGCCTGCCTCAATGTTACCATCCACAGAATGTTCATAGGATGTAGACACAACTGCAACCCACGATTATTTCTACGCACAACTGCCTAATAATGCAAGTGTTTTCTTCCAGCAGTACAGTACACGCTGGAATAACTAAGATGCCCTTGTTATCTTAAACTACTGCAAGTCTACTTCGTCTCAAATAATTACACAGCATATGATACATCAGTTATACTTGTATACATGTTCAGGTACTGCTATGCGTCATCTCCAAAATTGCAAGCTCGTTGGAAGTAACCAGCAGGCAGGGAGGTCACCCGTGAACTGATGATGGTCACTACCCTACGATGCAGGGAATATTTCCAGAGCATCCTAGGACTTGCCTATTTATCTTTTCCATTCTATTAGCATAAATTAGCTTCAATTCTAATCAGCGGCACGCTTCCATCCCTTGCAACGACAAAACTCATGTTTCTAAAAGGAATAAGGGAAAAAAATAAGAAGAAGAAAACTCCCATCACCTGGGGCCCTTGTGTTTAAATCGCCTATGGTCCTTTACAGCAGAAGATACAGCCGAAAGAATATGCCAAACCTATCACCCGCTTAATTACATACATCCAGCCAATCACGAATACAAATTATACACCACGGTATAGGAGCCAAACCTACTTGAAGAAAAGGCTCTTCTTTCTTCCTCTCCTCTTCTCAACAGCCTGCAAAATGCATGATGTTTCACATCAGTATTTAAGGAACGTGAGACGACATATTCTCATCAAGTCAGGCAGCTAATCCTGGCTCTACGGTTAACCTGTTAGTCACCATTCAGATATGCTACCTTGGGGGAAAACACAAGAAATGAACTTTGACAACACAGCTCTTTACAAACAATTCATAGTGCCCTATCTTTAGATAAAGTGCTACTATATAAGAGATCCCCATGATGGCTGGGAATGCCGTTTCTTTTGAAGAATAAACAGAGGGCTGTAAAATTAACCTCCGCCTACTTAATTAACCAAAGATAATATTAGCCTTTGTAACAACAAAAGCCGAACAGCACAGCCAGCCACACAACTAGTAGCCTACTAGTGAATGCTGATAGCGTACACTTAACTTCTCTATATTTTTTTTTCCATCTTTTTTTCTCTTGAGAAAAATGCTACTGTGGGTTCTTCAAACATGCTAATCGTCAAATAATACTCGGTTTTGAACTTGAATAGAGTGGAGGGCCATCATCCCATGATGACCCACTCGATGATGTTGAATGAAGATAAAGATAATGAAGGGAGGTGCTAATATATGTCTTGCACAAGAGATAACGAGCTCATACCATAATTCTGAACAATCTTAAAACCAGAACAATGGTATCCCGCGGCCTGCAAAATTGGAGAACACAAGATAAGCAGTATTTTATGTATGTTCGTTATGAATTATGATTGGCATTAATCTAAAATAAACACAGCAGTAATAAAGTAAAAGACCAAGGACAGGGTGTTCAATTCAAGTTTGGTATAAACCTCCACTGATTACACTTAGAAGGTAAGTATATCCTAAATTGCTATGCTTTCAAAGACATAAGAATGAACACACTAGGGCACGGTCAGGTCGGCTTGCACACGCTGATCAGACAGCTATAGAAGACCACATTACTGAAAACAACATGGGCTTTGTGACAAGATCGATGAGCTGGCAGTCTGGCACTGCTGACCTTGAGGCATTCCTTCCGAGTTTTAAGAAGTAACTATTAGACATATGCAGCATATTTTTAACTCTGATGTTTCAAGAAGTGATGACCCATAGAGTTGTTTGTAGGGAAAGCAGTAGGGGGGAGCCATGCTGCTAAATCAGAAGTACAGTTGCACATCAAGACACATATAGTGTAAGGAATAATGAATACTAATGTTAATTTATTCATAGATCTTGGGCTGCTGATAATGATGCAAACACTAGCTCGATTGGGTACTCACAGTGCATTTTCTGCAGGCTTTAAATTATATTCAACACCATCAGCAGATGTAATCAAGAACTCTGTCGGACGCCCGTAAGGAATATTAATCTGGAAAAGACAGAACAAAAGTTGTTGTCAATCATACCACATTTTTGTATGTCTACAGCAATGATTTACAAAAAAACACAAACATGATTGCAGAACAAAAATTATAATATGGTTAATTAGCAAAAGCAGCAGAAAAAAATTATTATCGGAGACAATTTGTCTCAGTATAGTACTTGCAGTATCACACTTATGACTTATGTGCACACCATTTAATCGTCCTGTCCAGATTTTTCGGTGTGGGTCCATCAAGCATGTGAAGACAATTCATCAGGAAAGAAGCTCAACTGTTCCCATTTCCTTAGGTCAACAGAAATAGGCCAGATCATGGCCTATTTTTTACATTTTTCTTTTCATGTATAGCATGAGAGACAATGCATCAAAGAAAGACATGACGTTTGTCTAGATGCAGTGTAATCTAGCGGTTAACCATATCTCAGACATAAATCTGAGATCTTGAAACCATATGAGATAACAAAACCTGTCTCTGGCCAGAATTCAAGGTAACCATCAATTTACATCCATCTACAATGGGTTTATTTCCATCATTTTGGGTGAACCAACATGCTACCCAGGTACTGAAGGAACCAACAGAGTTTGCTCACAATTTTAGAATGAGATCTACTTCCTGAAATTCAAATGATGTACTGCTAAAGAATACGGAATAAGGACGTACAGAAGTTGCTTGCTGAAATTTCTCTGTGAGAACAACACCACGCTGACCAGTACATTTAATACTGTAGCCTTCCCTCTTTATTGCCAAAATAGCTGGTTCCCACATATCTAAAAATTTCACCTGCTATAAGAAGATTTAACATTTGAAATAATTGCATGAAATCATAAGAAATTAGTGAGAATGCTTTTGATAGATAATTCCAAGTAATAGAGAACATACAGGTAGTTGGACTTCATAAGATACATGACCAGTTTCAAGAGTTCTCTTAATAAGCTCCTTTGTTTCAGGATCTGCATTGAAGATGGTTTATTCAAAGTCGGTTGGGTGCAAAACATGTGCTGCTGCTATTTAGTTTAAATAATCATCACATAATTGGAAAACTTTTATTAGTTAAACAGAATATCAGAAGTACCACTCTTTTGGTAATTAGATATATAGGGGATTCAACATTCCCTCTAGGAGTGGAATTATGTCAAACACTCCATCACCAGAAATAATCACTCTTTTGGGAATTAAAGGTTCCATATACTCACCGCAAGTAATTTTTCTTTGATCATTAGCGTAAAACCTTACAATTTCCCCCTGCAATAGGAAACTCAAACAAAAGGACGAATCTTAACATTGGAAGTAATAACAGAAAATCAGTTTAATCATAAGAAATTTAACTGTACAACAGACCTAACTCATTTTACATGGTGTCCCAGTGAAACCAAACAAAGAAACTCCATAAACATCAAAGGTTGGATTATGTATCATTAACTAGAACTCTGGATCTCCACAAACATAAAGGGAAAGGTCCAAATCACAACCATGAAGTTTCCGATTGCCTAATTCACCATGAAATATGAAACCATTTACTTTGCAACCCTGAACTAAAAACAGTACAAAATACCCCCTAGCCCCCAACCACCTGGTTTGTGCTGATACGGTGGTGATTTTTATATATAAGAGTATTTTGATGGAGGATTGGAGGTTAAACTAGAAATAAAGTAAGGGGATCCATAACAGTGAAAACCAGGATGGTTTCAGGGCTAAGGAGGTAGTTTCAGGTCAATAGTTTCATAGTTCAGGGTGATTAGACGAACGTGAATAAGGGTTTAATACAGATATTTTCCACATATAAATGGAATAGCAAAATCAATGTCAGTATTGACAGCGGCCAGAAACATGAACTACTGATCATAGTGCCCTGGGCTAATCTGATATTAAGACCTAACTGGTAAATGAGCAAAAAGAGAAATATAGAGCTACTTTGGTGATTAACATAAAAGAAGTAAAGGTTTAACTGCTGGGTTCAGTAGCATTCGAGAAATACAATTATATAAATACCTCAGTTCTTGTATTTCAAGTTTAATCCTGTACGTTAGATGCGCTTTTTCAGTCTCCATGACTCCATGGAATTAAGGATGCTAAACAGCTAGTATTGTCTTTAGTGCCATTTCAGAAGGCATAGAAAAGATATATAGGCATATAGCCTCATAATTACCAGAAGTTTTGGGGAATGCAACATTGTATCACACATAAAAAAAAAATCAGCCACATCGCAAAATAATTACCTTTCTTTTTCTATCATCAAGGGGCTGTACTTCAATAGCTAGTAATGTGTCCACGTCATCGGCAGTAACCAAATAGTTAGGTTGTCTTGCTCCTATGCCAACAGAAAACATTTATTTCCCAACTTTCTTGAAAATCATAGAATCCTATTTAATGCAAGTGACAAGCTCACAGAGCTAAAGTGACAAAAAAAAGTACCTTCTATGAAATTTACGGAGCCATCTTCTAAATGGCGCACCCACTGCACATAGGAAAATATATTTTTTGGACAGTGAGATTGCCATGAAAGTTTGAAACTCATATGAACAATATAAGGTAGAGAAGTTCTTTTATCCAGAATGTGGAATGACATGAATTACGAAGAGCACCTCAAAATTACAACTGGTGGTTCCATTGGTGGAGTACCCGCTTGCTTGGAGTTCTCTTCCAGGAAAAGCTTCACCTGTGATTCGAAGGCCCTCTATGCCTGGCAGTGGATCATCCTCAGCAGCTACATATTCATAAAAGAGGAATATATCATCAGATTGCATTAGTGTTAAACAAATATATAAATTTATTTCTAATAGTAATTACCTTCAGAGAAAGAAGATCCAGGCTCCTCAAGAACAGTAGGAAGATACGGATATGAAGGGTTTGTATCCTCAATGCCGGATACCAAATTAACTGAGTCTCCATGACCCCAATGAGCAGAATGTTCTCGTGCATGTTGGACTTCAGCACCCTCCGAAGCATCCGATACGTCACTTCTACTAAGGTGCTTGAATGGTGGGTTTTGATTCTCGGGCTCAAAGTCCAATGGGACAGAATGTGGATCATGCTGAGATACTTGAGAAGAAACATCCCTCCTGAATTTTAAGCTATTAAATATAAATTATACCACGTTTAATGTTCTTGTGATGCCTCTATATAATAAAAAAAATTATTGACTAGAAAAATGATTATTAAATCTTCCTCAAAAACAGTTTAGCTATTTGAAAATAGTGCGGCAGCGACAAAAAACAAAGAGAATTCAAGAAATGCCATTGACAAACGCTCAATTCCAAGAAATGTCATTGACAAGTGCGAGTTCCATGAAATGCCATCGTACAAGCGACTTTGTCCCAGAAATGCCATCGCCGTTAGGGTTCCATTAGCAGTCCTCCGTTAAGTGCTATAGGATAAACAACGCATTTAACGGTGTGGGATGGACGAAACCCTAATGGCAATGGCATTTCTAGGACAAAGTCGCTTGCACGATGGCATTTCATGGAACTCGCACTTGTCGATGGCATTTATTGGAATTGAGAGCTTTTCAATGATATTTCTTGGATTTTCTCAAAAAGAAATGAAATGTTCTTGTAGCAAATTCCCACATCCCTGAATTTTTCATGATTGTAGCATACTAAAGAAAGTAGAGTGTAACATATCAGAAATTAGTAAAAGCAATTCAAGTAATGAGTAATGACTACTAGAAGCTGCTAGCCAATTTACATAGGTCAAGAACTGGCAATCATAGCTGCTACCTTAAGAATGGAATTATTTCATCATGCGCAACGGCAACGCTGGTAGATAGAATAAAGTCAGTCAGGAAGGTACAGTATTAAGCACTTAAAGAAGATACTACCTGCTTGAAAGAGAGTTTCTTCCCATGTCACCATGATCAACATTTCTTGGAGGAACATCAGTTGGAATGACTTGACGGTTTTTGTTCCCTGCTACACCCCAATCACCTCTAACTTGAACAGGGGAAGACATTGGAGATTGTATATGAGGGTACGGTGTCTGGGTCACAATATCGAGGTTGCTTTTGTTCTGAAAAAGTAAATAGGTTAGAGCATTTCTGCAATAGTTATGACAAGAACTCAAGGAGTATAGTGCCATACTGAAGTCACCAATGCTTTTCCAAGAGGATCCGTAGGTGAGTGTACAGGAAGAGTGGCATCATTCGCCAATTCAGTTTGCCATGGAGTAATCTGATAACGTGACTCTTTTAATTTCTCCTGCACCATTTAAATTTGCACAAAAGGAAACTTCAAAATTCAGTCAGAAAATTTTCGGTAGTAAGTTTGCATGCACGAGAGGGACACTATTGGGTACACTTGCACTGCCCACCCCTAGTGTCTCTGAAAATAAATCGCTTCTTTCTTTATGGGAAAAGTAAATGCATATTTGCTTGAGCTTATTGAGACTCACCTCAGTGATAATAAGTTGCTCCTGCAGATGCTTAAACAAAACCTGCAGAAAGGGACACATTTAGTGAAAAGTCAACTCAATAAGGTACAAGAACAGAAGCAACTTGATGTGTTGATCATGTGTTATGAACCTTTTTTTAAAAAAGAAAAATGCTTAGGTTGCTTTTTCAATAATGAAAGTATGGCATATTTCTCAGATGAAATTAATGTCATTGATCTCTTTTCCCTTTTTTGCCATTTGCATTCAGTAGTGAAATTTATTTCTAGTTGCTAACGTATACGACGTTGCCCCCACGAAACGGCAGAAAAAATATTAGAAAAAAGAGTAAACCTTCAAATTGCTGACGATGGATTGAGCATCAAGAACAGAAGGCTGCAGGTTTTCATATTCAGACAGAAGAGGCAGCAACGAAGATATGAAAGTTGTCCTTTCTTGTTGTGCAGCCTATAGCATATAGTGACATAAGCAAAACTCAGTATAGTATAGAAGAACAACTACAATCTTAACTACAAGCCCTGATTTATCTTATAGTAACAGCTGCATAGATCCAAAATGAACATCACCATGGCAATTTATGATCCTATCTAATGTTAAGATGTACCCATAGAATAGTAAGAGCTGCATATATCCAAAATGAACATCACCATGGGCCATGGCAATGAATGATCCAACCTAATGTTAAGATGTATTCCATAGGATAGAGGTATAAACAGAAATTTTCAACAAATACTACCTTGGTATAGACCACAGGAAAATCCATTAGTCAAGACCTTGCATCAAACAGCTGGTTCTAAAAACTGTTGTAAATATATGGATTAAAAAACAGATATATCATTCTGCATCGTTCCTAACAATTTTGAGCTATAACACCAAGGGACAAGGTCAAGTAAGCACAGAAAACAACATTCATTAAAGCACTACACGTGTTATGATCATTTCTGTGCACGTTTTTTAAATTTTGCAGAAAGGTATTGAAGTATGACTGGAAGCATAATAAGCCTGACTAATATAACACAAACATACTAATCGAATTTCAAAGAAATTTCCAGTGACAGAGAACTACCTGCACTGCATATGCCAGACGGATGTTTTCCTCAATAATATCTTGTCTATATGATAAAGCTTTTGATGCTGCATCAATTAAATCTTGTTGCTGCTGATCAAATGCCTGAAAGATTTTTTTTTTTGAGATAATATGATATACTCACTAGTTACTCCAAGTGACTAATAGTTTATGATAAAAAGAAATGGCCTACCATCCGCATTTGAGCAATGCGCCTTTCCAACATATATTTATCATCGAGTATCCGTGCTTGCTGTCAGGGATATTATGTAGTCAGGTACAAGATAATAAGGGGAAAGGCAACAAAAATGAAGTACTTTCCATTTGTAAAAAAAAAAAAAAAGGCCACCTTCAATGAGTAGTCAGCAAGATGTTTTCTTAATTGCGCAATCTCTTCCTCATTTTCTTTGATCTTAGCAGTAAGATCCTGCATAGGAATTATCTTCATTAGGGATGATGGATGATACAGGTACAAATGACATTTGCAAGCAACTTATACTGACATGCTTCCATGACATGTTCGAGGCCATCTCTGAAGCAGGCAATAACCCCTGTCCAGCTAGGTTCAACCTAGGATCATGCTCGCCTTCTTTTCTATGCCTGTATGGAAGGGCTTCTATTTTGTCAGGATATCGCAAGCAAACAAGACCATCCCACAAAAGGAAGGCCTGCGGCCTACCGTTGTTCTTTTTCCCCGGCAACAAAAATGGTAGGGAAAACATGGAGTGTGGTCAGGTGAGTTACCTAGTAGGAGAAAGGGAATGGGAGGATGGAGTAGAGAACTGTGAGACGGCAGCGCTGTCGAGGGCAGGCTGCTCCCCTGATGATCTTTTAGATGCTCCATTGGACAGGGCATTGTTTTGCCTGATGGTCTGCTGCATTGAAGGCTCTCCACTTTCGAATGCGCCATTGTGGTGAAGGGCAGAGGGGGTGCGGGAATTATCTGAGGACGCAGCGCTGGCAGGTGACCTTGACGCATCCATCTTAGTAGCAACGAATGAGCGGCGGTCTTGGGCTACTCCACTGGAAGAAGCTTGGGATGCAGCATCTTCCCGCTGATCCCAAAAATTGAAAGACGCTGGGTGTTACTACATGGCTACATTTTGTGCATATACATAGCTAAAAGGAAAAGAAAAAAAAAGCAGGCTTACAATCCTCTGCAATTGTCGCGTTTTCTGCATCAGTTCCTCTTTGAGGCGATTATTCTCTTCCAACTAGAAAAGAAAAACATGGAAACCCAAAATCAGCTACTTCAGTGGTGTGCGGAAATAAAATAGGGCGAGTTGGGAGTGGGACAGGAGGGGAATTGTGGAAGAGGCGATGAGGAAGGAATTGCAAGGGTAGGTTCGTGGGTAGGAAAGGATAAGAGGTAGACCTGGTTGCGGATGGTGGCCTCGGCGCCCTCGACGGCGCGCATGACGTGGAGGAGGTGGTCGGCGTTGGCCCCATCGGTGGCGGCGGCGGAGGAGGAGGAGGGGTGGTCGGAGACGGAGGCCGCGGCTAGGCGCCCCGCGAGGGCGTCCATGGCGGGGGCGGAGTCGCGAGGGCGAGTGGAGTCCAAGAGAGGAGAGGAGAGAGTGGAAATTGAAGGCGGAGGGGAGGCGGAGGCGAGGTGGGCTTTGGGTTAGGTGGGTGGGCGCGGACGCTCACGAGGAAGACGATGACCCAGCCTCCTCGCCTTTTTTGCCATTTGGATCGGAATAACTACTTCTTCATCATTTTTCTATTTTAGATTTATCCTAAATCAATGCTTTTAAAATTAAATTTATTATTAAAAAAATATAGTGCTGTACTATACTCTTTATTTTACGTTAGAAATACTGCTATACAGAAGCTTAGCACCAACTAAAACGACGAACAAGATGAGTAGTGAAGTCTATGGCTCTGTTTGAATCTCTTAAAAATAAAGATGGAGATAAAAATTAAGTGTTTTACATAAAACGAGGTGGTAATAACTTGTGATTAATTGAGTTTTAATTATTATAAACTTAAAAAAATAGATTGAACAACTTTAATATATAAAATTTTCACACAAAACACACCGTTTAGCAGTTTGGAAAGTGTGCTACGAAAATCTAGAACCCTCTCATACAGGGCCTATGTTGTCTGTGTTCTAATCCTGAATAAAAATAAGTGGATTTCTCCATAAGCATCACGCATATTCATTAAAAACAGAGTTTTCTTTTTTCCTTTTGACCAAAAAATAGAAGAGAATATATGTGTATACTTTGATTCCGTTTTATTACTAAAATTGAAGGGTTTTTTTGTCATCTTTGAAGATATATATATAGTTAAACGCCGTGTCGTCCCATCCAAGCATACTACAATTGCAAGTGAATTTCGTTTGCAACAGCATAAGTAGATTGCACAACAAACTAACTTCGATGGAAACGTGAAATCTACGCCATGCATACTCTATTGCTTATATCACCTTTTGTTTTGGATTCATTATTATCACTTGAGAGATGATGAGAAAGGGAAAAAAGAGAGTGAATTTACTCGGCCATTGTTTGCCTGCCGTGGCCCCAATCCTAGCCCATATATGTGAATCTTCAGCGTCATTCACAGCTCGGCCCATTTCATGTTACATCTCCTTTTTTTTCCTTTCCTTTACTTTTCTTTTGGTAATGGATATACCTTCTTCGAATGGGACAATTCGGTGCCGTGCACCCTTCACATTTCTTCGATAACGAACTAAAAAAATGTGCAGCCTTAACATAATTATGGTACTAGATCTCACACCCCGTTTGCTTTAAAACTCCATCAAGATTTATATTGAACATTGGTTTGTCCAAATATATAAAAAAACGCACATATGTATAGCCTAATTACCCCGATATGTGCATATTTCACAACAGAAATAGAATATGAAAAACAAATAATGAATATAAACCATTACGTCCCTCAACCATTTTGAGATGGCATACGGGGTACACAGCTCATATAACCTTTTTAGCATTGACGGTTATATAATTGGTGTCCATAACTTATACGAATATCTCCAAATGACGAATCACGAAGTTACTCATAAAACGTCAAACAATGATATTAATAGCTACCACCTCTAGAATTATCGTGCAAAATTAAGTTATGCTCCCTCCGTTTCAGATTATAAGACATTTTAACTTTGGTTAATTTTTTGAGAATTACGCAGTACAACGCAGACTCGCACTATTGAAAACCATTAAATCCTGAAAAATTCGTTCTGATGGGGAGTCGAATCCAGGACCTAATGTGCTACTGAGGCCCTTTCGCAAAGTACTCTAAGTTTGACTAATTTTGTAGAAAAAAATAGTAATATTTTTAACACAAGACAAATATATTATGAAAATTTATTCAATTATAGATTTAATGAAATTATGCTGATGTTGTAAATATTACTACTTTTTTTCTATAAAATTAGTCCAACTTAAAGCAATTTGATTTTGATCAAAGTCAATAACCCGAAACGGAGGGTGTATGAGATGATCAAATACACATTTTGTTCTTGAAAAGGAAATAGTAGTGACAGATTCTCAAAAGGTCCAAACGTTTGGACGTGAAATTCACTTGGACATTGACTTGCACGGTTTGTATTTGTGATCCAAGTGAAAAGGCTACTAAAGGAGGGGGGGTAGCAGCAGCGGGGGGCCCCAGTTGGCAGCCACTTATCTCATCGTAGCCCTTATCTTCCTCACGGGCTCACGCGCGGCGGGGAGAGAGAGGACGTCACCGATCGGCCATGTCCGCAGCCACCGCGTGCGCCTCGCCGGCGGCGGCGCGCCCGCCCCTCCACATCCCCCTCCGCTCGCCTCCTTCCGCCGCGCACCTTCCCTCCGCCGCCGCCTCCCGCCGGGCCTCCTCCGCCGCTTGCCGCTGCACCGCCTCCGCCTCCGCCTCCGCCTCGCCCTCCACCTGGGATTGGACCCGCTGGACCCGCCACTTCGCCGACGTCGACCAGGCCGAGAGCTACGCCTCCCTCCTCAAGGTACCCTACCCTCGCCACCATCCCCCCCTAATCTACTTCCTCTCTATCCATTTCAATCCACCCTAATCCCTACCTATCTTGTGCATCCACTCTGCGCAGTTCCAGCTCGAGGAGGCCGTCGACAACGAGGACTTCGCGGAAGCCTCCAAGCTCAAGAAGGCCATACTCGAGGCCACGGGCAACGACGCCGTCGCCCAAGTCATGTCTGAACTCAAGGTACTCTGCTTCCTGTTCGTCGTCCCTTTGTCACCGATCCAGGATTGAGGATCTCAACCCCAGATGCTGTTGTTGTAGCTAGCGATTCTTTTTCACTATTGTTTCTCCACCCATGTAGACTGCTATAGAGGAACAGAGGTATCAGGACGCCTCAAGGTTGACAAAGCTTGCCAGAACCAACTTGGTAATTGATTGAATCAGATTATCTTTAACAAACACATCACACATAAGCGATGTATTCTAACGACTTGATTTGCAGGTAGGTTGGTGGGTGGGGTACGCTAAGGATACCGATGATTCGATCGGGAGAATCGTACGGATAAGCCCCGGTGTTGGGAGATATGTGGCTAAGAGCTTCAGCCCAAGGTGCGTTTATGTCTCTTTGCAACCTATGCTAAAACCAAGTAACTTTTGTCTAGGTGATCCATAATTAAGTGCATCTTTCCTGTAGGCAATTGGTTACTGCATCGTCAGGAACTCCATTATTTGAAATTTTCCTTGTCAGAGATGACGATGAGACATATACAATGAAGGTGCACTGATGAAACTGATATTAGTAGTTTGTATTATAGTCTTCACGCAGTTCACAAAAAAAACAAGAACTCTGTTATGTCTAGTTGTGATATTTGTATTTACGAAATTTTTAGACAGGTTGTACACATGCGACCAACAAAAGGCACTTCAAGTGCATCATCCGTATCATCAGCAACTGCAGAAAGTCCAGCTAAGGAAGAGAATGAAAGCTCATTGGAAAGTAGTGCTATATCTGAGGGCATTACCGATGAAGCGAATACAGATACTACATTAAAGGGAGATGAAGATGTTGAGGATAAAGAACAAGATGTTGGTAACGCCAAGGATAGTAGTGTTGAAGGGTTGAAAAGCGTTCTGAATTTCTTCAAGTCTCGGATTCCTGAATTCAAAGTTCAAGTAATAAATGTAGATGTGTCTGAGGAAGCTGAATTAGCTTCAGATTCGTCAGAAGAATTAGTGCAAGATGATGTGAAGAGCACGTCAGAGAACTCATTGGAAGATTCTACCACTGAGGAGCTTCAGCAGGATGATGTTCCAGATGGAGATTCAGACTCAGCTGAAGATAGTAAAAGTCCAGAAATGAAGCTCTTCATTAGTGGAGTGGTTCATAACAAGGAGGATGCTGGAGCAAAATCATATGTTCGAGTTCCAGCTGAAATCAATAATTTGGAAAAGGATTCCTTCGAACTTTACATTCCTGGAAAAGGTTCTGATCGAGATCTGGCTGATACAAAGGCTGCAAAACAGAAAGTTGCTGATATGGCTGCCAAATTGGCATCAGAACTTATGCCTTCTGATGTTGCGAAGGCATTATGGGGAACGACCAAGAGTTCTTCGAAGGTGAGCATAACACTTGGTTTAGCTATATATAAGTCTGGAGTTTAGAGCATTTAGTGAGGTATGCTTTGGTTTATTGAAGTCTTCACAATTAGTTGAATAGTATCATGTCTTTCACAAAGTAACATATTAGTATATGAGCATTGAGAAATAGTTTGACCCATTCTATCTATCAAGTCTATTCTTGTTTCATCCACTTGTAGTGGTAATTGTCAACTCTCCATTGTCCCTACTCCCTAGTATTCTAGGCTGTATTTCTTTCATGCAATCAAGTTAACTGTGAAATGATGGATTCACTGCAGATAAATAAAGAAGTACAAGAGCTCTTAAAGCTTACCCTCAGCAAGGCTCGAGTCAAGCTGACTGAGAATACAATTTTCAATAGGATCATTACTGACAGTAACGGCTCAGATCCATTTAGTGGTAATGTCTTGTCAGTTAAACGGACGCCTTGATATTTTCTCTGCTTTGACTGATGGATTCTTGGTGTACATGTAGGTCTCTATGTGGGAGCATTTAGTCCATATGGACCAGAAGTTGTGCAGCTCCGTCGAAAGTTCGGCCATTGGAACAGCACAGATGAAGTGGAGTTTTTCGAGTATGTTGAAGCAGTAAAGTTGACTGGTGATCTGAGTGTCCCTGCTGGACAGGTTTGCAGGCATTTTGTATATTTCAACGAACAAGCTGGTCATCTTTCTAATGAATAATGTTCAATACAGATAACATTCCGTGCTAAGATTGGGAAGGGCAAACGTCTTGAGAACCGTGGTGCATACCCTGAAGAATTTGGTGTGGTAATTTCTATTTATACTTCTGTTTATTTAATTGTTGTTTCGAATTGTTAGACTAGACTGTAATGGCATGCAGTCTGCGATGATTCAAAGTGTATTTGTTTAAGCAAATTAACAGCTTCTTCTGGGCCGTGTGTAACATATATCATTTTCCAATTAACTTTTCGATTTTGCAGATTGCTAGCTATAAAGGTCAAGGGAGAATTGCACAGCCTGGCTTCAAAAATCCCCGGTGGGTGGATGGTGAGCTATTGGTGCTCAATGGCAAGGTAAAATAATTTTCTGCAGTTGCAATGGCCCTGAAATATATTAAAAAATTATGACCATAACATTGCTTAACAAGGTTTTCTTTAACCCTATTTCATGTCTTGAGTGAAAGAATGGCTCACAGCTGAACATGTCGTTTATTGTTGTCAACACTGAAATACCTTTTTTTTTTTCTAAACTTTGGAAGTTTTAGGATATGAAATTATACCACCATGGCAAATTTGATGCTTGTGGAGTGAAAGAAAGTTTTGATTTCTGCTGCATCTTTTGTGCTATGAACTTTCTTCAATTTTGTTTTGGGTCTTGATCTGGAGTTCTGGAATGACTGACACTGGAGGAAATTTAACACGAAGTTACAAGAAAAGCGTTCCTTTTAAAAATATTAGAGCGTCTGTTGTTAGCCTAACGTCGATTGTCTTATCAGGTCATTAGTGGAGAAAATGGTTCTTGTCACCAGATCGAAGCTTAGGGTGACACTTCTATGAGTGACTTCCACAGTTGAAAAAAGTTAGTGGTCCAGGTACCGAGGTTTGTATACGGTACCTGAGAAGTCCAACATTATAGGTCATTTTCATTTGCAAATTATAAACTGGGCAGAAGGTATTTGCATAACAAAATCTCTAGAACTTATCAATGCAATTTACATTATTTTACTCACCTACCCAATCCTGCCCAGAACAATGATTTCGTTGAAGTACTTTTTACAAGATCATCCTTGATAATTGGTGTTAAATTCATTTGCAGAGCACGATCCCACACCTTGGAGGTGCGGAGCTTGGTTTCCTGTACAGCGTGCCTGAGCAGAGTTTCTTGGTACTCTTTGACCGGCTTAAACTTCCAGAGTGATGAGATTATGCTGAATCGAGCTGTTCTCACATGCAAATTGCATGAGTACAGAGAGAAGCTGACACAGTTTCAAGAGAAACGTATAGATGTCCCGTCATCTTCCTGAAATCCTGAGATGCCTCAGCTCCTTTATTAGTCAGCTCCTACTTGACAGGAGCTGACCTGTTTGAGCTTTTTCAGGGTATAAGAGAGCTGACTATTCTGGTCTAACTGAATACTGCTATTCTTGTCCAATGGAAAACTGGAGCTTCATATGAGATCATGCTAGGCTCTTAGATGACGCGGTATAGATATAATTTGTGTGACAGTTTTGCATTCGGTTTTGCCTTAATAATGAAGGATGGGAAAGTTTTGTATTGTCTGGATGCTACAGATAAATAAAGCCTTATCTTTCAATACAGCATGCATGGCTTAATTAATGGTTACTTTGGTTCCTGATTCCAAACTGGCGCATCTTTACCCAACCCAATTTTTGACAGGATCAGTTTGTCCTAAATTTTGATAGGAGCAGTGGCAAAAAGAGGTGTGGAAAAAATTCCGTTGCCGGGACTCGAACCCGGGTCTCTCGGGTGAGAGCCGAGTATCCTAACCAGCTAGACTACAACGGATTGTTGAAGCAAGGACACTTTCAACAGCTGACACATGGTCGAATCTATGAGACGCAAAGGCAAACAGCAATTCAGTTACGTGAACCAAACAGCGACACAGATCACGGAACAAAGCAATAGTTGTCACGGTATTCATCTCTTTCGTCTTCTCTTTTTATCAGTATCACCGATTCATCGGTACAGTGTTTCCAGTTCTCAACATCTCAGGCACACGCGACAAAAAAGATGAATTTTAGTATTTGCAATCAATACTACTCCAAAACACAACGAAAAATTGTTTAACAAAATACAAAGAAAGATAAAAATTCACGGGACACCTTATCTTCAGCTGTGGTCCCAAAACACTCCGTTTAACTGTTACAACCCGTTAGATTAGAAAATCAACAAATGTGAAAATGACAGCTCCTAAAGCACAACTAAGCTCCACTATGTCAGGGTTCTTCTGTTAGACCAATAATGTCAGGAACACAATTCAGCGCCTTCTCGGATGAAGAAGCTGCAGGATCATACTAGAATTCAAATCAGACCACAATAGCTCCTTGCTGCTGATCAGATGCAAGTGCTACTCTATTTGGATCTGATTTACCCTGCTATACCAAATTGAATGTAATATCATGTGGAAGATGTCATACTTGATGGGATTTGGATGCCAAATAAAGTGCTTCTGCACCCGTTGAACATTCGACTGCATAGCCATGTATTGATCATCAGGAATTGCCAATAAGATCTGCTTCAGTTTGGGTACATCCTTTTCCGGTATGACCACAGAGAACGCACTCCAATTAAGTGCATCATCAAATGGAAGCACAAAATTGTCCGCAATTATCACCGGAACACACTCATAATAGATTGCCTCAACTATTCTTGGGCTGTTTACCTCGTATCCCATGGGACAAATACAGTATTTACTTGATTTCATATGCTGAATATAATTCATCCTCCTAGTGATTCTGTGTGGCAAACGGTCATATATTCTCATGTCTGCATCCTTTCCTCCCCAATACTGGAGGAGGACAGGTCGAACTCGTCCATGCATCTGTCCTGCAAAGAAGGCTAGGATAGATCTCTCTGCAGCAGGTTTTCCACCAATGCCTCTTAAGGGTCTTCTTGGTGATCTAAGAAATGTTTCAGGAAGGGACACATCTCTTCCATGAATGAAAACTCCTTCTGAGAGATCTGCATTACATAGAGCTTTAATGGTGTTTTTTCTCAATTCATCATGCAATTTGGTAGTGTATGGTCCCTGCAAGGAAGGGCCAGAATCAGAAACAGCATGTTAGCTTCTTTCTTGATTAAGTTTCAGCCTCCATTCAAATTTGTATGCACTAATATTCTTGTTCAATATGACCATTCAACAACGAGAAGTACTCAAAGGAAGAATACATACCCAGTCATGACAAGCGACAAAAAAATGATCAGCTCCTTTTGTCCTATTCCAATAGGGGAACTTGGTGGAGATAAAATCTATGTATTTCTTTACAAAGATAGACAATGGCTCAATTGTATTTGACCCAGGCACATAAAGATTGTGCTCTAGCTGACGAGAGCTATACGGTAGATAGAATAGGTGAGCTCTGTTTGGATCTCTCACAACAAAATGTTGGTTCCCTTCCATCAGTTTCATAAACCACCCCTCAGATGCATAAATGCCTTTCAACTCTGGTGAATGGAAAATAGGTTTTGCTCCATCATGGTATACAAAAACTTTAAGAAGTCTTTCCATCAGTTCATAGCTCCTGGAAGCATGAGAAAAAAAAATTTAAATAGTCATCTTCTGAAATGCAGAAGCCATTGAACAATGGAACAAACAAGCAATGGCATGATAATTTATAAACATGAAGGAAATTTAAGCTATCATTACAGTTTCCTCTATTAACATTTTCAATCACACGCTACCAAAATAGAATGTGAGAGGAAAAAATTACACTTATTTAAGGCAAACTAGTGAGCGCCACATGTACTGAAACTACTACGAATAACTAGGTGTGGGAAAAGTAACATGCCAACCATGGGAATTTGTCAGAAAGCGGATGTATGCAACACTAAAACATTGCTTATCTTCATGATAAAAAAAAAAGCAACAAAAAAGTTGTTTCCCTCCCTAAAAAGTTTGTTCAACATATAGTTGGGCATGCAAGTCCATAATCCCCTGATAAGAATAATGCTACTCACAAATTGTTAGCTAAATAATATATATGAAGTTAAACCATAGTCATACCTCCTAAAGACAGACACATTGCGGAACAGTGGTGCATGCAGATCAGGGTCATTGGACACCAGCGGTGCAATAGTGATCTCTTTCTTTGCATAGATTAGCTCTTCATCAGCTGCTGTTGACCAAAGAGGTATAGGCACCTGCTAAGTTTACAGGCCAAGAAAAAGATATTTAACATTTTTTTACTCCAAATACAAAGAGCTCACATCACATTGTAAAGGTGCGTAAAGCATCAACCTCTGGTCTTGGAGGAAGCATTGCATGGTCCTTCATGTCATGTCCCTTATTATAGATATCAGACCTCCTTATAGGAGAACCACTGGAAATGGGCTTCACAAGTAAGGAGGTTAAAAACCAGAAATTATATTAGTTACAAGTCTATGTATTCGGCGCAGATATGTACCTCTTGGAGAAAAGGAGCTGATTCCGCCGGTGGATTTTCCTGAAGTTAAGTAAAACTTTGATTAGATGCTATTAGATTAGATATATGGATATCCATCGATCTTGCATGATATAGTGATGTAGGACAAGATGAAAACATTTGTAATATGCTACTGTACCTAAGAGAAATATAGAATGGAATTGTATGTATGAAAAAGAGGGATTGGTGGGGCAGGTGAGGTGAGTACCTTTAAATCTGGAGGGTCAGTTTCCTCCATAGAACCATCATCTAAGTTTTCTGCTGGAGAAGGTGAAGGGACCAAAAACATGGAGGGGACTGTTGTAAACCCAGATGGCAAATTAGTCTGCAAAACAAAGCAAATTCCGCCATTTGATGCACTCTGATATCCAATAATCTTGACATGTTACAATAACCCAATGTATTCGCAAAATCACGCACATTTACTATTTACAAAGAAAGAAATGATGATTCATGAAGAAGGAGAGCCTTGGAAAGCAGAAATCTTTAGGACAGAAAAGGAGAGGAGACCTGGAGCTGGAGGATGGAAGTGGAAGGAAGCGGCGGTTGGGAGGCGGCCGCGGAGTCGGGCTGGTTGCTTGTGTTGTTGTGGAGGAGGGAGGCGAGGAGATACGGGTGGGTGGGGTCCTCGGTGGGAGGGGTGGCCAGCAAAAAGAGCGCCGCCGCGGCCGTGAGTGCGGCGACGGCAGCGCAGGCGGTGAGCGCGCGGCGGCGAGTGAGGAGGTTGCACGGGAGAGGCGAAGGCATTTCGGAGGGCGACGGCCGGCCGCCGCGCCGGAGCCCGGACCAGTACAGACAGAGAAGATCGAGGACACAGCGGTGGGGAGTCGAATTTACGCCTTTGCCCTCCGGCCCCACACGCCAATTTCCCATTTGCATCAAACTTTTTTCCAAGTACAGGAGGGCTCGTTTGGTTTAGTACATATCAAACATTGGTAGTATACTGACAAAATCTAGGCATGTTTAGCACTAACAATATTTTAGTAGGATAGAATTCTACGCATTCGGCAGCTAGAGATTGGGAGGAGATTTGTCTCGTTTTCTACGTGCACACTTCCTGAACTATTAAACGGTGTGTTTTTTTTTGCAAAAAATATATATAGGAAAGTTGCTTTAAAAATCATATTAATCCATTTTTAAAATTTAAAATAGTTAATATTTAATTAATCATGCACTAATGGCTTAACTCGTTTTGCATATCTTCTCAATCTTCTCTTTTCCTTTCCTCTCAAACACAAACTAAGGGTGTGTTTAGTTTACGGCAAAATTGAAAGTTCGGTTGAAATTGGAACAATATGATGGAAAAGTTGGAAGTTTATGTGAGTATAAAAGTTTGATGTGATGGAAAAAATTGAAAGTTTGAAGAAAAATTTGGGATCTAAACACAATGTAAGTAATGTATTTGGATTGATATTAATTGGGAGCCAAATTTTATATTATGGTGAGGAAAGTTCTAGAAATATACCAAATTAAACATGGGCATTACCATCCATTCTAAACCAAAACATCATATTTACTATTCAAACTACTAAAAATTTGGCATCAATCAAAGTGGCCCAAAATTCACTGCTAGTGCTGATCTTGTCACCAAAACGAGTAACCAAAGCTGGAGGAGTACTATAAGTTTCACACATCTCATACAATAGCTTCTTTTGAAACGCAAGAATTTATAAGAATTTCATCGTTTTTAGTTAAATCCTCTATTAGACTTGAGTTTGTTTGTACATGTTTCAAACTTATCTCTCGTTTTCAACCCACATGCTTTTTAAATTACTAAATAGTATGTATTTTTTTAAAAAATATATATATAGAAAAATTGCTTGAAAAATCATATTAAGCATCTTTTACCTTTTTTCACTAATACGTAATTAATCATGTACTAACTTGTCACTCTGTTTTCCCTCCTAGGATGTAAGGTTCCCAATCCTCACTTTACAACACAGTTTAAGAGTTTGTCAAAGACACAAAATGCTTACTTTTTTACATTTATATAATAGATATAGACGCACACAAACAACTACACATAAACACTGCATCCATACATGCAACTGTGAATGCACCCTCTAAGGCATGCTCAAAGAGATGGAAACCATCACATCTCTGAACACATTAAATTTCTATTGAAAACTCACTCATATGGTGTATGTAATATTCGTGGTCATTTGAATTTAAACGAGTAAAATCATACACCAACGATTTTACCATCACATTGTCGGTGCTTTCCCAGAGAAACTTTAATTTTTGCCTACCATCAGAGAAGGATGTAAAAAGTATTTCTTTTTTTTTAACACTGATATTATTTCCTTCCTCCAGTGGAGTATATGAGTATATTTGACGCTGAAAGTAATTTGAGAATATAGCAATGGTATATTTTACGCAATACTCCTATATAAGCGCTTTTTTAAAACCTTTTTTAAAAAATTTTGCAACCTGTGGTTGTCACACGTACTGTGACGGTACTGTCTCTATCAGATCGATGGTCTTACATCCTGATTCGTACATACGGAGTGGAGTACTAATAAAGACGGACACGCAGCAGCATAATTAGTCATAATTATACTGAGTAAGTAGTTTAGGTAGTACGTGGGAGTAATAATTCGTTATTAGTCGGTGGCGTCGAGGCACCAGCAGTAGTAGTCCGAGGTGGACAGCTGGAGGAGCTCCTCCGGCGACATGCGCTCCAGCTCCCGCTGCCTCCACGCCGGGAACGCCTCCGCCGGCGTTGGCGGCGGCGCGTGCGGCCCCACGCCGGCGTCCCTGCAGGTGTGCGGCCGCGCGCCACGCATCCGGCGGTAGAGGCGCAGCGCGGCGACGCAGTCGTCGTAGGGGTGGTGGTGGCGGCCGGCGATCTGGATGTGGTAGCCGAGGTAGGCGAGGGTGAGGTACTTGAGCGAGTTGCTGAGGCGGCTGTTGCTCGTCTTCATCAGCGCCGGGTACCTCGCCGTGTCCCGCTTCAGGTACTCCGGGTAGTCCATGCCCAGCGACTCGAGGTCGTGGTCCAGGCCGTGGCCGACCAGGATCCGGGCCCTCCCGCGGCTGCTCCGCGCCTTCCACGCCGGCTCGCCGTTGAGCAGCAGCTCCTGCACCCGGCGCGCCGCCTGCTTGGGCGTCATGGCGTCGCGCAGGTGCTCGGGGCGGATGCCGGTGGTGTCGTAGCGGTAGTGCGTGACGGGGATGTGCGGCTTGACGAAGGTGTCCAACACCACGCGCTCCTGCTCGTCCACCACGCACACGCGGGCGCACACGTCCAGGGACCCGTCGCTGCCGGCGCCCACCATCTTGCACCCCAGGGCGAGGACGCCGCCGAGCGGTGGCGCGGCCGCGGGGCAGGAGTGGGCGGCGGCGGTGGGCGGGAGGACTACGTGGAGGCAGAGGGGGCAGCCGCGGGAGGCGAAGGCGGCGGCGCACTCCGGCTTGGGGAGGGCGCCGGTGAGGTGGTCGCGGAGGGCGTCGAGGGAGCGGCAGTGCTTGCCGCAGACGCCGCAGCGAGGGTCGTGCGCCGAATGCAGCGACGTCCGCATGTGCTCCACCAGGTGCTCCTTCTTGTTGAACTCCCTATAGCACGCCGCGCACCTCTTCCTCCTATTCATATTTTTTATTTAACTTAATCAATTTCTTTCTTTCTTTCTTTCTTTCTTTTCTTCATATATATATATATATATATAATCAGAATGTAGTTAGAACATTGGCTAATACCTCTGAGAATCTGAAGAATTATCCATTCTCGATCTGAAGACTACTGCAGGAGTGCAGGTGAGTGGCCACTGGTGTAGTTAGTTGTTGTGCTGATTGGTGATTGCTATCTGCACTTGTTTCCGATGCCTATTTATACGCAAATCCAACGGACAGAATTTGATTCTTGACAGTGTTGTCGATCGAATGTGATGTCCCTGCTAGATACTCCCTCCGTTTTTGACATATCCTCTACTACGAATCTGGACAGGCTCCGTATCCAGATTCATAGTATATAATGTGTCACATTTCTTCAAAATGGTTTATATTTTCGAACCGATGGAGTAGAAAGCTTCACCAATATTCTGCTGCATGCTTTACACATCATCATCTTCTGGTTTTGAGGATATTATTCAGGACATGCTCATGCACAAAACAGCTTTAGAACCAACACTGTTAAAGAATGTTCTGAATGCATCCATCACTATGCTACATTTCCTTTCTTTCTGTTAGCATGCAAAAATATGAAAAATATCTCTGATGAATATCATAATTTGCCTGCAAAATGCTAACCAACCCTGCAGAACATTCCACTTCTCAAGGATATACTGCCAATATTAATAAAGCTCTAGATAGCTAACTGCAAACTCCATTTCCATTTCGACCCCCTTTTCTTTATATGCTGTCTGTCTGCAACGTTGTGACAGCCATTCGCCTTGCAAAGATAAATAGGATGCTTTGTACCCCATATATAGTTCATTTGCATTGTGCAAAAGCAGTACTAGCTCTTTTGCTGAAACTGCAATTGCTTTCTCTCAACGAGTGAGAGGCTCTCACTGATGGCATATTGATCCTCAGTCCTCACTTACAACTGAATTTTTCCTCTCTTCAAAATCCCTTGTCCATAAACAAAATCAAAGCAGCAATCCATTGACGAGTAATCTCAGTATGACATATATAATCTGCAAGAGAGTAAGAATCAAGTAACTGAAAGTCACCTTGTTGCTCAGTGTTCAGATTTATCTGAAGATAGAATGCCATGAAATGCAATGGAATGAGGAGATTTGTATCACATGTTTTTCTTTTCTATCCCTTGATTGTTTCAGGAAAAATCACGTGCAGTGCTTACATATGCATACATCATTAATCATTTATGTAGAAAAAAGAGAGAATACGGGTAGATACCCTAGTCAAAAGGAATGGTTTGAAAAAGCTAACTATTACGACGATGCTGATGGAAAGATTGAAGGATTCTTATGCTGTGACAAATCATTGGGTGGATCTTTTCTTCGGTGACGATCAAGCTAGCCGTGCCGTGGTGTCTGTACTGTAAGCATCTTCTGTTGTTTATGTGACTTGATCGAGGACATTGATCGTGCCTTACTCAATCTCATTCAGTTCATGAAGTTTAGAGCTCTTACATTGTCTAAAAAAAATTAAGATTAATTTGAAGCTTGCCCGGCTAGCTCTTGACAATTGTCGAAGTTGATTGAGCACAGTGAAATGAAGTACACAGGTTAATTTAGCGCGCGGTGAAAGGTAGGAGATCGAAGAGATTCAGTTCAAGCTTACGCTATCTTTCCATGCTCAATGTGCTAGCTTTTCATTGTGAGAAGCATATGCATTGGTGGGTGTTGTTAATTTAGATGAGGGGATAATGACCTGGCTCGGCTCGTTATTAGTAGTATCATGACTAGCCAGCTCGGCTTATTAATTAACCCTAACGAGCTAAAAGCGTGGCTCGGCTTAGCTTACGAGTTGGCTTGTTAAGCTCGTTAGTAAGTTCAATCTTATTTATATCAACTTTAAAATTTCAATATTTACCAATTTATCATATGTTAGTATAATATAAGCAATAACTAGTAAAATATTCACTAAATACAAATAGTTAGTTTGCTAGTAAATTAAAGGACTAACACTACACCATGGTCCACTTTTGCTAACAAAAGTCAGTTGGAAAAAAGACTAAATTTTGGAACAAATTATGTGTAGGCAAACATATAAAAGGGCTGCAACACCGACTGCTGAAAATTCTGTTGGCACAGGCTTTGCCGATACTTTCTTAGTTGCCAAACATGACTTTTGTCTACACAATGGACGGACGGTGAACGTGGGTCATTGTGTAGTGTAAGTACTCACAACTTAAGAAGCACTAAATATGAAAATATATAGTGACTTTTGTACTAATGAGTAGCTCGATCATGAGCTGGCTCGTTAAATTAACTTACTAAAAAATGGTCGCGACACGGTTCATTATGATTACGAGTTTGAGCCAATCTTAGCCATAAGCTTTTTTCACCCCTAATTTGGATCAGGTGCAAATGCAACAGAAGAACGGGTAGATGTTCCAAAGGAGAAGTGCCTGCTGTGTCTCAACTCTCCACTGCCAAATACTGGCAATATTAAAGCTATGGCTACCTAACTGCAAAGTTCATTTCCATTTCACCCCTTTCTTCTTTTTGTTACTGTTTGAAAAGTTGTGACAGCCACCCGCTATCTGAAACTGCAAGTTCTTTCTCTGAACAAAGCTCTTGTCCTCACTAATAACTAGTGATCGAGATCTCAGAGAAAACATATCAGGGTAGCAACTGAAAATCTGCTAGCTTATTGCTCAGGATTCAGATTTCCTCAAGATACATTGCGATGAAATGCAATACAGCAATCATATGTTTCCGTATATTTTCCAGAGGAAAGCACCATATGTATACATCAATCTCTTTATGTAGATCAAAAGGAATTGTTTGAAAAAGCAAGGTGATGCTGATGTAAAGATTGGAGGATTCAGATGCAAGTCCCATCCGAAACCGATGTGTCGTCCGAAAAGAAGAAAAGAAAACCACAGATGAACATGAGCCTAGCTGTGAGAGCGTGTGACAAATCATTGGATGGATCTTTTTTTGGTTTGGAGGCAGCAGCTGAAGAAGAAGCACCGGATATGCTGTGAACATACCGTTTAATCTTGTGCTTTTCTTCTCATTGGGATATTGTTCTGATGGCCTCATCATGTCCAAAAAGAAAAAAAGAAGCATCACTGTTCGATCTCAATCTCGATCTCGATCACGATGCAAAGGCAGGCCAGCCGGTTCTCCGCATATATATATTTGGCTATAGGTAGTGGCAGACCGTTCATGTCGATGGAGGGCAGATGTGTATATGTGGTGTGTAGTGGAATGGAATAGATTCAGAAGAGCAAAACTAATAAAATTCTGATATGATCGATATGACAGCAACATGGCATGGCATGTACTCTGGCCTATATTCTCATCTCGTCGATTGGAAGCATCCCTGATCAAAGATCGTTTCTGCATTTGCCATTTCTCCTTGTTAAATTCAGTTCTCTTACTACTAAGTATCGTTTCACAAAAAAAAAAAAAAGGAGAAGAAAATCTCTTGTTCAGTTCAGTTTGGCGTTCAGATGATGGAGGGATGGACGATGGTCATGGTCTCATGTATGGTTGCAGGCAAGGGAATTTTTTTTAAAAATAATATTATTTTAATGGAAAATTGCAAAAGTAGAAGCTGATCGGTTAAAATTACAAGTTTAATGCCCTGTCGAACATCCATAGTTCGACAGGGGTACATATCGAACAACCACAATTCGATAGGGTACCTGTCGAATTGCGATTGTTCGACAGGGTATAAAAAATACCCTATCGAACTGCCCCTGTTCGACAGGGGATAAAAAATGATAGAAAAAAAGAAGATCAATCACTATGAGCACTGTACACCACTGTGCATGCAGACCTATCGAACTTTGGATGTTCGATAGGCCCCCTGCCATGCTCTTTCTTGTCCTTTTCTGTTTTTTTAAGTGAACCACAACCCTGTCGAACAACTGTAGTTCGACAGGTACCTGTCGAACTGTGGTTGTTCGACAGGGTATCAAACTTGCAATTTTAGCTAATCAGCTACTACTTTTGCAATTTTCCATTAAAATAATATTATTTCTAAAAAAAATTCCAGGCAAGGCAGCTCGATAGATCTGCTCAGACAGAGATAGGTACAGTTAATTTGCTACTACTACCATTACTCTTTTTTTTTTTAGATAATGTACTACTACCATTACTCTTACTCTTGATCATGCAAGGCATGGGTGTTAGGAGCCATGTGGGCTGCAATATGGGCTGAATCAGCTACTTTCCAAGAAGTCCAAGCAAGCCCAAGAGACCAGATCATTGTCCAAAGGGCGGCACGGCGACCTGGAGGCGGGCTTGCCTCCTTGTCGATCTCTCCTTCCCTCTCTTCTTCTTCCTACCAACCAATGTATCCTCTTACTCACTGATTCATTCAGAATCTTCTAAATCTTGCTCCTGTTAGTTGTTGTTCCTTCCAGCCCACCTATATACTCGTGATTTGTATTGGAGCTTAAACAAGTGGGTCTCTAACAATGGGCCACCATTTACTTAGGATGAGATCGAAACCGAGGGCATGAAATGGATGGCAAGACGAAGAAAGGGACAGAGACAGATACATGGAGCAGGAAAAAACAGCAAAGCAGCAGCAGGATGAGAGGAGGACATGGATGGCAACATGGAGATCCAGATGCAGTGCAGCACTGCAGGCAGCACGACACTCACGACCACGACAACTGCTGGCTGCTTCTACGAGTTACTCCATCTGTAAAAACAAGTAAAGTAAGGGAAGTGCTTCTATGCTTCTTAAAAAAAAAACTGCACGAAAGTTAAAGCACGTCAATGGTGAGGATTAAAAGTTGATTAACCGAGTAATCACCATTAGCAAGGGGCAATTTCGTCCAGAAGTAAAAGCCCATATCCGTATCCACATCCCTTCTCATGGATTGATTCGCGGCCAGCGCGCGGCAGTTCTCACGACGCATTCCGGTGAACAGCGCCGCACGCCCGCACCCTCATCCTCTACCCCCTGTAACTGTAAGAGTGTTTTCCCCTTCCGCTACTAACCACGCCGTCGCTGCTTCCTTCACCGGCGAGCTCTCTCCTTCGGGGAGCTGTGTGTTGACGTGTTGTGTAGGTGGTGCTCGTCGTCGTGCTTTCAGGTTCGTCAATATTCTCGTGGTTCAGGAAACATGGCTGGTTGGCTGATTCATTGAGCACAACACCCTCACTCACCATTATCAACACCTTATTCTGCTTCTTCGTGATTCTCGGCAGAGATTACCAAAGCTTCCATGTCCATTTTATTCCTCAGTATATGGTGATACCTCTGATATGCATTCAGAATTGAACTGAACTTAACACAAGGCTGATCACAATCTTTTGAATTTACATAGAATTGGTTGTATGCGCTGATCCTATCCGTCTCGGACTGTTCGCGGCCGCGTGCCTATATATAAACTGCGTCGGCTTCTTACCGGCCGCACGAAGAATCGATGGCGATGGAGATTATGCAACAGCTCGCCGCCGCCGCCACGGCAACGGCCCTGTGCCCTGAACCATCTCTGATGGCGATGACGACGGCCGGCGCAGGTGGAGGCCGCCATCGCGACGCTGCATGGCAAGAAGCAACGCCTCCGCGAGGCCTGCGACAGCCTCGTCCTCCACTCGCCCATCCTCCTCCCCTTCCGCTGGTCCGACCTCGACTCCCACCTCTCCTCCCTCCAGTCCTCCATCCACGCCCGCTTCAGCTAGCTGCAGGCCCTCCAGGCTTCCCGCCCCGCGGCCCCCGCCGCCGCCGGGAGCCATGGCGAGGACGTCCAGGAACAGGGAGAGGACGAAGTGATGGCAGCGGCGGCGGCGAAGATGGTGCCTCCGTTTACGGTGCTGCAGGTCAAGGAGAGGAGCCCGCGGAGGCGCCGGCATGCGCGAGCATGGACGCCACAAGGCTGTCGTCGAATGCCGCCGGCAAGCGTGCCGGCGTCGGGCAAGATGGGTTCGTTCGACCCGGTGGGATGGCGGTGCCGGCGGCGGCGGCGAAGATGGCGCCTCCGTCAAAGGTGCAAGTCAAGGAGGAACCAGTCGATTCTGATATGCGGACAGGGTGGGCTAGATATGGTCAGCTTTTTCTTAGGACAAAATTACCCCTCGTTAAAGGGGATTACTCTGTTAATCAACTTTTAATCCTCACCGTTGATGTGCTTTAATTTTCGTGCATGTTTTTTTTAAAGAAGCATAGAAGCACTTCCCGTAAAGTAATTAATTCTAAAGATTAATGATAGTTGTTTATTCAAATTCATCTTAAAAAAATAGTTATTAGTAGAAAGTAGTACATCTTTCATCTTAAAATAAGTTCATTTCTCATCTATCTCACATATATCAATGCAAACAATTATTTTCTATTTTATCTATTCCTGATACAGTTATTTTATACTTTTACAAACTTCGATGGAATAATTGCTTTAAAAAAATTACTTTGAGATAAATAAAATGAGCTAAAAATAAAATTATTACGATAGAGGGAGTACTAGTCACATTAATTATGGGGATTGATCGATCAGATCAGATGAGCATGGTACGTTGTTGTTAGGCAGGGTCGCCCGTGAAGTAGTCACGAGCGAATTGAATTTGCAATCGATGTATGCCTACTACTAGCTGCTACGTATACCGAGGTACGTACGTTCTAGATGAATGCTGTAATTCGTACGTATACGTACATTCTGATTAAACAAATTCGCAGTTTACTCTGGTCCAAACAAACAATATTAACAGGAATGCTTCCAATTGAGGGATTATCCTGTATTGAGGGGGAAAAAAATCCACCCATACATACGAATTATCCTGTATTGAGGCTCCCCCGTTTTATCCGTTTTTTTAAAACTTTTTATATTTTTTTATTTTAAAAACGAACCCCCTCTAAGACTTAATTTTTAATATCTGAATGTTTTGACACATCAGTCAGGCTAGCGTGAGGACGGATCCAGCATGGGGTTGATAAGGCTCTCAAGCCTCCACTATCGATGCAAGATTTTTGTCTCTACAAATCAAGATAAACGAAGATTTCATTCGATTATATATGTTGTACACATATATCTCAATTAAATGCATGCACACACCACACTTTGGGTAGCTTTCTTGCCGTCTCTCCCTGCCGTCCACCACCGCCGAACCCAATAAGGATCCAACTCATTGTCAATTCCTAAAAAAAAGAAAAAAAAATCATTGCAAGTTAATTAAGAAATCGAGTATTATCGTAACCTTTTTTTTTTTCCTTGAAGATAAAGATGTTGAATTAATTACTTCGGGCTTAGGAAGCATGCAATAAGCATTTTTTATATCCTATTGATAGCAAATCAATATGATTCAAAAAGGTGTAATAGGGGAGAGAGGGAAGTTGTTCATATAGGTGGCACACGGAGGTAGGTGCTGAGGATTAGGTTTCGACACCACTTTATTTGACGCTGAGACCATTCAACTTCAGCTCCAAATACCCTTGGCACCGAGCTATGTATCTATTTTTTTTATTAAGTTTTAGAAAGGCTTAATTGTAAAATAAGTTTTTTTTAAAAAAAAGAAATTGAAACCAGCAGGTATGCACGTGAAGATAGTACTCACATGCTCACTACTTTGGGTCCACGCTGAGGTAAAGAGAAATTTCACGGTCTTTAATTAAGAGAAAAACTTTAAGCGTAAGATCTAGAGCTTATGTACATGTCTTGGTATTTGGTATTAACAGGTGCTACTAAATTTTACATGATGACTTTTAGTAATTTTTCAAGAGCTGTAAAATTACTCAAACATAAATGAGGTTATGAGGGCACAGTTATGCTGTTAGCATTGGGGAACTGTATATTATTAGCCGTTAATCTGAAATAAAAGTACGGACCATTACTATAAAATCCTCCGTAGGTACCGACTCATGGTTGTCGGTTCATTTAAAATCGATATCTATTAACCTTTTTCGTTTCTATGGGATAAAAAAAAAACTGACACCTTTGAGCAACTATAGACACCGGTTCTAATATAAAGACCAGCACCAATAATACTAGTGCGGATTTTTTTCAAAAGAATCGGCACCTATACTTATATTATAGGTGTCGGTTTTATAAAAAGCTAGCCCGAGCCAATAGATCATGGGATGGTGATTCCTTTTAACCCCACCGAGTCAACCAGCCCCTCCTTATCCATCCCCCCTCTCTCTCTCTCTCACACACACACACTTATCCCGCCGCCCCTCAACTTCACAACCTCGTCGCCGCTGCATTGTCCTCTCCTCCCTCTTTCTCCTCCTCACTGCATACGTGCCTCCTCGCTGTTGTCGCCCATCCTCACAGCTTGTGAACCACTAGACCAAGCTGCCTGGAGCTCGCGTGCCACTGATCTGGCGGCGTCGACCTCGACGCGGAGAGGGCTAGCCTACGACGACGACGCCGTCGGTAGTCATTGTCTCCCACGCCGCTCCTCCTTGCCATAAACCGCTAGCGGAACACGGTGGTGCAGATTGGCGACGATGACATTAGTGGCTCCGCTAGGACTGGAGGGAGGGGGGTAGTGGGTTCTTGATCTCGTGTAGTCCTTCATCTTCCTGGTGTTGATATATGATGGATGGGGAATAATAATTGAATTTCTTGATCAGTGTGGATGGGGATTGTTGTTGTTGAATCAATATGGAGTTCTAGCCGGCGTCTATGTATTTTCTTTAAATTGTGGGGAGCCCAAAAATATCAATTCTATCAAGTCATTGGTGACGAATATATAATTGTTGCCGACTATAAAACCGGCACCTATCCAGGTTTACAACCGGGAATTTTTAGATGTTCTGTAGTAGTAGTGAACAATTATAATTTATATCCCTATATGTTTACTTACAAGAGATAGGTATATTGTACTCCCTCCGTTTCGTTTTATTTGACACCATTGACTTTTTAGCACATGTTTGACCGCTTGTCTTATTTAAAAAATTTAAATAATTATTAATTCTTTTCCTATCATTTGATTCATCGTTAAATATACTTTTATGCATACGTATAATTTTACATATTTCACAAAAGTTTTTGAATAAGACGAATGGTCAAACATGTGATAAAAAGTCAACGGCGTCAAATAAAACGAAACGGAGGGAATACAATATATATCTGCTCTCCAAAGACCAAGCTCGCATGACAACCAGATGTTTTTACACACCTTGGCAACTTGTAAGAAGAAAAAGGATGCAACAAATACTAGCTAGCCTAGCGTATATGTTCATATTTGTAGCAGTACGTGGTGGTGGTGGTGAGCTATAACTCGAGGATCAGCTCTCTTCTCTACTCATGGCCAAGCATATATGATGTAATCAATTGCATATATATATGTTTGGCTGTCTCTATATATAGGGGACAAAAACAGGGATGGAAAGTGAGCCGATCCAACGGAACTAAACACATTTTAGGCGAATAATTAGAAGGGTGAATGGACAGTTAATTACCATCTCTATCCAAGTGTGACAGAGTTAAAAGCAGGTAGCTAGCTAGCTGCCGAAAACACTTTGGCAAAGCAGCTAGGAAAGAAGACAATAATGCGTTAGCTGTATGTATGTAAGCATCTTTGGCATGTGATTGGTTGGAGGATTGAAGGGCACATGATGATGGAGATCGATCCATCGTTGTGCAGCTGGTAGGGATCGGATAGCGATATCGATCGATCGATTCATACATGCATTATGTTCACTTACATTTCAATTAATTATTGTTCTAGCATTTAATTTTTTTATTAAGATAGTACTTGTTGTTCTTACATTTCAAAATAATTTTGGTGCTATTTTTTCCCCTACCCTTCATCAATACAGCCATACTCATACTTATATTAATTAGAAGCTTCTAAAAAAATAAATAACTATACCTCTTGAAAGATGATTATAATGTAATCAATAGCAATGCAATTTATCGTACCTCCTAGTTCAGCGTGAGAATTAGTAGAACGGTAAGCAAAATGGAAGCGGGAGTGTGTTTAATTTGCAACTGTGCGATAACGGAGAGAATTGAGAAAGTATATTAATTAAGCAGCATGGTAGCTAGTATTATTTTTCCATTATCTAAAAACCAGTGCAAATTAAGTGTATTTTAAGGAAGAGTTTAGTCTGAATGAATAACTTTGGTCGATGCTGGTTTTAATTAAGTAGAGCATATGCAATGCAAGGCTGATAGTGGGCGTGGCGGACAAGACAAGTAGTTGAGTTGCTTCCGTATACGGATGGGTGATACGGCCGTCCTTCAACCATCCCCCACAACCAAGTTGCATAAATACTGTAGGAGTACATATATGCAGTGGTCCTCCTCCCATATTGTACAATAATACTGGAGTATATCCGATCCACTTGCTCTCTCTAATCTAATGGCCACTTGCTAATTAAATAACTCATCATCATCATGCATGCAAATATGCAATGCCTTGATGAGTGGCCTACGGTACATACTCGATCGATCGACAACAATATATGATCCATCATATATATATGCGCTGATCTCTAACTAACTAACAAATCTAGATTTTTAATTGATCCTGTATAGTATAGCTAGGTAGGTAAGTACCATAACCCAAATGACTGGCAATTCTTTCTACTCTTGCTCCAGTATTCCCAGGTCGTTGTACCACTGCCGCCCCTCGCGTACAATTCCTGCTCTATTTCAAACTCTGCTTGTACAAGCACACCGGCCTGACCACGCTGTCTACTTGTAAAAATATGATATTTTCTAATCCATTTAGATTAGAAAATATCATATCTATCTATTATTATATAATTAAAGGAATAGAAAAATGAGCCTCCACGTTCGCTCTCATGGCCTAGAAATTCTCACATTAATCGGAGAAAAAGAAAAAGCAGAGTCCATATAGAAATACAATTTAGAAATAGCTTAAATTCGGAATTAAAAAATAAGGAATATTAGAAGAGGAGACCGGAGTCCATATAGAAATACAATTAGGAAATAGCTGAAATTCGGAATTAAAAAATAAGGAATATTAGAAGAGGAGACCGGAGTCCATATAGAAATACAATTAGGAAATAACTGAAATTTGGAATTAAAAATAAGGAATATTAGAAGTAGAGTATAGAGTCCATGTAGAAATACAATTAGGAAATAACTGAAATTCGGAATTAAAAATAAGGAATATTAGAAGTAGAGTATAGAGTCTATATAGAAACTTAAAACTAACTAAAATTTGGAATAAACATAATAAAATTAAAAGTAGAGTTTAGAGTCCGTATAAAAATACAATTTACAAATAGTTAAAATTCGAAATTAAGAAAAAATGGGAAGAAGAGTTTAATGCTAATATAGGAATACAATTTAGAAGTAACTAAAATTCGAAATTAAAAATTAAATAATATTGAAAGATGAGTTTAGAGTCCACATAGAAATATAATTAGAAATAATAAAATTTCAGAAATAAAAATAAATAATATTAGAAGAAGAACATATAGTCTATATAGAAATACAATTTACAGAAAAAAGAAATATTAAAAGACGAGTCTAGAGTCCATATAGGAATATATATAATTTACAAATAACTAAAATTTTATCTTAAAAATAATTAATAACTAACACGTATATAAAATGCAATATGAATATTACACATTAGTAGTTTTGTAAAGTTATTGCAAAATTTAAAATTATGTTGTTATTTTAATATATTTGAATAATATAATGAGAAAACATATATGCTATTATATGAGAGAAAATATAATGATGCTAGCCGCGCAATCTGCGCGGGCCATCATGCTAGTTTTTTTTAATTTAGGTTAATATATTTTAGAACGAATAGAGTACTTTCTCTGTAAAAATACATCAATTTCTGCTTTGAATTTAAATATAGCTTATGTCCAGATTGAAAGCTAGGCGTTGGTTTTTGTAGGATAGATGGTGTACTCCACTTGTAAGGAGGTTAACCTGCTGCTATAAGTGAACTGGGATCAGGCACAGTTTCTATAGGAACTGCATGTTAAGCTATAGGAGCCATCTACTTTGTTGATGAACGGACCAGATCGTCAGCTACAAGTAGTGGTGCAAAGCGCTTTAAAAAAATTGCTACAGTAAGCTACAATCCTGGACGTATTTTAACCATTAGACCAAGATGCAGGAAGTATTTTATTTTTTTTACTTGTGCTGTGCCGTTACATATCAGGCGACCGTGCGGGCATCTGGTTGATCACATAAAACGCTTTCGGTGGCTTATTATTTGGCTGCACAACTTGTATCTAAGATGATTCATATATACGGTGTCAGGTGTCGTTTTTATTATTTGGAATACGCTTGCGTATTTACGAGAGAGAAGTGCAACAGAATATACAACGGCATTTTTTTCAATGAACAGAATACAACACAAAACTAATTATGCGACCTTGGGATCTATACTCAGAGTTAGATTTAACTAAGGGCACCCGCAATGGTTATCTATAGGCTCTCTACAAGAGACTCATGTCAGCATATTTTCCTACTTGGAAGATATTAAATGAAGAGAGAGCAAAGCTATCTACTAACTTAGAGATAGTCTATAGAGAAAAACGAGACAATGTATGAGAGAGCTATAGATACCTATATAGACATACTATTGAGATGGTTTACTATTAATCTAGTATATTGTTGAGATATACATGTTTTATAGAGCACCTTACTTTACTATTTCGTGTGCTCGAATGAGGAGGAATCGACCGTTCTCACCCACGTGCGGTGATTTGTTCATGTCTAGTCGGTTGATCCGTTGATGGATGGATCGTGTAGACGTGTAGTCGTGTACTGCTCCCTGGGAGGCTGGGACATGATATACTCCCTCCGTTTCGTTTTATTTGACGCCGTTGACTTTTTATCACATGTTTGACCATTCGTCTTATTTAAAAACTTTTGTGAAATATGTAAAATTATACATATGCATAAAAGTATATTTAACGATGAATCAAATGATAGGAAAAAAATTAATAATTATTTAAATTTTTTGAATAAGACAAGCGGTCAAACATGTGCTAAAAAGTCAACGGTGTCAAATAAAACGAAACGGAGGGAGTATCAAGTTTTGCAATACGAAATGTTGGGCATTTCTTCAGAGCTTATCCCGAATGCATGGTCTCCCATGGATGGATGTCCTGTGATTTCTTCCTTTCCTACAGAAAAAGCAGATCTCTTTGGCTTGGCAGCTCGCTGTCCTGTGATTACTGTACTGTACTTAAAAGGGAGGAAGGAAACATATAAACGCGTCTTCTCTTGAGCTAACTAAAAAGAAAAGAAAAGAAAGAGTGTCTTCTATTGAGGTGAGGTCATCTGTCGTGGTGTCACTCGACACTTGCAATCAACAGCTGTTTCCGCCAAAACAAACAAATCTGTTCTAATCTCGGCACCCCTGAACCACCGAAAAAGCTCATCACTCTCTTCTCTTCACTAATAACCTGACGACCTCTGCTGGCTGCACTTGCCACTTCATCGTCGTCGTCTTCTTCTTCTTCTTGTTCGCTTTTTACACTCTCATCAAAAGAATCATCTCTCTCTCTCTCTCTCTCTTTTTCTTGCTTGCCTTGTTTGGATCGATTCGATTAGGATGCGATTGAATCGCCCGTCTCATCTTCCCAGCCACACCCACAAATAATGTTGTCTTTCCGCAAATCCCCTCCGATATCCGTGTCCTGCTCTTTTTTTTTGTTATCCTCTACCGAAAATCCCGATTTTTTCGCTTTGAATCCGCCTTTTATCCTTCCTCCCATAAAGCTTTGAATCCCCGCGAGCGAGAGCGAGATTCCAGGCGCCGATTCGCTTCCACTTCCGCGAGCGTTTCGTGCATTGATTCCAAGAAGATCCAAGCTTATCGCGGAAAAGAAAGAAAGAAAGAAAGGAAGAGGAGATGAAATGCTTCAAGCAGCAGCAGCAGCAGGGCGGCGGCAATGGCGGTGGGCAGGGGAAGAGGCTGGAGAGGCGGCTGTCGCTGGGGGAGTACAAGAAGGCGGTGTCGTGGTCCAAGTACCTGGTGGCTCCGCCGGGAGCCAAGATCCGGGGTGGCGGCGAGGAGCTGTGGAGCGCCGACCTGTCCAAGCTGGAGATCCGGACCAAGTTCGCCACCGGCAGGCACAGCCGCGTCTACTCCGGCCGCTACGCCGCCCGCGACGTTGCCATCAAGATGGTTAGCCAGCCTGAGGAAGACGCCGCCCTCGCCGCCGAGCTCGAGCGCCAGTTCGCCTCCGAGGTCGCCCTCCTCCTCCGCCTCCGCCACCCCAACATCATCTCGGTACCTTTCTTCCTTCTTCTTCGATTCAATTTCAATTTCTATTTCTTCTTCTTTTCTAGTACCTTTATTAATAACTTGTTACTATTATTATTTCAATTATAATGGATTCTGTCCTGTGCATCTTGTGGGGACTTCTCCATCATTTTTGTGCACTTCCATCCATCAAGTCCAATTTAATTTCTAGTGCGCTCGTAGATGTTTACTACTAACACAAGTTGTTGCGTTTTGGTTTGGTTGGTTTTGTCTGTACCAGATATTGAATACTAGATTATCTCACTTGAACAGCCTGTTAGTTTCACATCTTAGTTCCTTTACGCTTTATTGGTGTGCCCCATGCGTGCACTAGGCTGTAGGATTTGTTATGCTAACCGATCTTCACATTAAAGGTTCTTACTTTATGCCTTGTTTTGATTGGGCGGAAGGATGGGGTCGAGAAGATAAGTCTGGGTGCGACATGATTCATGCTTGTTTATACTAACCCAATGAGGAGGGAGTGAACATGGCAGAAAAAAAAAAACTTCTCTTCCAGTAGTATGATATTGATAGTTAAGATAGCGAAATCTGAGTCACGTACAAATGTTACAGCAATACTGTTCTCCTCCCTACTCTTTCTCTACGTTCATATCTCACCCTTTCGATCCATCGAGCAGAGAGCTGGTAATGATTGTTAGTGATTTTTTGTGAGATCCTGAATGTTTTTTTGTGCACTTTCCATCATATATATTACTTAATAGAGCTTCCTTTCTTTGGAGAAAACTCAACAGAGCTTCGTATTTAATGGAGAAGCACATCTAATAAACTTCTCTAAGCCGCCTAACTATTTTTAGCCATCCACTGGAGGTGGTTTATAGGAAAGTTTAACCCCTCTGTTTCTTTGATTGGCGGTATATCAGGATATTTTTACACGAGTGCTGCAAAAGCTAGCCAGTCTTTAGGTTAATTGATTAGTCCAATCACTGTCCGCACCACTTTTATAACTTATGTGAATTGGCTTCATTATGAAGAAGTTGGGTAAAGAGAGCCACCAGCCAATGGTTGTATTCAGGTTTTTATCCTATGCTTGATGAGTTCATGCCATATACAGCATTATAGGTGATAATGTTAGATACTTGTATGAGAAGTTAAAAGATGCTATTTTCCTAATTAAAGTGCGTGGTGGACCATATATGACATCCAAACTTAACTGCTTTCATATGCCAAGAAAAGTGTCTCTCGTAAGAATTTAATACGGAGAATTGACTCAGAGAGTGATAGTTCGTGACTTTGCCTACAGATAAAAATCTATGTTACTTTTCACTTTATCAAGTGCCTACCTGGATTACTGGTCCCACAGATCACATGGAAAGTATCACTTTGTCAAACCAACCGAAGTTGAGTAAGCACAAAAATCATGTGACATCTATGCAAGTTGCACTCCAAATGTTCTTCAGTAATACTGGCAAATTTCTGCAAGAACCTTAATTATTTGTGAAATTGGTTTATATGAGTGTTAGGCCGCATTTGATCTCAAATCGTTTTCCTCTGTTGCATTATTTGCCGTTATAATATTTTAGCTGTCCATGTTAAATATATTGCTAAAATAGGTCTTGGTTCTGATAGTTTGATAGATAAACTGTTCATCCCTTCGTCACCCCTTTTCTAACCTGTTATCCTCTATTTGCCCCTTCGAAATTTGCACAGTGCGCAGAGTGATGGGAGGGGCAAATAGAGGGTAAAAGTTAAGAACAAGGGTCATTGAATGGATGAGCAGTTTCAGAGAGGTAATTAAGGGAAGTGGCCAACTTACAGAGGCAAATAAAGAATTTCTCTACATATAAAGCATGCTGGATTTGAAATGAAAGATGCCCACTACTTTTAACTTGTGAAGGAACTCTTGTAACCAATTAATCTCGTTTGCTCATTTTGTTGAGTCTCAAACTGATAAGAAATATATCTAAACTCTTGTTTTTCAGTTTGTTGCAGCATGCAAGAAACCACCAGTCTTCTGTATCATTACTGAGTACATGGCAGGTGGCTCCCTTAGGAAATATCTACATCAGCAAGAACCTCATTCTGTTCCAATTGAATTAGTGTTGAAGTTATCCTTAGAGATTGCTCGTGGAATGAGCTACTTACACTCGCAAGGCATACTTCACAGAGACTTGAAGTCAGAGAATATACTTCTCGATGGAGATATGTCAGTAAAGGTGGCAGATTTTGGAATTTCGTGCTTAGAATCGCAGTGCGGAAGTGGTAAGGGTTTTACTGGAACGTATAGGTGGATGGCTCCAGAAATGATCAAAGAGAAACACCATACGAGGAAGGTTGATGTATACAGCTTTGGAATTGTCTTGTGGGAGATTTTGACTGCTTTGGTACCATTCAGTGAGATGACACCCGAGCAAGCTGCTGTTGCTGTTGCCTTGAAGGTATGAATTTTTGACATGCCACCTCTCCAATCTTCATGTCCATCTTTGTTTCCTTGGCTATAATGTAGGCTGTTAAAATCATGAGATGCTGCTGCCTTTTCAGTCGCAGTACCAGTAGAAAATTTTGGTTTCTTTCTGTAAGAGAGTAAAAAATGTTTTTTTTCCCTTATGGAAACTATGGCGGACATTTAATTAGCCTGAACTTTATTGGTATCAAAATTGCGGGTAATTAGAGGATTTAATTAAGCCTGAACTTTTTTTTTGCTTAAATCCTCTGTATCACCCCAAAAATTGTTTGTAATTCTGTTGACATGGTTTCTAGCTTGAAAAAAAAAACATATTAAACATGCTCGATCCATTTAGGTAATTACTGCTCAACTAGCGATGAAATTTGAATAGGCTGAAAATATGGTGTTTTTCCACACATTGTGTTGCGCAGCAAATATCTATATGATCCCATAAGTTTGGAAAATAAGAGTCGGTTAGCTTGTCCTATCTGTTACTGATGACCTTCATCTATTGGACTTTTGCAACTAATAGCTTTTGTGCAGAATGCTAGGCCACCACTGCCTCCTTCATGCCCTGTGGCAATAAGCCATCTGATAACTCAGTGCTGGGCGACCAACCCAGACAGAAGGCCTCAGTTCGACGACATCGTCGCCATACTTGAGAGCTACATAGAAGCTCTTGAAGAGGATCCATCCTTCTTGCAGTCATATATACCGCCTCCGCATCCGCTGCACCATCACCATCACCAGCATCATAATCATCATCATCAACAGAGCCTTCTCCGGTGCTTCCCTCGCTACAGAACCACCCGACGATCTGCATCTCTGAGAGTATAATCTGGATGACGGCTTCGTCTTCGCCGTGTATGATGTATGCACTTTGTTTTTTCAGTTTCTTTTTTCCTTTTTCAATGCGCCGGCCCCCTATTATGCGGCAGTAAGGCTTGCTATGATTTAGTATTCCCCTTCTTTCATTTTTTTTCTGTTTATTATTGACGATTTTCCATCATTAATGCCTGCCTCGATCGACTTACTTGAGAGACGACAAGCAGCAGTTTTTCTGGTGATTATCTATCTCTGAATGTCGTTTTATTTGGGTGGTGGAACAATGGACGAGCATCTGTAATTGTAATATAATCGAGCTCTTCCGTCAATCTGCTGTTTTTGTTGTGATCACTGCAATGTTATGCCTTGAACAAGTGCAATGTTTATCCATGCATGGCAAGTGAGATTTTAAATATCAGGTTCAAAAAGTGAGATTAGTTAGGCACTGCGTTTTTTTTCACATTCATCTCTCTGCGTATCATTAAGAGAATCACCAGTGTATCTTTAAAATTGAGAAGGAATAAACAATACTACTATCAGTTTATATACATTATAAGACTAATAAGTAACAAATACAATGTAATATACTTAATTACTTAGCCATAAGAAATAAATAAATAATTTCTTTCATCCCTCTCTCATGGCTAGTGGTTGTTGGGTTAGAGATTTTGCTAAAAAAGCATATGCCTTTAGCAAGTACTATAAGTGGAATGTCTGTCAATGTATATTGTTATGTTTACATTGTATATGGTAAGAGACAGTATTAAGGTGGACCTTACAAACACAAGAGTACCCAGAGAGAAGTACTACCTAAGGGTGAAAATGGTCATGGAAATTCCCGATTGACCAAGCGTTGTTTCTGTATGAAGGGCATTGTTTTTTATAGTTGCTGATTTCGTTTTTGGCTATATGTAAATTTTGTTTTTTTTTCTCAATTTCTTTCTGTATCGTATTGGACAAGTGTCGTTTAAATGATAAATATAGTCAATTACCGACCGATCGAGCGTCTTTTTGAAAGAGATGCTACCGATTCCGTTTTCACCCTTAGTACTACCATGTGAGAGTGAAGAGTGACTTTTTAGTTACTTGTGGGTGGTCTTTATGCATATGGCCACCTTAACCAAATGCCTCCTGTAAGAATTAATCTCACAATGTATAAGATCCACCTTAAAGGCTTAAGACCCCCCCTATGTTATTGTCCTAAACCCCTTAAGTACTTGCCCCTATATGCCGTGTAGGCTCATTTGCAGATGTGGAAGAGAGAAAGGATTATATTAGAGAGTGAATGAGCTATCCCTCATGTAAAGAGCAACCATTACACAAATTTCAGTAAAAATATGAGAGCATTAGAGTTATTGGGGGTTTGTGTGTTAGAGTAACTATTATTGTATACTCCCTTCGTCTAAGAATAATGTTACTTAGTATGGAATGTGATATATTTTAGTACTATTAATTTAGATATACTCTGTCTAAATTCTTAGTACTACTATCATATCTCATAGGTCAACTTATTATGGGACGAAGGTAGCTGGTTACCTCTTAAATCTATATAAAGATGATATATATGAAATTGGAGGTAACAGTCACCTATATTATAAAACTTGCTATTATGAAAAAAGGAGAATCAATAGAATATTAATGGATTCTAAACAACCACTACATTAAACATTTATGAATGATGAATGTATAAATGATGAAAAAACTCTGAAATTGCCCTAATATAATATTCCAATAGAAACCTATGTTATATGGGAGTATTCAAGCACTAGTAATAACAATTGTTGGATCAGTAGAAACTCCTGGCAGAGCGAGTCCACCAACTTGAGCCTGAGCTCGAGCTAGAGCTTGAGGTTGACGACGACGATGGCGGCGATGGAGAAGGGCTCCTCCTTGCCTCCTTCTTGTACTGCGGCGGAGGAGAAGGGTTTCTCTGCTGACGTCGCCGCGCTAGGTCATCATCCGACGACGAGGAGGAGGACTCGGATGATGAAGACGAAGACGAGGACGAGGACTCGGATGATGAAGACGAAGACGACGACGACGACTCGGAGGAGGAGGAGGTGTCGGTGCCATGGCTGGAGCGCTGGCGGTCCTTAAGGGAAGAAGCAGCAGGAGCCTCCGGCGGCGTGGCATTATTGTCCTCGTCCTCCCCCGCCGGCGTCTGCGTCTGCGAGTGGAGCGTGGCGAGGCGGCCGCAGATGTCGGCGTAGCAGACGAGCACGATGGCGACGGTGAAGGCGGCGCAGGCGAGGCTGATGACGGTGGAGGGGTCGAGGGCGCGGGCGGCCGCATTCATGTCGGCGGCGATCGCGCAGAGCGCCTCGGCGATGACGGCGAGGTGGTCCCGGAAGGTGGCCATGGCCGGCCGATCATCTAATCTAATCTACCTGCAGTATCCAAGTGTACGTCGTGTAGATGTAGAGGAAGATATATCTATATATATATATATATATATATATATATATATATATATATATAATTCGCAGTGTTGGTGTTTGGTACGGATACGGATAATGCTTCTGTTTGGTATCGTCGCCGACATAGCCGGACCCCAAACCAAAGCTTATCTCATATGGGCTTTCGGCCTTTATTTTCAGCCCACTTCAAATCCTCTCACCTTCTGGTCCTCCCCTCTCTGCACATTTTCATTTTCCCCCTCCTCCCTCCCGTGCGTTGCAGCGCCTCCGCCTCTTCTCCTCCCCGCCGCTACGGCGCCTCCTCTCATTCCCGTCGCTCCTTCTCGCCATCCCTTCTCCGCCTCCGCCTCCTCCTAGCCACGCCCCCTCTTCATCCCCAACAGCACCACCTCCTCCCATCGATCAGAGCTCTCTCCGGCAATAGCAGGGTATAATTCGAAGCATGGCTCCATCCGATGGCGGCACGCATAGAACGTTACTTTACGAATCGCCGTCGCCTCGTCTTTTGCATCTCCACTAGAGATCCCCTTGACCTCCTCTGCAGTCTGCAGCGCCTCGATCCCCTTCTCCAGTTATTCTTCTCGTCCCCCTCTGGTGAAGATTGCCAACGGAAAGACTAAAGGTCCCAAAAACTGCACGATTGGGGAAGTCAACATCGATAGCAGTGGTTAGTATAACTTCTTGCTCCTGCCAGTGTTCATTGTATATGATGTGCAGATACCAGGTCTTCAGCTAACTCTGAGAAGTTGAGCACATTCTTGTCCTAGCTGCTAAAGTGGGATTAAGTCAGTTAACAGTACACGCCTGAGAATTAAGACCTAAATCAAAAATAGTAAGTTTGGACTAAAAAAGATCAACAAGTTCTAAAACGGGGTGTTTAAAGGCACTTATGTATTTGCATTTTTTTTATTATGCAGGTTTCATTTAAGATCACTGTAAAAAGAACGTGTCCTACAAACATAGAAAGATTGTAAGCAATAAATATTATAGTTATACAATAGAAAAATGTGTTGATGGTTCAAATTCATTAATGATAAACAATTACACGCACAATTGAATTTCATATATCATGTTATACTCATTTCAAAATGCATATGAAAACAAATGGGTTTAAAACTAGCAGCATAATGGTTTGTAAGTGGATTGAGATAGTATCTTTATTACTTTTGCACACAAACATATAAAATTCAGTTTCCAAATAAATTCCATGAGTATTGGATTAATTCGATATTTGCTAAAAAAAATTAGTTGTGACAAGTTAGCTGCTAAAAAAATTTAGTTGTGACAAGTTGTGATAAGAAAAATCTAGAATTATATGCAAGTTGGCTCCTTCAGAAGTCATTGTATTATATGCTATAGATAAGAGTCATAGAAATTTACACATTCTTTTTTGTTGGTATTGTGTCTAACTTCTGGGTGTTGAACCATACCAATATTGTTGAATTGGGCTCCTCGAGTACATTCATCTGCACTGGAATTCCTTATCAACCATTAGTCAGTAAGTGTTCTTCCATGTCACACTATTGCCTCAAGTAAACAATCTACTGAAATTTGTGTTTAATTATTACTTTCTGAGGTCATAGCAACAATAGCCGTGGTAATATGAAGCGTTGAACTGTCTATCATATCCTAAACTAAGAAGGCAAGTGGGAGGGATACTGTATTTACATTTGCCATAGTATGATATTTATGAATGTGATTACAGGTTGGATCTGTATACTAGACTCCACACCCCTTCTCTAAAAAAATACTAGACCCCAGCCATGCTTTTGTGCTACTTACGATATGTTTCAGATTTTTTGTTGTTGTACAATTTTCAAAGTTTTTTTTAGACATTTTCTCTTGGTGTCACCATATATTTATGATATGATATTCTTTACATTTGAAGAGGCAGAGAATGATTGCAATAAGCATAATCACATTGGAGAGCATAAGCAAGCAATGGATGATATATTTTGACTGTCATTCTTTTCTTTTTTTATATTAACTGTTGTATCGATGGACACTAAAAACTGAAGAGTAATATGTTTAATTTGTTGTCAGCATTAATCCAAAAAATCAAAAGCTCAGTAAGCTGTATTCTGAGTTCAATATTTATCATGTACTATCTCAGGCTGTTATGTGGGTTTTCCTTTTACCTCTTTGGCACATGTGATGGCGTAGGTAATGAGAGTCGCGCAACACACGACTTATGTGGCTAGTTGATTTGATGATTTCCCTTCCCAAAATATCTTACCAAATACTCCGTATTAATAAATTTATAGATAAGGTCAAAAAAAATTATAGATTGCCCAACAACAAACGATCGTGACACTAAACATTATGGGTTTAAACGATCATAACAATCTTTCGAAAAATGCATAAGTACTCCCTTTCTTTTTTTTCTTGGAGCCGAACACACCTAGGATAATACTGTAGGAAAAAAAATGCTTGTGAGCACATCTTTATTTATCTTTTCAAAAATTCCTTGTGAGGTAGGAGGAATATAGAGTTTCTTTAAAAAATTATTATGGTATCATGTACTACCTCCTAGTATTTTATTTACTAAAAATCCTAACATTTTTTTGTTTTGGAAAATAACCACGCTTAGGATCTTGTTACTACTATTTGATATTCGAGAATCAATTTTATACACCTAGGTGGATGTCCACCTACGCCAATCTCCATCCAATGTTCTTTAAGATCTGTGCCACCCATATCCCACGCCCATCACCGAATACGAATCTGCCTGTGCACATATCTCGGGGGATGCATCGACGGCACAACAGTTGGGTGGACATCCACCTATGCGATCGGAATAATCTTTCTTTGATATTCTATATATCACAATACAAGAATAAGGCTAAGTTATAGTGTTTGCAAAAAAAAAAAATATACGAAAGTTGTGTAAAAAAACATATTAATTCATTTTAATTTTTACCTAATACTTAACTAATTATGCATTAATAAACCACCTTTCCAAGCACAGCCTAAGTGGTGGTGGATCTACCATCGGCACGTCACAACTACTTTTACACGTTTTATAAATCAGTCCATGAAAATTTTTAAATATTTATTTAAATCAAGTGAATATATATATATATATATATATAAAAGCATTTGCAAAATAAAACACGGACATTTTTTTTACCCATAGCCTTCTGTTAGTAGATAGAAAAAAGAAAGAAAAAGAATAAATGCCGAACTGCAAGTGACCATCAGTCCTCACCACAGTTATCCATGGCAACACAGAGAGAAGAAGAGAAGGGGATTGCTTTGATGAAATTGTGTGTGAGCGAAGCGACACGTTTCGTTTCGTTTTCTTGGAGGAAACAAAATAAACACCCTCCGCGTGCAGATAAAGTACATGTGAATATCGCACATGCTCATCGCTGCTTCTTTCCTCCGACGACTCGCCGCCGCCTGAAATCTCTTTCTTGATTCGTGCGCTCCTGAGCTACCCCGATGGCCGCCCAATCTTCCACTCCCTCGCCGCAAGGTCAGGTTTTTCTTCCCCTCTCTTACTGTCTCATATCCTCCGAAAATCGTGGCGCTCCCCGTCCAATCCTTTGGATCAAGATGACGCTTTTCTTCAGACTTGGAATCTTGGCGCTTCTTGCTCGATGTTTCTATCCCGCCGATTGTTAGCCATATAATTTGGGACTGAGTTTATGAGCAACTCTTCTCTTTCTGTTGAGAGACGAGGGTTTGGTAATTTTGAGGGTTAGAACATGAGAACCGCCGAATCTTGTACCGCGATTGCCTACTGGAATAAGCGTAAGAGTCCTGGCTGCTCATATCATCACTAATTCTAGCCTCGTTAGCAAGGGCAACTAGCTTTTGAGGCGATTCAGCCAAGACAAGTTCATGCCCTCTTGTGGTTGTGGGCACAAGTCCAGTGGCTGGCTGCAGTTTTTGCTGCAAATATCGACAATTTAGAGGTCCATAGCACCAAATGAATTTGGAACCACCGGGGAGAAATTGGCTATTCTGAAACCTTGAGTTATTATCTTGTTATTTTGTTAGTTATAGTCACTCAGATTCCCCTGTCCTGAAAATCGAACTGCATTCCCATTTGCTCATGCTGCAGATGGTTCTGGTAGAGGTGAATTCTCAGACAATTTGGTACTTCAAACCCCACAGCCAATGCGGGAGGATTACATACAGAATGCTGTTAACTTTCTTGGACATCCAAAAGTGAAGGGTTCTCCAGTATTTTACAGGCGCTCTTTTCTGGAAAAGAAAGGCCTTACAAAGGAAGAAATCGACGAGGCCTTCCGTCGGGTTCCTGTATGATTTACTTTCTACCGCCCCTACATGGCTGTTTGTATACCTCCAAATGAAAATAAGATGAAACGTTCCTGAAACAGCTTAATGTCTTGTAGGATCCACAGCCAAACAGTACAGATGTTGCAGCTGTTGCTTCACAACAAGGTACCCTATTGCTCTACATGATAAACATTTAGCACTAGCACAGCAATGGGTTGCAGTGATATTATATCACTGCGTTTGTCTTACTTTTGGTTGAGTGGATTGTCCTAATATAGTATTATGACATAATAGCCACCAGGCTTTGCTATATTGTTGTTGGTTAACTTGGACGCACACAACATGCAGAAGTTTTATTGGTTTCACTGAGTTTGCTCAAGTGATGATCTATTGGCAGCTTCTTTTCTTTTGTTTACTTGATTGGAATGTCTTATTTTCAGCTCTTTTTCACTAAATTAATTCAAATTACATCAAGATTTTAGATCTTTAGATTGGTTCTATAAATTATTGTGCTTTGATAGTAGTTCATATCTGTGATTGCAAGTCTGTACCCAAAAATCTTACAATACACTGAAAAATAAACTCTTTTTGTTAGCTTGATCACTTAAAGGCCGTGTTATTTTCTTTGCTTCCAGCCGGCATCGCAAATCAATCTGCTGGAGTACAACCTTACGAGACAGTTCAAGCACCACAAGCCATTAACACTGGTCCTATCGTTCCACATGCGCAGCCGCAACTTAGCTGGTCCCGTACTCTCATTGGTGTAGGTGTTTTCCTCGGAGTTGGGGCTAGTGCTGCTGTCATCCTCAAGGTATATCTCGTGAATTTTGCAGACTATCTTAATTTTAGCAAGTTCTTGAGAAATTAACTCTATATGCGTGCATGTTTTGTACAGAAATTGTTTGTTCCTAGGCTAAAATCTTGGATCCAAGGAGCCCATGTTGAAGGGGATGAAATTTCTGGGAATGAACTTAAATCCAAGTTTTATGAAGAAATCAAAGCAGCCATACAAGATTCTGCATCAGCGTTTTCTGATATTGCTAAAACAAACCAAGAGTTGCTTGCTTCAAAGGATGAAGGTTTCATAATTTTCCGTTGATACATTAGCATGTTTTAGCAGAAGAAATGTACAATAGCTATCACTGTTTCGGGTTTGATCGTCTTAATGAATCTCACTTGTTTATAGATAAGAAGATACTTACAAAGTTGGCACAAGCATTTGATTCGCAAGCAGAGGCGTTTAGATCCTTGAGTGATTCCTTGAATCGTATGAGTGAGAATAGGTTTTACCAGTACAATCTAATGGAGGATCATTTTCAATCTGCCCCATGGAATGGTTAGAATCAATTCTTTTTTGTTGCATTGGTTTCTTTAAATCTGTTGCTAATATTGACGTTATCTGTCTGAATAGGGCCAACTACAAATTCATGGAGAGCTTCTCAGGTATAGCTTATTGTTATTTACCCCATTGTGAACTCATTATTCTTATTTACCCTTTCTGTCAATACCTTTTTTTTTAATCTTTGCATCATTCCGTTGTAGTTCTCATTCGGTTTCTCTATTTACAGCAAACAAACGCATACAACACATCACCACGCAGTGATTTTGACTCCGGTAAGTAGCCTCCACCAGAAGCAGCACAACTTTCTTGTATCATCACCTGAGAATATTTTTTTCTGCCTTGCACTTATTTTGTGTGCCCTCTTTCGTGTTATCTTTATCAGGGAGGCATCCGTTCATGCCAGTACCGGGAGAACCTTCACCTGGAGCATTTCCGGCGAGATCCTATGTTGAGGTAGGCCATCGTATGATCATGGATTCTAGGTGCAGTAGACATGATAGTATTCCAAAACTTGATGGTGTGTGAGTACTTATTTCAGCAGCAGCGGATGCAGAGGCCTGGGTACGGATTTCAGCCTCAGATGAGCAATGACAGGTGGAACCCTGGCTCGCCATTGACGAACTACCACGGTGCTCCTCCGTATCAGCAGTATCACCATGGATCCACCAACGCCATCGATGAAGCTCCAGCTCCAGCTCCAGTTCCAGCTCCAGCTCCACCAGCTGAAAGCCCGTTCCAGCGTCGCTGGGTTCCCCCACAGCCACCGGGCGTCGTCATGCCGGAGGCCGTGGCCGCCATACGGCAGCCGAGGCAGCAAGTTGCAGCGGCATCGAGACCGTCGGAATCCGCCGCGGCGACAGAGCAGCCACAGTCAGGTGACGTCGCCGGTGGCGCCGCCATGGCCAATGCGGGCAATGGCGAGGCCGAGCAAGAGCGGGAAGCTGCTGCTTAATTACTCCATTTCTTTTTTTTTTGTTTGCCACGCGATGCATGCGTCTCTCGTGTACAAAATACAGACTAGTGACGATTACCTATGAGAAAAAGAAGAGGAACAAATGTTGTGTATTCATTCACTGTGGGTGTGAATACTGACTCTACTGAGATTATACTCTGTCTGTCTCTAAATATAAGGGATTATACTATGTCTGTCTCTAGATATAAAGGATTTTAGTCGAATGTGACATATTCTTTTTCTGTCTAGATTCGTTATTCGTTATTCTAGGATATGTCACGTTTAACCAAAATAACTTATATTTAGGGAGGGAGGGAGTAATGGCCAAGAAAAACAAGATGCTCGCGCTGCTTGCTTTCTTGCGTACCTTGTATTTTTTTTACAAGAAAAACAACATTATTTTCATGCCTTGTTTTACATGTGGATCTATTATATCTGGGCGTTAGTTATCGACAAGTGCAGACAATGCACATGGGACACAGACAGAGAGTGGCTCCAAGTTTCGTAGTCTGTTGCATTTCTTTGTTTCCTTTCATTTTCTCCTTGGAAAAAACCAGGCCTTGTGATGGTGACATGGCATCTCCTCCTCTCTTCTTCTCTTGGTACTCCAAAAAAAAAATGTATGGAAAAAAACATGCCGAGATGCAGAGACAGAAGTATATATTATGATATTTTTCAAACTCGTGGTTGTTAATTTCGTTGCTCCTTGTAGTACAAAAACAAGAAAAATTCAGACTTGGTTTGACTTGTGGTTGGTCTTGCGGGATGTCGCAAGTAGGGCAACACGTGAACTAGAAATCCATGCATGTTCAAAGCATGCCTGATTATGGTCTCGTCCATTTCACAGTCCTACTAATTCACCGGTCAAACCTGCAATTAACATAATAACAACATTTGGCTGGTGCCTTAGCTATTCAGTTATTCAAACTCGTGGCTGGGAAATTCCACTGCATGCCTCTGAAGCTTTGACGCACTATTATACATGCATTGGAAACTGTCAGATTTCGAGCATACTGTTGTGTTGTTTTCAGTCTCCCTCCACACGACTGAAGATCAGGCACGCAGATGTTCAGAAATGCAGAAGCAGCTTGACCTCCTCTCCAATTGGTAAGTGCAAAATTTTAGGTTTGTACTTATTGAGTTGCACACGTAAGGATTGGTTCAACTAAAAAGCTTAAACTGATAGAGGAAGACAAGCAATTTACCAAATACTAGTGCTATTAGAAGATACAGTTTTAAGAAGAAGATGAAAGCACACAAATTTCTGTAGTAAAATATCGGCGAAACGCAGTGCGTAACTAGCTATAGATAGCTCCTCTTTTCCATAGTGGTGGCACTATGGACTGATTGAAGCAGGTCAAAAGAAATGAAATGAAAGGGCCAGACCTCACCTTAATTTGCTGTGCATTTCCACTACCAAAATTTAGAGTCAGTGATCCAGCTGAGTGGATGCACTAGTATCTCTTCGCAAGCAGCTGTACACGTGTCATACTTCTATCAGATATACGGAGATGTGTATGTATGGGTTGATGAGATACACACACATGTCGTGTCAAGATGGAGTATGTCCCATGTGTATGGGTAATTGTCATGTTAAGTAGGGTAGGTCATCCCACGAGGCCGACCGGCCGACCACGCCATTCGCCTGCGAAGAAAGAAAATGCCTGAATATTCAACCACGCCACAAGTGCTGCCCACAATTTTATTAGCAATAACTCGTTTTAGTTTGTGCGACACATCCATAGGCGGCCCACTAAATCTCCCATTTATTCTTCCCCCTCCTTCCAAGTACTGCACTGCAATTTAATTACTCACCCAACAAAAATACTACTCCCTCCATCCCAAAACATGAGAGACTGCTTCACAATATTTCAAAGCCCGGAATAACCTAATAATTGCATTGAGTATTTGCTAGAAAAAAATATTTTTTTATCATACATTAGCATTAAATTTCTACTGGATGGTTCGTCGGGTGGTGGTTCCACTACTGGTCGTAAGGCCGTAATATCTCAAAGCAAACAATATATCTAGTTCTATCATTTTACATACAATTGATTATAACTTATAACACTTATTAATGTCTTAAAAAAATTTAAATAAAACTTTTAATATACTAGAAAAAAAATACTCGTGCGTTGCAACGGGTGAAGGCTATTTTAATCTTATTATTGTTTACTGTGAAATTTTCTGTAAGAATTCGCTTGAATATATATTTTTCAAGAAAATAATGTCAAGTTAGCATATAAGTTTTTTAAAGAGATTTCTAATACGGTATTTTTAAAAACGAACAAACTTACGGATATGTATTTCCAAAAGCGAACAAACTTAAAACTGACTTATACACAGATGGCGTACCAAAGTACTGGTAAAAACATCTTCAGTTTTTATAATAGTAGAGATTTTATAAACGACTTAAAATTCAATGATGGAAAATAAATTATAATGAGAAAAACAATCAAAACAACTCTAAAATTAAGTTTTAAAACTTAAATTCGGTTGTGGCTGATAAGCCAAAGAACAAACGATGAAGCATAGGAGATAAGTATTTAACCCATAAGGAAAGCCAGTAACATACGAATGTACGAAGAATATTATAAATTTGACCGAGTTTGAATAAAATTTATGCAAGTGATGAATATGAAATAAATAAAGTACGGTACAGTGATAGAGAGGGCATTTCGTCCTCACGTTTTGTTTTTGTTTTTTCTTTTCTTTTCTGTTGGGAGTGGCATTCGGAAGAAGAAGAGAGAAGTCCATCTCCCTCAAGGAGCATCGGCTGCTGGCGCTGCAGTCCATAGGAGTCTCAGATTCCCATCTCGTCGTCTTATCCCTCCACTCCGCTCCACACAATCTTCTTCTTCCTCCTCTCCTCTGTTTATATACAACTCCTTCCCTCCCCCATTCGCCCGCTTCTGCATCCCGACCAGACGTCGAGTCGAGCATTAACTCAGTCAGGGTGGCCATGGCGCTCAAGGTCGTCTCTTTCCCCGGGGACTTGGCCGCGGTCTCATTCCTCGACTCCAACAGAGGAGGAGCTTTCAACCAGCTCAAAGGTTGGATCTTTTCCTCTTTCTTATCCCCTTCCGGATCAACTTTACTGCTCTTTCTTGTTTCTTGGCCCTCGACTTGCTTCTGTTTTCCTCTCATCTTGTTTAGACTTCATTTCGTCTGTTTAGCCTGTTTCAAGATAATCCGCAGTGTGTTCAAAGAGCACCCATTCCTGGTGCCGATTAAATTAGGCACTTCTACTCACTCGACACAGCCGGCACCCATGCTGTGAGTGGGATTAGGAAAGCTGCTGCTTTTGCAAGGATTTATGCCACAATTTTGGTTTGGATTGCTTGGGCTAAAATAAAATTGGTCTTCGTTCTCACAGTGCATGGGAATGGCAGCTTCTGAGTTCTGGAGAACATAGACACACAGTCATTGTAAAGTTGCAAACTCTGTGCCTTAACTGTTTTGATTTTGACATCTGAAAAGGTGGAATTTCCCCGGTTCGCAGAAAAAAAAGGGGTCTGAATTCATTTCTTTGAGATTAAAAACGGGTTCAGATTTTTCTCTTATACGGGTATAAGACACAATTCTTCCAGAATTTATGCAACTTCCTCTTGGTCGAGAATTATGCTGTTGTCAGTATTACGTGTCTAGAATCGAACCCCTTTTTGTAATCAACTGGGTGGATTAAATTCTGAAATATCTGAGCATTATCTTCATGCTTGCAACTTCTATCTTTGGAATATCTAGTGTTCTGAGAATATATTCTGCATAGATTCCAATTCAGTTTCTACTTTCTAGTGATATGGTTCTATTCAGATGAGTTGCACTACTGTAACGTGCTTTTACTCTAAATTGCTTGGTGCACATGAAACACGCAGTCTGCCAAATTGTCAAGATCGGCCTCAATTAGCTCAGGCCTCAGGACTATTTTTTTTTTCTGCCATGTTTCTTGAGCATATTGCAGCAAACGAGTTAGCAGAGAGTTGTAGGCACGTATATATGCCTGAACATTGATTACTAGTACTATTTTCATTCATATATCTTAATTTGGCTGTCTTTATTGCAGTGGACCTCCCGTTTCAAACGAGGGACAGAAGAGCAGTTTCCCTGAGAAGGACTTGCTGTTCAATGCAACAGGCTCCACCACCAGCATGGCCTGGTCGAGCCGTTGTTGAACCTGGGAGGAGGTCATGGGATGGCCCCAAGCCTATCTCAATTGTTGGCTCAACCGGTTCTATTGGCACACAGGTAAATGGAACATCAAGATCTAAGATTAACGGATGGAAATTAATACTCCATACCTTTTTTATATCTGTCAGTTGTGCTAGTACATCAATGTTTGGTCAATTAGTTCATCTAAGAGTAAATGTTTGACCTATTTATCTGATGATACGAGTTGACCCTTTCAAGATCAATCAACATGTCTTGAGCTATTCATTGAAATTAGTTGGACATGAAAATGCGACGTTTATATTCTGTGGTACTAATAGTGTTTTATCTTTTCTTTTCTTTGCATAACTAAAAAGACATTGGACATAGTTGCGGAGAATCCAGATAAATTCCGGGTTGTTGCTCTTGCTGCTGGCTCCAATGTGACTCTTCTAGCTGATCAGGTATAATGATTTTGTGAGGAAAATATCCCTTCTTTCGACCTTTCATGGTAGGATTATGGACATGAAAGTTAACTGAATATAGGTTGTTTAACTAAGCAGGTGAAAACATTCAAACCAAAGCTTGTTGCTGTAAGAAATGAGTCATTAGTTGATGAGCTAAAGGAAGCCTTAGCTGATTGTGATTGGAAGCCAGAAATTATTCCTGGTGAGCAAGGTGTCATAGAGGTGAGTTTTTCATGTCATATTTATGTTTAAATAGCTGATGCTTTGCTGTGAATTTTATAAAGATTCAACTCTCATATAATAGGTTGCTCGCCACCCAGATGCAGTTACAGTTGTTACTGGGATAGTAGGGTGTGCAGGACTGAAGGTAATCTTTCTTTTTATATTGCATATTCTTTGCTCTGCTTCCTTTAATATTAGGTGTTAATATTACAAAAACTCAATTATTTCTTTGATGTTTCAACAAGTATATTCAAGAATTTATTGAGAAAGAAATGAAAATATATGTGCTTGAAAATTATATTCCCAGTGTTATATTACCATAACAACAGGCCATTTTAAACATATAGTACTGAAACACTTGGAATACATACGTTATTATGGTTACATGAATGTACTTGCAATTTTTCAAGGCGAGTATGTTTGAATTGGAAGAGCTCATGCCAAAACAGTCCTTTTGTAGAGTTGCTGATTATCTACTCAAAAGTGTCTAGCAATTTGAGATTTTTTTTAATAGAGTTCTGATGCACCAAAAAATAAAGTTTGATATGCAACAACTAAAACGGTAGTGGTACATATATCCTATTCTTATCTTGTAGAACATTCGTGCATGGACCGTTTTGTATATCAGGTCACCCATCATACCTTGATGATGCTACTTTTAGACTACTCAATATCTTGATCTTCTTTTTGGTACTTATTTCTTAAAAGTTTGATTTATCTAGACGAATGAGTTGTGTAGCCAAACGAAAGAATTGAATGCTTGCTGAAGTTCTGTATGCATGCAAACTACATTACCAGAATCTGGCACCACTTGCTGATTTGCCTACTTAAATTTCTTTGCTCTGCCAGCCTACAGTTGCTGCAATTGAAGCTGGGAAAGATATAGCATTGGCGAACAAAGAGACACTTATTGCAGGTGGTCCTTTTGTGCTTCCCCTTGCACAAAAGCACAAAGTGAAAATACTTCCTGCTGATTCTGAGCACTCTGCTATATTTCAGGTACCACAGAAAATAAATTACCTGTAACTAATTTTACTTGGTTCATCTGATATAAGTTTGGTGTAAGGTTGTGATAGTCTGGTACGTACTCAACGTTGCCTGTTCAAAAACCTCTTATACACTAGTGGCTTTATCTTTAACACTTAAACAAAGTAGCAGTAAGATGTATGTTGCTTGTTATAGTTTACTGTTGTTCTATTATATGCTGATTTGCAGTTTCCCTCTACTATCATAGTGTATACAAGGCTTGCCCGAAGGAGCACTTCGCCGCATTATTTTGACTGCATCAGGTGGTGCTTTCAGGTAAATCTACTGACATACATGTTATATATGTTTTTCTACTGGACATTGGACTCCATCTTATATCCATTGATGATGTCAGGGACTGGCCAGTTGACAAGTTGAAAGAAGTAAAAGTTGCTGATGCTTTAAAGCACCCGAACTGGAATATGGGGAAGAAGATTACTGTAGATTCTGCTACATTATTCAACAAGGTGTTTGCAGTAAACTTTCAGAATTTTACTGAGGTCATGTTGGCAGTATTTGCACTAAAATGATCACTTGATTCATACAGGGTTTAGAAGTTATTGAAGCACATTATTTATTTGGTGCTGAATACGATGACATTGAAATTGTGATCCACCCACAATCTATCATACACTCTATGATTGAAACCCAGGTGAGTCCTACAGCACAGCTATGGAAAATGTTTAGCGGTTATGCTCAACTGCAGTGGATTTTAAACTGTTAATGCATGCACACTTAATCCTGATATGGCAACCGTATTTTCATGTTTACGTTTGGCTTAATATTTTTTTTCAAGTATTCATGAAGTTCTGTTTCTCCAGGATTCATCTGTGTTGGCTCAACTGGGATGGCCAGATATGCGGATACCAATCTTATACACCATGTCTTGGCCAGACAGAATCTATTGCTCAGAGGTCACCTGGCCCCGACTAGATCTTTGCAAGTACAGGCTCTTCCCTTAAATGCTGTGCTACTTTTGCATTACCACTGATAATTTTGTTCGAGAATGACCTCAAAGAATTTTAGCTTTCTTATTGTTATCGCATGGTTCTCTCATAGCCCACTCAGATTATCAGTAAGCTTGAGCAGCCATCCTATAACAGTTAATATGTGGATCTACTCTACTTAAATTCAATGAAGCTCGTATCGAACCTTCATACAAAGTTCAATGGATCGATTAAGTCCCTTTTGGCTGGTTGGTTACCAGTGATACGCAAGTAGTTAACGCTTGTAATGAATTATGCTTTGGTTGTTAGGCATGAACGCTGCTTCATGTTACTAGCTATATTTTGGGACGAAGGGAGTAGTAATAAATTTAAAGAATAAAAGGTTAATAAAGTAAAAGAACTAGATGCAACAAAAAATTGTTAAGTTATAGTACTTAACCGTGAAGACCTTTTTTCATTGCACGAAGGGTTAATTTTTAATTTGATAATGCAGGCTGGGTTCACTGACATTCAAAGCTCCTGACAATGTGAAATACCCGTCGATGGATCTCGCCTATGCAGCTGGAAGAGCTGGGGGCACCATGACAGGAGTTCTGAGTGCTGCTAATGAGAAGGCTGTGGAGTTGTTCATCGATGAAAAGTATGACACTCATCATCATCCCTTTTCCTCTTTCCATTGCATAGTGGATTCCATCGTCTGATTTTGTTTACGCACCTATTCTCTGCAATTTTAAAGGAGAATTATGTCCTGCTGATTGCAGCAATGCAGCAAAACGAATAACTGGTATCTACCAAAGTCCATAGATATCTCTTGCCCTTTGGAAAGTGAGAGCTGAAAGGAGAGAGCATACATGTCGTCAAAGCTAATATTCTCCGGCACTTTCTGAGCCTTAAGATATATCATGGATTATAATAAACCGACAACATCTTGATTGATGCTAGTAGGCCTGTTTATATATTGTAACTTGCTAGCTTAGCTGGGGGCTACCTATTGTTGTGAATGCCATGCTGTAGCCATGAGAAGTTGAAAAGAGAACACATGTCCTTAAAGCTTAAATATTCTCAGACACTTTCTGAGCCTTAATATCTATCATGGATCGTAAAAAACCAGCAACGTCTCAATTTATGCTAGTAGTAAAAGGCCTGATTAAACCTTGGAGCTTAGCTGGGGTACCTGTTCTTGCACTGTAGCCATCAGAAGGTAAGGTACCTGTTCTTGCACTGTCAGAAGGTAAGGTACCTGTTCTTGCACTGTAGCCATCAGAAGGTAAGTACCAAAATGGTATCCATTGGTGCAAAATAAAAGGTTTGTTTTTGTCGAAGGGCGAATTGTTTTCTAAATGGTGAATGGCTGACAAAACTTCATTGCAAGTTATTTAAACTGGTGAATTAATGTTTCCGCGGCTATTTCTTTGCAAGTAGACATTTTCCCGTCAGATAAACTTTACATATATATAAGCAAATGAATAGATGATTGTGGTTATGTTTTTGCAGGATCGGGTACCTGGACATCTTCAAGGTGGTGGAGCTGACATGCGACGCTCATCGGAATGAGCTAGTAACAAGGCCATCACTGGAGGAGATCATACATTATGATCTGTGGGCGAGGGAGTATGCTGCCAGCCTACAGCCATCCACTGGCCTCAGCCCTGTACCTGTCTAGTACTTGTAGCAATACAAAATTACAGTAGCATTGTACACTACTGCCGTGCCAGCTCCATGCATAGTCAGCAGCTGGCCACTCTCTAGCTATATCTAGATGCGAGAGAATTTTAAGGATGTAAATCATGCCTTCACATGAATAAATCGTTCGTCCGTGCGTTGTGTATTCATGTAAATTTTGACGGATGGTCAAGTAAAAATAACAATGGCAAATTAATTTAGGGAAGAATCAAATATGTTTGCGTTCCTTTTCTGAGCCGTGGATGTTGTTAATCAGTTCTACCAATCGCTATTTGTAAAAAGTTTCTTAAAGAAATTTCCTTCTTGACATCAATCAAAGTACTATATATAAATCTTCAGGATAAGGCACGTCGCCGACCAAACAGCATGCAAACCGCCAGAATCTGATACTCCATTCCTAACCAACACTGGACAATTTAAATTATTAGTCGAAAGGATAAACCGGCCGACGACATTCACAGGCTCGATTCCATGTCCTGGAAAGCTCAGAAAAGCAATCAAAAGCAAGCACTGGACTTAAAATGGTACCACAGCTTAAGGCAAAATAGAGAGAGAACCGCTGAATACAATAATAGCAAGTTGATATGTGACCCACAGAACATTAATATGAAGGATCTTATGCCATACAGTACCCTCTCTACAAATCATCCAAACACAATCCCTGTATGGGACAAGTACGCACGATAAACGTCCAGCGATAGATGTAAGGCATCAAAAGAAGCTAACGATGGAGCTGTTCGGCAGATGATACGGCTTGTGTTTGTAGCGCAGCCGTGGCAACAAACAAGCGCAGACAGCAGGTGGTGTCTAGTGCCCATATTTCTGAAATTCCCATTCACTGTTATCTGCAAGATGGAACAAGAGCTATTGATCAGCACACACCAACATACTTAACTCCAAGAGGAAATCATACACAGGAACTGCAACTACCTAACGGGCACACTTGGCGAGTCTTGAGCCACCTGCTGATGCAATGGAAGTGAAAAGCATGATTACAGACACCTGGTGTACACGAAAGCAAATCATGTTAGATCCAGTAAAGCTTAAGACTCAACAATTCAACCAAGCAAATATCATATACAGGAAAACCAAGAATAAATCAGGGATGAAATCAAGCACCATCAGAAAAGGTAAAGAATACATCAGCTATGCATAAATTCTTTGAATGTTTTTTTTAAAAAATTAATCCACATATACATTTCTTGCAGTGATATTTGGTTCATGGCTAACAGAGTATGTTTGGATAATTTACAGAGTTTTATTATTCAATTATGAAGGCAGATTATAATATCAAGGGCCTAGGTCTAGAGAGTCATTACATACTTGTTACTTGTAGTATATGCCTGGGGAATTTACTCCAAACAAATATCAATGATTAACGAAACCTAGAAACTGGTATTGTTATCAAACATTGAACATTAGAATTTAGCCTGTCACAGGGTCATATCTAGATTGCCCTGCCAGTACCAGAACATACATCAAACTGACTCCCCTTAAGTACCATAGAACTACAAGTCTACGACGACATCAACCACACGACCAGGTGTAGCTTCAACAATAGCTAATCTCAAAATTCTTATGTCTAATAAAGATCTAAATCCAAATACACATCCAAATATGTCTCAATGTTAATTGTTAATTCCTTTGTTATAGACAAAATATATGAAGGAAGCTAGAATTCCATGGACTCATGGCTGCTCCATCCCACCATTAGACATTAGTTCAAGTCTACAACCACACTTGCTTTTTCAGTTCAATAAGGAACCATCAGCACTGCAAACTATAAAACTGGGTGAACTTCTATTACGAATACTGTAGTATGATTAGATATGAGCTGAGGATGGTCATTTGACGAGGAACATGGAAAAGACTTAAATATAATTTCAGAAACATGACTTGACTCTATGAGTAATAAGAATAAAGATGTGAGCATGGTAGTGGAGTTAATGCAACAAAGCTCAGGAATATGCATTGGGTGAAGAACGCTTGGGTGTCCTCCAATCTTACCTGATGATGTGTTAAAATATGGTTTGGAACCATATGCGCGTATCCATGTAAAAGAATACACAACTTCTTTTCAAAATCTCAACTACACTCTTGTTAACAAAAACCACTACATCGCATGTAGTTAGATTTGGTTTCATTTTTTTTAGCACATAAACATTTTCCTTAGCACATACACATGTATCTTTACACTACATTATAAGTCAATCACTCTCTCCAATTTGAAAAAAATACGCTACCTGGTATCCTAAAGTTGAAAACACAACGATTACATCATTACACTGAGCCATATCCATCAAGAACAGAGGCACAGAACATGTGTAGTTCAAATTGGTTAGAGACTACTGGCCTAGTGGACTGACAGTTGATCAACCAGAATAACACATTAACAGGCATCAGTCAATAGCTATATATATATGAATGGGATAATTAAGACATTGGTCATGGCAAATGGCGGAGTGATATATACATGAAGATTTGCTTCCTGAATGGTGAGCCAGTCTAGAGAAAAGTTTAGCATGCGGCAATTGAAACAAGGTGTGATTGGTTGGTAAAAGTGGATGGAAGCGTACCCCAAGCGACAGTGCACTCCTCACTGGTGGCGCTGGCCTGGTTCGCCTGGCACTCGATGCCTGCAGCCAAGGAAGCAGATTAGTATTCAAATCGCCCTTAATAATAAGTAACAGAAAGAAGGGGAAATAAAAAGAACAAGAGAAGAGAAGGGAGGGCGGACTGACATAGATCCATGATGTGGTTGCGGCAGATGGCGCAGTTGTCGACGACGATATCTGAGGAGGAGGAACAAGGATCAAATCAGAACTCAGAAGATTGTTAAGATTATTAGGGTTAGGGGGGAGTAGAGAAGGAAGGATGCGCGTAGGGTACCCCATGCCCAGAGCGCGACGGCGTTCCACTTCTTGATCTCGAAGCGCTTGTTGGGCTTGCGGGAGGAGGGGCCGGCGGCAGAGGAGGATCCCTCGCCGGCGCCGGCGGGGGCGGGGGCGGGGGGCGGCGGCGCGTTGATGTCGGTCTCCATGGCCGACATCGTGAGCTCTCGATCGACCCGGATTCAGGAATTCCACCAGACCAGGTTGGGATTGGAAGATGAGATTTTTTTTCTTTTTTTCTTTTTATCCCTCAGATCAGATCAGATATGGACTCCACAAAGCAGGCCATGGCCCATCATCATGCATCCACTGGGCCGTGCCTTCTCTTTCACCCTTTCCTCCTTTTCTTTTCCAGTTCTTTATTTCGGAAACAATAACTTCTTATCTATTAGTAATATATAAATACGCCCTGAAGTATTTTGGGGTTGCTCATATTGTAGCCAAAATAAATTTTACTAAATTTTTGTATTGTCAAAATTTTGGTAAGTTGACAATATTGCCAAGTTTTAGCAGAATTACATACATCTTTAACAATTTTAGCCGAAAATGATATGGTTTGAAATGACATAAATCTAAACAACCCCTTTATTTCCGTTCGCGAGTCTATCAACCTTTTGGTCATCCCTGCTAACGTCGTCGCACCCTATTATATACTCCTATGTAATTATATACAACATGCGATCGAGTATTGTAACCGGTTATACCAACAAAGTTTTCTTTAAAAAAATTGTTCATGTATTGTTCAGTTACGAGTTACTAGGACATCATATGTACATGCATATTTTAGACGATTGCAGTTCTGGCACCATGAAAATCGACAAAAAAAAAAAATCAAAGCACCACCATACAATCTGCTCTCAGGAGTCAGGAGACACATCAATGCAGATAACGACTCATTAACGCAAAACTCTGCCTGTTGGGCAAAAATCGATCGATACATAAGGCGCTGCGCTGCTCAAATAATGATACAGGAAAAGCTCTTTCTACGATAATGTACACGCTCACGCACCAACAGATGGCCAAAAAAAAAAAACTATGTTTTTCGTTTGTGTGTCAGCTCTACATTGCATCGTAACAGGGGGTTGAGGAAACACTCAACACTGTACACCGCACCTTGTTTGTGCCTGGGCAAACGCCAAGAAAATCTTCTCATCGTGTTCAACTGCGAAAGGCATCAGCTGTTTGATGTATGTAGACATGCCCTTTGAATCTTTCAACAACCAAATGCCACTGTCTTGTCATTAACTCTACTGCTGTTTGAGTGAGGGCATCAATTAAAGAACCCATCCCATCCCATACAGTATGAATGTATGTGTGGGAGAGCACCCTGAGGGCATCAACTAAAAGCTTCATGGGCACATTTTTGCCTTGGCTCAGATTCCATCTTTTTGTTCATAGTGGCATAGTGCTTACTGCTTACAACCATGCTCCCCACCCTGGAAACATTTGGCACAACCGGTCCGCATCTACTGCATCCTGTATCAGTTGTTGCACCTGAAACCCAAACATAAAGGAATGTGTAGTTTTGCATCAACAAATACAAACATCATAAACATATATTTCCTCTTTGCAAGCACACGCATCACCAAGGGTCAAAGAGTGCTTGGTTACCTGGCCCTGTACACTTCTCATTTCACCATCTTCATATCCATCTAGTTTCTGCTTAACACGGAGGATAGCTCGGGCTGCATCCTTGTTGCCCTCGCAAGCCTCTTGCGAGTCATCCAAGCACGAGTCAATGTCTTCACTTTCCTGCAAAAATATAGGTTAGCATATTCATTTGCTACATAACTTACGACTGCATACTTGTCTTCCACATAGCGGTGCTAAAAGTTTACTTGTGAATTTACTTGTTATGCTTGTAAAATTGACAGACCATTTACTCCCGTGTTTTATACGTACTAAAAAGGCTTTAAAGATACATTTATAATAAACTTTTACATATTTTGATACAATTATATATAATCCAACATATTATCTACATTCCATCATTAACTGCAGGCTGTCAACCTGCTGCATAGAACCTTTATGGGCATAGGTGTGTGTTTCTTTAACACTACCTTTGCCTTTGCCATTTTTTATTTTAAACCCTTTTCACCATGGCACTGTAGCTGATGCAGTAAGACAAAGCAACCTTGCCATAGCATCATGACACAAATAGGGGCTCGCTCCTATGGCATTGCCAAAGGGCTTAGTTTTGGGAATAACATTCCAGCAAGTTTGTTTGAATACTAAATATTGGCTGGTACTAGTCATAATGCTGACAGTCCAAACAGAATGTATGCCCAGTAGATGCTGGTTGTATGAACCCTGCACTGGAGTGCAGTGAACAACATTCAGCACTAATGGGTAATTCCAACAACTTTCAATGTACATTGAAAAGAGAAACAAGATGAATCTTAGAACACAGTAGTGCACACCATGAGGAAAATTAATATATTTTCAATTACCTTTTGACGCTGTAAAGCCTTCAGTGGTGAAAGAGCCCATTTATACAACGGATCATGGACGAAGACCTGGCATATTACATATGTTACCAGGGGAAATTGAAATATTGATTTTTCCAGATACATAAAAAGCCTTTTGATAACAAACATACTTCAATAATAGTGACCAACGCTTCTTTATTTGCCCTCATGACCGAAAGAGTTTTCTCACAACACCTTCTAAATACACCTTCAACGCCAGTAACTCCCATGCCATCTATCATGTCCCTCGTCAGGCGAAATGGAACCTGCAAGTAGAGGTATAAAACTTAATTCAGGCTATTACAAAAGAAAAAAAATGGAAAATACGTACGTACATATAAAGAAAATGACAATATAAAACATCCATTTTACGTTAAAAAAAAACTCACACACACCAGAGTTTCACAAACGTAAACAGCAAGATGACAATTTTAGGAATACAAATATGATGCTTCATCACATACCCGTTCAGGAGTTTTAAGCATGAGACCCTGTTCAAATGCAACACCAAGATCTATGTGTACAACCTCAGCTGTCTCTTGATCAATGAGAATATTCTGGGAATGACGATCTCCAAGTCCCACAATATATCCTACCTGAACCGACAAAATTGACAGCCAGTGCTTATCATTCTCCAGTAACCAGTACAGATCCAGACAAATGATTTCATATACTGCTCATTAACTACAAAGATTACCATTGAGCTTGCTGCCACACTTCTTGTGTAAGCAAGTCTACTTTGGAACCAATCTGCAGGCTGCAAGAATCTCTCAAGGAAGAAGTGGTGCATCACAGGCCTGGTATTACAGGACAAAGAAATGTATGTGAATGCCATGTTTTCATGTGTCCCCATATTGTCCTAGTAGCAAATGAATATAAGAGATAACAGAAGACCTGAAGTTGTTGCAGACTTTGACAAACGCCCTCCTCTTGTCTTTTTCCTATTAAAAAAAAGAAATGCTTTTAGATTGGAGTATTGGACATATGTTGTCATGGTATAAATAGCAAATATTTTTTAAAAAAGTTCCACAAGTAAACATACATTTGTCATGGTCTCCCTGCATTGATGATATGTCCAGTCTCCAGTTCCATATCTTCCATGTGCTCCACCACTTCTTGTACTGTATGGACCAAAGGGGAAAAAAACTACATAAATATAAAGCATTTGTAATGTATATTGCATAAAATAGCAGGAACCGTGCACGCAGAATACCTTCCCACAAGATATTCAGCAAGAGGAACAGTCCCGTTTACCCATTCAACAACACCAGCACTTGGGGTGAAGGGAACAACCTAAGTTACATAAACTAGTTAAAATTTTGTGTAAACTACAAAGAAGGTATAATGAAAAACTAAGATGGACATGAAGATATCTAAGAACAATAATGAAAAGAAAAGGAGCGAATCTCTTGATTAAATTCAAATTCATGAATTTTGTTTCTACCTTATATGTGCGAATTCTCAATCTCCTCTCAGATGTATCTCTGTGATTTTGCAAGAACATATTTACTAGACTGAAAAATTGTTCCATCACCTGTAAATGTACTCAATATAGCACAACTCATTCATCCACAAGATAGGCCATTGCTGAAAAAAATTTCTCCACGCAATTCATTTCAATTGACCTTAGCAGACAGTGACCAAAAAATACTGACAGAACTACAATGGTAGCTGGTTGCTATGTTTACTTCCTGTTGCTAACTCATCAGTTTGGTGATAGTCTAAAAATGTGAGATAATAACACTGTAAAGCACTATGACAAGAGATAAAAGTATACTGCAGGCATTATTCCAAACCATGTCTCCTTTGTCCCACTAAACAGAATTGCTTACGGTAGGTAACAGATAGTGTTCTACGATATGGTCAAATGCCAGTAGCCCAACTGTTTTAGTCATACTTTGCACTAGCTGTTACTAGCAATTGGGTACACACTAGTTGCTATGCAAATACATGTACTAATCATTTCCCTGAAATACATATGTAGTCTTGCTAATGAAGACAAACATCTAGGGCACTTATGTGGATCACAAATTAACACACAGATAGACATCCCATGATGCAAGTTTAAATGAGCAGATTCATAGTACATAGGCTAGGAGAAAAAGATAAAATAAGAAAGCTAGAACTTTGTTGGTACTTGAAAGCTCTCAAACAATACATGGTAAATGCATTCTTGTAAAACTTTCTCATGCTTAAAATGTAGGAATAAGAACATACAGCATCTTGTCGCAGGTCATCATTTCCAGATTTTGCGAGTTGGCGATATTTGTTACCATCAGAGCCAATACATTCAATAACCTTCGGAGCATTAATTCCATTCATTACCCTACCACAATGGAAGAGTCCCAACAGTTAATAAAGATCAAAAGGTAAATCTTCAGTCACAAGTAATGGGTAAATTGCAGACCAACTTACATAATAGAATCTGCTAGCCCATTAAAATGTGGAAAGGAACCTTCTTCATACTGACAATTAGGATCGACTGGAATACTAGCAGTTACAACAGGAACCTACCAAAACCAAATAGAAATGGTTCAAAAAAAAATGCAGAGAAGTGAAATTTCTATGGATAATTTGAAATGGACCGCCAGTGCTATCAATAAACTAAAAGAATATGGAATGAAGGCAATAATAGAAAACAAAAGCTATCAAAATTGCTGTGACACAACGCATCCGCTAGAATGTTAGGTTTTTTAAGTACATAAAACTATCTTCTTAGTTTCTTCAACCAAAGAATAAAAAAGTTTATAAACGAACAGAACGAAGCAATTTTGTTCCACCTATAAGTTTTTAATTCAGAGATTTGAGAGGTTCTACCAAGCACTACTAGCATGTGATAGCACAAACCAGTTATCCCCCATAGAAGTACAAGAAAAAGTTCATAGAAGTAAAATTTCCCTTACAAGTTCAAGCTGACAAATGCTGCGGATCTCCCTAGGTAGTGGAATTCTTTTGTTCGTGTCCTGATAATAAGATGGACGGCATCAATATTTTAACATGGATAATATGGACAAAAATCTAGCACAAGTTGCTTTTGAAAAGATAACTACCTCCTTCTTGGTCTCTAGTTCAGCCAACTTAATGTAGATCTCAACCATTTGCTTCATCTACAAGATGTGCAAATGAACATAATAAAGAGTACACTTTAACAATAAATGCATTTTGACTTCCATCTGAGATGACTGAATAAGAATATATAGATATTTGAAAAGAGTAGCAAACCTGACGAATCAAAGCTCCATGAGAAGAAGATAAATCCTTTAACAGATTTTCAGCAGCAAGTTTCTTGTCCATGTCTACAATAAAAGAACTTCTACTCCTTTGCTTGTCTTTGACGCGGTCACCATTTGCTAGAGCCAAAAGCTGAGTACCAAACAACATGCTTAAAATGGCAAAAGAGATGACTCTTAATTCTAGAGAATGATTAAAATGCACTGCAGCTGCCTTCAAATACATAAAGTACACGTAAATGAGCTAATTGCAGAGTCATGTAAGTGAACAAACTGAGAATGTGTGCCATTTTAAGCACATATGTAAGTGCACTAAAATATATTTCATTTTCAAGTTTAGAACTTATGAATTATATTTTTAGATCAGTTGTAATGCAAAGGTATTTTTATTGCCATTAAAAAAACTTAGAAGGAATAAGGGTAGAGTCAAGTATAGATGTAATAACACTAAAAATGTATTTTATTTTCAAGTTTGACACGTTTGACTCTAATCTTATTCCAAGTATTTTTTTAATAACAATAAAAATACCTGTGCATTATAGCAGATCTAAAAACATAAATCATAAGTAATAAACTTGAAAACAAAATATATTTTTTGAGGAAAAACATATATAATTCACAATCAATCCACAAAAAGCCAAACCAAATGCATAAAAGATATATATAACCAGCTTTAGAAGATCCGCAACTCTGGAGGTGGTGGGATGGCAGATTCACCATCACCACCATGTGGTTCTTATATATAGTAGAGATTTGACAATGTTTAAGTGTATTGGATCCTTTCCTCAGTAGAACTTACCCACAGTCGTAGTTAGACACTGGAACCTCTGTAATGAGCCTCTAGGTGTCTAGAATGATTTCTTACTCTCACCCCTCAAAAACGATGACCTGGCTACAGGTGATTTGAAATGATTCAAAGGCCCCATCCCAGAGCTCATGTTTGGCAGACTATATTAGTATATTTTGCCTTAGTGTTAGCGGTTACATTACTGAAATGTCATATTGTTTTAGGCATTCAGCAGGCTAGTTAATCCTATCTGACATATCATTTAGTTCCTTTCGACATATATAAAGATCAGCAACTACAATACCTGAAATATTGTATGATAAGGATGATCAATGGCCATTTTCTTCAGAAGAGAAGCTAGCGCATTCTGCAAGAAAAAAAAAAGATGGCGTTATAAGATTCATGTTTACCCAATGCAAACAAATCTCTGAAAGAGTAAGACATGTATACCTGGAAGTTTGTTGAGCCCTGCGCATCTTTTGAGCTACCAAGTCTAGAAGCAATTTGATAGACCAATGGTATGAATTTGTAGGACTGGACCTATACAATAAGAACATTTCCATGAAGCTGATAAAAGCACCAAGAGAGTAATAAGTGAAATTTGAAGATTTACCTCTTTTGTTGTTTTCATCATTGCTTTCACAACTTGCTCTCTTGAGAAAAGACTAAACCATAGTGAGACCAACCGGAAAACCTGAACGTATGTTTAGCACTGCTATAAATAACAGTGTCCCTATACCCCGAGATATACAAAGAGCACAGCGTACAAAAGAAACTAAACAATTTTATTGCTGCAAGCACATTGTGACTGAAACAGGAAGAACTCTTAACAAGAAACGATAACAGCAATGACATATAAAGGACAATGGGTGCTTTACAATTATTTGCAGGAGATGAATGCTTCGCATTAAATGTTAAAAGAATACCAGAGCAACTATGAAGCATATTGTGACTAACACAAGAAACAATACTATATCCGAAAATGGATGATTGCAACTTGCAATGATAAGCAGGAGGTGAATACTTCACACCATATGAAAACATTTTTATAGTGACAACACAAGCATATTGTGACTGAAATAATATGAAACAATAACAAGCAGGAGATTTCATATATGAACAGGATTACATATTACACGACATTAACTGGCACCTGCCGATTCAAAGATTATAAGATCTTGAAATGGAAATGGCATACCACTTGTAGATCATATTTCCCACCGACAACGAGTGAGCGTTGGTACCCCTGAAGCGCTAGATTCAAGAATTTGTCCCGATCATCCTAATAAGAGAGTTCAGTGAATGTTTAAAATAGTAGGTATACAATGCAGAGCAGTAAACATGCACCATCGTATTTCAAAGCTAGAATATTGTGGTGGCCTGTTCTCCTAAAAAATATTATGTGGTGTCACTCCATTTGATATTGAGAGTTCAAATTTCAAGTTAAATCAACATCCTAATATATAAATGAGTTTGGATTTGCTGCTCCTATTGGCAATTCCAGGTATAAATATTACACCATTTTACCAAAAATTTCAAAAATCACTTATTCATTTTTTTTCAATTTTTTGAATAAATATAGAAATTAAAGAAATGTAGATGTATAAATGCGGAAGAGAGGCAAAATTTTCAGTACATAAAATTTTGAGTGTCAACTTTACTCCTTAACCTGTCCGGTTTTGTACTGGAATGCAAGCATTACACTCTCATTTTTCTAAATCAAATTATTCACGCTTGTCCAAGGATGTGGCTCTTGTAATTCTATGCACATGCATAATTTCAAGGTCCAACTTGTCGATATTAAATACTGTAGATGACAAAAAAAAAGGGAGTAGTACAAGACAATAGCACATGATGCAGGTTCTGGATAACTGAAAAGAGTAGTACAGGAGAATGATGCATGATAGTGGCAATAATGTTTGTTACCTTGCTGCTTTTTTGAATTTTAGCGCTAAATTTGGCATGTGTGCACTGTGAAGGCATAAAATATCATCCAGGTGTTTTTGTTAGAAATTTTTTTAGAACACCGCATCATGCACACATAGAAAAATGAACAGTGTGGTTGCTGTGGCCAGAAGCACAATATTTGTGGATATATGGTTATTGATCTGGTTAGTACTATTGATATAGTGCGTGATGAATTTGTGATAGCAGCAAATGCTATATTTAAGTTGGAGTCAGGACCTCGATGTTGGATAGGTCTGTGACCAGATAGGCGTATTGAAAATTTGACTGAATGCATCATGAGAGGCATATTTTATATACTTTAAACTACACATGCACACCTGAATCTTCCCTGCCTCTTCTTCGTCAAGTGCAAGTTGTTTCTGTAACTCTTGGATTTTCACTGAGTAATCAGTCTTTTCACTCTGAAAATTTTAAGGATTAGTATGCAGTAGCCAACAGTGCCCATGCTCCTTGACATTTTCAGACACCATGAAAAAATGCAGTGCTTACCTTTGATGAACTTTTAAGTCTTTTCATCAGTGTATCCAGCTCCTTAGACTGCATTAAATAGAAAATGTATTGAGATATACAGTTTCAAGTTCGATATCGATATGATGCCACTGTCAAACTTAGTTCCTTACCTTGTATTTTCTTAATCGCAGAGCTGCTTGCCATTCGTTGGATGAAAGTCTTTCCTCATAGCTTTTGAATAAGCCATCTGTGTAATGCGCTAGATGGAAATATGTTCGGCACTGCCTAGACTTGTACTTTTTGTCTGGGCACTTGTGCAATTCAGTAAAATCTACGGAATGCCTTAGGTAGTCATCAATGATAGTTCTTGAACTACAATATATATATACATATATCACAAACAGAAAATAGAGAACAGTTCTCAATACATGAAACAAGTGCAAAGCACAAAGTAGAAATAAATGGTTACTTGCTCGATCTTGTTTCAGCCAACCACTTGCCGACTAATCGATAGACATCTGATACATTCTTCTTATCAGGATGGTTCTTTAGAATGTATTTCCCAAGATTTATAGCCATATCATGCTGCCCTTGAGCTCTCAGCAGTTTAGCTTCTTCAAGCTGGAGTGTAAAGGCAGGACATGAACTTCATGGATCACAGATAATTCACAACATATAAGCAATATATATAAACCAATATGTGTAATATTATCAACAAAGGCAGCTTACTTTAGGTTTTATTTTTCCAAACCACTATAATATTATTATATAGGAACCACCAATCGAAACCAGTGAACCAGTGGGCTTGCTGGTTCGAGCGATTCCCAGTTTCAAAGCTATGATAACAATTCTATGGGCAACTTTAGTCCTATTTGTTTTACATGGATTTTATAGGAAACAGGGCAAATTCTCTAGAACTATAGAGCTCTTTTGTCCCCAACGGGACACTAATATTAAAAGATGACTTATCAACAAATATTAAAAAGACAAGGCCGATTAAGAACTAAATGTGTACTGGAAAGGCTACATGGACTGATCATTTAAAACCAGTACTACTAGTACTTAATTTGTTGGGTACGAATGTATGATATGAGAACAGAGGGTAGGAACCTCATGTAACCATCTGCGTCACTATTACATGGTTAGAGGCTCTGAGGCTAGATCAAAGAAGAGGAGAGTCTAGGAACTTTAAGAACAAATGATGATAATGAAGTACTGAAGTACTAATATATAATAGCCAAACACCTGAACCAATCTATCTGTTTATTAATATTTGAATAACACAGCTAACAGACAAATTAGACTAACTATGCTGACTTAATGCAATTAACTGATATGGTAGCCAACATATGCAACAAGTTTATCCTGCCTTGCTAAAAGCAGAAAGGCAAGTGCTGCTCTGCCAGCTGATGGTGTGTGTAGAGCTTTGCTATGTGGCTGATGCTCACATGCCCAAAGCCAGCAACAAAGGAGAAAAGTAGGAGGTTAAATGGCAGCTCTCAGAAATGCTCTTCGCCACTTTTTACAATGAAATTTCTCAAAGTGCTCATGGATTGAAATAACAAATTCAAGTAGCTATACCTTTCTACTTACCTTTGGGATTATGTTGAAAAGAATAGAAACATATGTTTCAGTAGGGAGTACATAAGGTGATTTTTTTTACCTTAAATAGGAAATAAGAATTTGGCATAGCTTGATGATCCATGTGGTAACGAAGTTCTTTGAGTTCATATAAAGCAGCTGCAGCCAAAGAAAATCTTGCTCCCTGAATCCAGAAAAGGAACCACAGAATTATTATGAGAAAGAGCATGAAACTGTGACTGCAGTTAAAAGCAGCAAGACAACCTTCCGGAGTGCTGAAGCAGATTGAAATAAATGTTCTCTGAGATGCTCTTCAGAACCTAAGATCTTAAGGACGGCACTGCGGAATGCTAGAAAAGGTTCCAAAAGGTCAAGGTTACGTTCTGTTTGACACAGGATGAAAGTCCACTCTTTATTCAGCAGTTCCAACTACAACCAAAATATGTAGGAAACGATTAGTTCACAAGGAAAATTCAAATAGTTAAACAAGGAATGTTAAAGAGTAAAGACAGTGGTAAACCACATATACATATGTGCATTCTCTTCAGAGATAAAAGACTTAAAGTTGTTTTCTCGGCCAAACAAACTCAAGCAGCTTAGTATGGGGAATGAAAAAGAACATGTACATGTAGCTATTCTACTATCTTAGGCATCCAAAGTGATTTACAATCAGTGGGAGGATACAAAAGTCAATATAAGACAGTGACTGGTCTGTATCAACCTCGATGCACATTTGACAGTGTTACATGTATGTGAAGGAAACCAATTGTCTATTTTGAACAGAAGATCATGTCAGAACTATCTCCATAAGAACAGACAATGCATGCTAAAGTGTTACATGTATAATGCTGTGAAACAGTGGGGGTATTTCTTGCACATGGCAACCTTTTTCGCGAACGCTTGCACATGGCAACCTAAAAAGGTTACATAAATAGATATAGACACAACAACAGTTCCCAAACTTACATCTGAAATCTGAATGTAAATTGAGTCGCATTTATTTCAAACAAAATAATGAGAGAACTAGCCAAAATATTATATATGACTACAACAGATGTGAAACAAACCTGCATCCTTGTAGGAACAGTTGGAACTGGAGAAAAATCCTTGTTTCCAACATAAGACTTTGATGTCTGATTGAGACAGAATTTCCATCGTAGGTCCCAAGCCATAGTAAGATGATCTAACATCTATAAAATAACAAAAGAGAGTAACAATGTACCTCATACCAAGTATCACAACAAGTATATCATTGTAAGATAACAAGCCAGTACCTGTAGTTTGATAACAGTAGAATGGATGTATTTTGTGCTCTCCTTGCTAGCATTTGAAAGAGCCAGCACAAGATCCTAAAAGGGGATAAAATAATAAGTATTAGAAGCTAGATTCACAATAAATCCAACAGAGGGAAGTGAACCACAGATGAAATTAAATACCATCTTGGAGTTAGAAAGCTTCACATGGAACTCCTCGGAATCACCATTCTGCAGAGCTCTTAAGCAACTAAAGCATGGAGAAATAAGTTGTATATGAGAAGTTAGGTAACAGGTTTCTATTGGTCCGAAGTTAGAACTATTTTTCAACAAACCCTTGTTTCATTTATTTCAAGGATCCAGTAAGCCGAATTAAGAAAGTACATGTATTAACTTTGTAATCCAACAATCAACAAAGTGCAATGCACACCTTCTAATATATTCTAGATAGAATGGCATAAATAGCACAATTATATTATGTACGGATCTGATAATATGCATCTAATATGGTAAAAAATGCCTAGGTCCAGGTCGTACCTATCTTGCTTAGTCAGTTCATGCCACTGAGTCCTTAAAATTCAATCGAAGGTAACAGGTTCTACAATACTATAAATTATTAACCATGCCTTTTGTTTCTCAACAGTCAACACAATACTAAAGATAATAAGCTATTCTTTCAGCTATAAATATGCAAAAGCATTGAGATGTGTAACTTAAGAGTAAGGAAAATTAGGGACCTGTGCAAATTTCCATTGAAAAGGCAGTAACTTTGGGAATGGGTAGAAGGCTGAGAAGAGTATGGAATGAAAAAGGAGAAATCCCAATTTCCAGCTCTCCAAGCAGCTTCATACTGCATGACAGGCAATAAAAATTAGGCCATACTACTGGAAAAAATGTTGCAGGATGTAAGGTTATATGAAATATGTACTAACTTGCATATCAATAAATTCTGAATCTTGTTGAAGACAACTTTTTTGGTTGCTTAAACCTTGGCAGTAGACATCAAGGACATGACTACATCCAGTCTTCTGCAAAGATCTCATCAGACCTTTGTGCATTTGCCAGTTCAGCATCTTCTCTTCAGCTTTAGAAGGCACATCAGATGGTCCAGTCAATGCTGTCCCAGCCAAACTGCCATGGTTCTCCTTTCGAGTTGATCTTACAAGTAAATCGTGATATTCAAGAGCACTACTCCAATCACCCTCATGCTCATATCTAATGATTTGTGAAGTTATCTGCTCAAAGAGAATAATAACGACAAACAAGAGGAAAACATAACTTTAAGATCTTAACACTTAAATAATGGGTCTACACATGTATATCTGATAGCCCTAACTTATAAGTTCATACAGAAATGTACCATGACCAATGACCACTTTAAGAATAACTTGGAGTTCATATAGAAAGTATGAACCTAAGCCTACCAAAACTCAACAAAAAATAGTGAGAATTTTTTTATGAGAAACCTCATTCGCCAGTGTGATCCCATAAATGCTGTCCAGCTCATTTATGCGAGTAAATGAAGCAACCAGTAGATCAATATGTGGGGGCAACTGTAAAAAGGCAAGAAACATAAATGGGCATGTGGCAAAACTACGGTAGAGCTAAAATCACACACAAGAAAGTAATAGTTGAAGAAAGGATAAGAGACAGACCGACTCTTCGTGCGAAAAATCTGGAGGTCCTAATGCTAGCATATTGAATTTTTCCTCACACCAAAGCTCAACATACATTAGTGTTGCAAAGTCACATGAGCACCTCTGCAATGATCCAGAAGTTCAAAATTAATACAAACAAAGGAAACAGGAGAATTGAGGTACAAGGCATTTCAATCACCAGTGGCACATGTGTAAAAAGTGCAAGCTCAAGCATGAAGCACAACAAGCATTTGCATGGCCTATAGATGTCTTCATGGCCCATTGCTAGTCCAAATAAATTCTCGAGAAAAAAAAACTAGTCCAAATAATTATTTTGCTACGTACAACGAAGAGTAGTAGGGTAGGAATAGGATTGGGTACAATGGGGTTTCAGGTGAAAGAGACGACCCCTTGCTAGCTTTAAGGAGCTTGCAGAACCCATGCAAAACAGCACAAGTGTTGTATCAATCCAGCCATTGATTTTTTTAACAGGAACCAAACCATGAACTGGAACTAGAATCAGATTACAACCCTAAGAGTTATGTGGTAGATGTATCTTTGTCTGGGCTAAGAAGGCCATTAGGATTATAGTGTCAAATGCAATACATGTATCTCTGTTGAGTGTTGACAAGGCCAAGTGGAAAATCTAGCCTAAGGTTGGCCTATGATGTCTTGTGTATCATATAATTTACCCATGAACAACATGTCCAGTTTTGAATGGCCTCTAAACTTAATATCAAGTTCCAGAAAATATTTTGAATGTAAAGTCGAGTCTGGTATAATACAGTACAAAGGAACTAAACAGCATAATGATGTAGCTGTGGGCAGGGTAGCACACTTACATTAGCAGCTCTGGCAGCCACAAGATAATCAACTGAAAGCCAGTACACCTGTCGAATAAACGATGTGTTAAGATTCTGGACATCAGCTGCAAAATTTTCCCTAGCTTACAACCTCCAATCACATGTGCCAGCTGAACCACAGAAAAATAGCAGGTCCATTGAAGCATAGGTAAAAGCAAAAGCTCTTTCATTTGCAAATAGCCAATCAATCCTTACAATAGCACAAGAATCTACCTTATGCATACAATAATCCATCTAGAAAGCCTGACATAACAGCAAAAAAGCTAAATGCTGGAATCATTTGCTAACAGTAACATCAATTGAATTCAAGTTTTCCAAGGAGTGTACAGGACTATAGTCATTTGTACTTGGTAATCACAATTTTTTTCCGAAAGAAATTAGACTGACAATGCCACACTCTTATGCACTGCTATACTATGACAATAAAAACAGAAGAAACGTACTAGCAAATGTTACTCCAGGATGTGTGTGTGTGTGTGCGTGAGAGAGAGAGAGAGAGAGTAGAATAAAATACCTTCTTCCAGGAGGATGATGGGGTGGTGGTTGGTGATCGACTTTTGGATCTAACAGATCTACCATCCTACAAGGTTCAATACGTAGTTCAAAAGACAAATAAACAGAAACAAGTATATCAAGTGCTCAATATTAATGATGAAAAATATTACTCCCCCTGTCCCAAAATATAACAACTTCTAGCATTCAAAAATTGTCCCAAAATATAACAACTTCTCACCTACATTCTTTTCTCAACCAATCACAACCTTCCACAATTCAAATTCTCCACCTACTTTTCTTCTCAGCCAATCATACTTTCTTAATACCCGTGTCTAAGCCTAAAACTCCTTATTTTGGGACGGAGGTAGTAATAGAGTAACAATGACATTACAAATAACATCTGTGTATTGATTATGATATGATAACATATATTTCTTTCCTGACACAATTATAAATTAACAGTAACAGAATACCTTGAGAGTATTTGAAGGGCAACCTCTGGCTTTTTCTGCAACATAATAAGACCTGACAACATTCAGCGCATCCAAAAACAGATAAACTGACTTCATCAAATGATTGGAGTCACAAAATATTTTTTCCTCCACCTAAAGTAAAACATAAGTCATCAACAGATTGGCAATAATCCAACCGTGCAACCTTCAAGTAATCAAATAACTTGGGATGCAACAAACCATAGATGAAATTAATCTGCAGATGCCAGCATTTGAATCCAAATTGCCCGCAATGTTCACAAGAGCACTTGCAAGCAAAAGTTCAGCAACCTCAACTTTGAGAAAAGCAATACTCCTACAAAGTCTATAAGAAGAACATCATTTCAAACAGCAACAATACAGTCACATTGAAGAAGATGTGTTAAGCTTTAGTTACTGTTACAGGTGTATTTCTCAGTTGAAACTGGTACCTCAAGATGATGTCATCACAATGACAAATTAGTGAGCCCACCAAGGTGCATAGCCATTGCTTGTAAGTCCGACCATCAGTTCTCCATAAATCTGAATCTTCAAGTGAAACTATCGAGCCAAAGTTTGGCAGGAAAAAAGAGAGAATAATAAATGTCATACCATAGGGAGCATAATAAACAAGCACTGCACCATGGAGAAGCTTGTTCAATAGTGTTCTACATTATGGATGCTTTCCTAATTAAACAAGACATTACATCAATGTTTTTTTATAAAAAAAAAAACGGATGCAGTGCAACACCCTTTTATTCTCTTGTTTTACCAGAAGAAATAATTCACAAATTATGTGCATGTGGACAGAACGGGGATCATGAGATTGACCCATAGATTTATGAATGAGTGATTGTTTTTTATGAATGTGCAATGTGGTAGATCTTTACAACATTGATTTAGAGCAGTGTGCTGGCAACTATTGGCATAGACGTGCTTGAGATCATAAACTATGACTCACCACCAGAAACCTTTTCCATGCCCAAAAGTGTTTGTTCAACTACCTGAGCATTTATGCCTCGTGAATGAACCTATGCAGTAAAGGTAGTTAGGAAATTGAACTTAGTAATAAGCAAAACAAAATGACAAGACAACATAGTACCACATACCATCAGCAAAGACCTATCAAGAGAATCAAGGCAATGCAGAGCATTCAGACCCCTTGCCGTTGACAGAACTCCCTGTTCATGAAAAAACAAGAAAAAGTTTTGCAGCACCCGTAATAAAATAGCTTCCAGCTACCGCATTCAAAATCATTCATCTGCGATTTCGATCTCAAAATCACAATTGTTGTTTCAACAACACAATTACACAAATACTGTATTGTATTGCATCTGCATAAGGAGTCAAAACAAATATAGTGGGAACATTTTTGTGAATATTTAACAAATTGGGTACTATTAAGTATTTTAATCGAGAGATGTCTAAAGAAATCAAACTTGATTTGATCAAAACAAGAGGGTCTAAGTCTAGGATCAGCAGATGGAAAATCGCATATACAGCAATTGGTCCACTTGATTTCTCTTCTTTTTTTACAACTCAGCCTCTTTGCAACTAAAATAATAGGATAACCTGTGCACGACCACATACTAAGAAATTCAGTAAATGAAATGCATCTTGGAAGTAATACTTGAGGCTCCAAATTTATTACAGTATGGGCTTGGCTGACCCCGTAGAAAGTTTAATCAGTGCATTCTATTTGTGGGTATGCCACTATCCAGTGTGGTTTTGGTACAGAAAATTCATGATAGCAACAAGAAAAAAGAGAACAGTGCTTACAAATTTCAAGGGGATAAGTCCAGTCAGATAAAAAAATTACAGGACACACCTGTCATGCTCTACAACGTTCTTTCAAGAATCGGAGGGAGTTAAGAGCAAAAATAACACTAAACGACTTACCCTCAGTGTCCGTGAAGTAACATCTATTATTTCAGCTGACTCATCAGACAAACAAGCTTTCAAAAGTTTCAGAAGACCAACCAAAATATCATCAGAAATGCCATAGTCCGAGGGCAATTTATCCTCCTTGGAAATATGTGGTTGTATGGGATACTTTTCAGTAAGATTCGGCACATGAAATATCACTTGATGCACATCAGATATGCCAGCCTGCATTAGTTTAAAGAGATCGAGTTATTGCGACGAGAAAAATGCAAATCAACAACATAATGGAGGAGCATGCCAATGGATTAAGAATAAAGACTGAAAGCACACCCTAGAAATAAAATCAGCAAGCACCGATGAAGCTTCATTTGCCACAGACGATGAGCTACAGAGGTCAACAAGAGTCCATACAGCAGAAACAACATCCGGGTCACTGTGCCAACAGCTAATTGTGTCTGCATTATCCACAGATACATCGCCTCTATATATGATCTCTCCCAATAATAACTTCTTGTGATGCATACGAAGACTTAAAAGTACAAGAATAGAAGGAAATAAATTATGTTAGAACAATGAAAAACACCATACCTCCTTGAAAAGAAACACAAGATGCATTTTAACACATTTACACACAATTAACAGAGAAACCCCATTAGAAAAGGCTCTTAGACTTGAGAGAGAATTAAGGAAATTATACCTCAGCAGAAACAGCTCTGGTGGCAAGTGAGGAGCCCTGCTAACAAACTACAGGAAGTAAAAACAGTGCATTAGCTCATAGTGAATGTAAACTCAAAAAAAATGAGAATTTAAAATAGCAACCTTTAGAAACTGATCTCTTGAATCATAGGAACCAGAAAGTGAAGCATGGAACACTTGTATATCTTTTAAGCAATCAAAGCTAGGAAGTGGCTCCAAATCCTGTAAGATCATTAAGAACTAAGCAAATCAATGGCAGATTAAAAAATATGAAGCAATGGATCGTAAAGAATAAGCAAAGAACCAATCAGAATAGATGGAGAGTGGAGATGAGTCATACTCTTATGTAATCATAAAGCAATGGATCAGCATCAACTGTCAATTGACGAAGCAAAGATAAAACTCTTGATGAGTCTGCAATAGCACCTTTCCCTCCCTTCTCATTACGAAGGCAACAAGTGACCAATTTTGGAACTAAGAGCTGTACAAAGTCCATTTATAAGGAGTAAGCGAGCAGACATACTATCGATAAATTATGAAAAACTATTTATGAGGACCACCTGAAGCTGCTTGCCAAGCGCAGCATCAGTTTCAGTAGAACAGTTCGAATTGAAAGCAGCCAACAACTTGGACAAGATATTGCAGCATTGGTCTTGCAATGGTTGTCTCTGGATGTAACTCCCCACTATACAAATAATATAGCTGCAGTTGAAAAAGATGATTGCTCAAACGTTAATATAAATACACAAGCAGATAAATCCACAAACGATCTCCAACACATAGTAAAAACAAAATAAATAATCCGCAACATGAAAATCAAGTCAATAGGCCATAATCGCAAGCTTATATGCAAGCCAACACATGCTATCAGTGTGTTAGTCTATCCAGAAAAAAATGGGACTTGAAAGAAACGACGAATTGACACAAAGGAAGTAATATTCAACTTAAAGTGGGACTTGAACTCTTAATTAGTGCCAGTATGTACAGCTAGTACTCCTTGGAGGTTACTAAACATTTATGTTCACATAAGCAACATATTCTTTTTGGACAAGAACATGTCCAAAAGTGAATCATTGTACAATTCCTGAGGCCTTTTTTTTTTGTGTGTGTGTGTGTGTGTTTGTAGCGTGCGTGTGTGGAGGGGCTCAACTACAATTAGGAAAGAGAATAGATAAAAACACTCACAACCAAGTGCTGTAAAGAGCCACTCTATGCCCAAGTACATCTATCAAAACCTCAATGGCACAAAGCCGATGGCGAATATGCCTAGGATGGCTAGCATCTGCAATTTGCTGATGTATTGCCAACAGAAACTGCAATGGGAAGCAAATTAGATGGAACTTGGTCAAATCCAATTATGATCATAAAAACAATATAATATGTAGATTAGAACGAAATGATGAATGTCTTGCAACTCCGTTAAAATAACAACTGGATGATAGTAAAAAGTCATAGCAAAACCGGTAGCAACTTGTACTATAAAATGTACAAGAAAACAAGTATAATTCCCCCTAAACAATAAAATATGTTAACAACTGGTACGTTTAACATATTCAATCTCTATTCTCATCGGCCACTGAGATTGAAGATGGGTTGTTTACGAGATAAACAATTTTTTTAGATCTATACCAGTTAACATTAACCGTGACAACCAAGAATACACTTAAATAGAGAAACCTAAACCTTGGGCTCTCCATTACAGTTCTTGATGTCTTAGAAAATGATAAACTTTATCTATAAAAGAAAATGATATAATAGAAAAAGACATTCCAATTCTGTTTTAGTTCAGAGATTAGACAAGCATGCAACAAGATGTAGATCGGGTACCTTAAAAACCCTGTCTGAACGGAATATATTGATTTTATCAATAACAACTGTTTCAGCCAAATTACCATCCCTGAAATGTGGAAAATCACAACAATGCTACTGAATTGGCATGTAAGCATTATGTATGTATTGAAAATGAAAAAAAGAAGAGTATACATTGCATCCATAAATCCGTCAACAACTGTTTTCACCGAGTGTGCCACAGCCTCCTTGGAGAAGTGTGGGATTTCTGGCTGACGTGAAGAAGATGAAACTGATAGCAAAAAGCCAACTATGGAAACCTAGAAAACAGGAGAAGAGTGAGAAAAAAAAAAGTACAAAAATGTGGATCGGTTTAGAGCTCTGTAGATTATCAAGTAGACTAAACTAGTCAGCGGCGGAGCTAGGGCCCAGCAACCCGGGGCAGCTGCCCGGGCTCCGGCGCCGCATGCATCATTAGATTAGTTCTAAATCACGGTGCTTAGCCACAGCATACAGCAGCCAGCATGAAGCAACATAAGTACGTTTTAATAATCTGTTAATAGATGTTACATACACAATCATCTAGAGTAGCCTGAAGCACCATGATTGTTTACTAGATCATTTTATCTACTACTTGAGTGGAAGCTATTAGACATCTGCAGCCTGAAGGCAAAGTAAATTTTCTAGCACCCATTATATTTTTTTCAAGATAACAAATTACTAAGGCCCTGTTTGTTCCAGCTTATGATTATTATAATCTAGATTATTAAGTCTATAATGCCCTCAGCTATCTGTTCGGTTGATGGCATAGGTGGGTAATTTTTCTCAAGTATGTAGGGGTAGTGGGTCTTTAGCCACTCGATAATCTGAAAAAAGCTCCTTTAGAGCAGCTTATTAGATTATAATAATCTGGCTTATAGTTTATAATAATCTGCTATAATAATCTACTTGTTTGTTTCAGCTTACTCCTAATAAGCTAGATTATAATAATCCTAAGCTGAATCAAACAGGGCCTAAGTCCCATAGTTTGCAAAAACACAACCATAGGTTTCCTCTAAATTAGAATATGATAAAAAAATGTTATATGATACATAGTCTATGGAGTTATATGGGATCTGTTGGCGTTGTTAATTAGACTTGCCCAGGCTCATAAATATTTCTAGATCCGCCACCGAAACTAGTCAACCGCAGTGGAATAGAGATGCCAAAATGTGAGCAAAGGGGCAATGGAAACTTAGAAATAAAAAAGTGAAAGTGATGAGGACTAAAGTAATATAAAATTATTTTAGCACAACACAACACCCAGTCATAAAAGAAGCCTAAACAATATCACTTATATATGTACTGTAATGCAAGACATACATCTGAATTTAATATTTAGCTATTTTGGAAAATTCACTGAACAAGAGAGAATGTAAATGTGCCAGATGACAAAGTTGCAGCAAATTACATAGAAAGAATGAAACAGAATGCAATGCATGCAGATTGAAGGGAAAAGGCTATTCAGGGAGCATACCATATGTTTTTTAATGAGATCATCGCGCTCAGGCTCAGAAATTTCACCAAGCTGCAAAAGGGATTCACATAAGACAGTCTCTGCTAAGTCCTTTTCTGGCCCTGAGCCATATCTGGCAGCAATGCACAATCCAAAGATCGGGACAAAGTATCCCTTTATAACAGCAGACAAAGGTTGAGACAAAATCTGAGTAAGAAATACACATAAAAAGAGAGATTAGGACCAGATCAGGTTACACAAATACATAGAACGAAGTACCATCGAAACACTCAAACAAATTTTGAAAAGGGAAAATACTTCACAGTTTGATAATTTTAAGGGAAATTGGTGTTTGACATGTTACACAGTATGACCACTTTCTACAGTTAAGTTAAAAAAATCAGGGGTATAAAAGTTTATTAAACCAACAAGTTAGGACCATATTTAGGAGTTCCACATGGAGATCCTAGTCCTTAACACGGTGACAGTTAAATAAAAAACTGGCAAGCTTCCAGAATTTTAGAATAACAATAAACACAACAAATATTGAACTACATGACTGCCAATATTAAAACAAATATCCATTCACCTTGGATAGCCAATTAAGATCGGCAGTCTCACCCCTCAGAATAAGGAAAGAAAGTAACCATGAGCAGCAATGTTCAATGAAGTTCTTTGGCTCATCCGATTTAAAGCCAAACATTTCTTTCACCTGTATATGATAAATAAAATACAGCAAAACATATGAATGATTCAAAAATATGATGAAACTGAAAGATTTACAGGCAACAGCATGGATCGAATTACTATAAATAACCTGCTTCTCTGACGACTCTTCATCAAGAAAAGAACGAAAGCAAAACAACACAAATAGAAAAATAAAAGCAGAACAGCCACGAAAAATTTAGTGTAGAGAAACCTTCTGTAGGTCAGTAACTTATTATCCTTGTGGAGGCACGTGGTTTAACCATTAAATAATGATGTTTGTATATCAATCTTTCGTAACAGTTAATAAAAGTTCAAGTCTACGATGTTCATTACTTCAATGACAAACCCAGGTGGTTTCACCAAGGAGAAGAACACCGAAAAGGCACCAACTACACACCAATACCTTCACACAAAAGCACCAACAGTTCCAGGACTTGCAGAGAACCAGTATCAGGCTGACCAGTAAAGTGAATTATTTTTTAACAAAATTCAATAATTGACATACGAAAAGCACTGGAGCAGAAGATTACCTCAACAAGCGAAACTAGGCTCACTTCACAAGCAACCCACCGGAAAAGAATTGGACCTATCAGTTGGTCCAAATACTGCAAAAAAAAAAAGAGGAAATCATGGTATAAATTTTATTTTGCATGAACCGAACAATTATCCTTTACAATAAACCAAACAAACAAGTTATCTCAAGATCCAATTAACATGCTCACAATACTCAGCAAAGTAACAAAAGAGACATGCTACTCACCTTACTTCGTGAAGCATAATTGAGCCTCTTTGAGACAGAATCAAATAGAGCATAAGTTAATTCTCTGAAATGGAAGTAGCATGAAAATAAGAAGCAAAGAACATGTGCATGCACCAATGTAAATAGTTTATTCGTAGTGAGAAATACCGCTGAGAAGGCTCTATAGCAGCAACAGCGGAAATCATGAATACACACTGCAACATCAGAAATAAAAGGCATAACTCTGTTGTATAAATTAAGTGCAAACTGAATACAGTACATACTATATACATCAAAGATCAGACCAATACGTTTATCACACAACCCAATCCAAGAGAACTCAGTAGGGTACGCAAATCAATATGACACATATACTCTTATTTCAAAATAAAAGCTGGTGAGATCAAAGCATACCTCAACCTCAATATCCTCACTTTGTAAGGACAAATGAGCTAGTGTAATCAGAGCAGTTTCAATAATAGGAACAGGCTGTGGACCAATAGCCAACACTTCTCTAGCTCTAACTGGATTTTCATTTGAAAACTGCACCATCTTGACACCAATACTGGAGCTGTTTTCCATTAAAAAAGAGAGTATTTATTAACAGAAAACTTGGTAGGCTAACTATCACACTTTCTTTTTCCTTTTTAACTACAAGACACACATGTGTGCGCGTGCACACACCACCATGTGTGCACCTCGAAGTGCAGCCGCTTAGCACATGCTTGAACTAACAAAGGTCAAGGATAAATCCAAGAACCTCACAAAATCCTAATAAAGCACACTCACCTATGAACAAGTTTGGATACTAGGATTTGAACCAAGTGGGTGGAGTCATGCATCCACAATTCCACCACCCCACCAAGAGGTGGTTCCAGCTCTCACACTTATTCATAACAAACGTAAATGAAAAGTCCCCTGGATCCAAACAGTCCCTAATTCTAAACTTCTACGGTGAGTAAAATATTTTCCCAGCATTTTAAAAATTGTAAGCATAAATCAACTAGCCCCTCCTGAATAAAGAGAAACATTTTTTAGTTTGATCAAAAATAGAATAAGTAAGTAGCAATTATGATCTGCACTGCAGTAACAGAAAGAACATCGCAAACAACTTATTATTTAACATATCCGACCACTCTTACAGCATCAATAGCAACCCATGTAGAAATATTGGCTCTGTTAACACATCCTCTTGCTTTGCATTGCTTTCATAGTCTAAAAGGTCTAGTATACCTATCTACTACTAGTACTTAAAAGAGTGACAGTACCACAATAAAATTTTGATCTGAAATTGGCCAATACAAAGCATGAGAAATAATATCAGTATCTAATACTTCAGAAATGTAGCTCAGCATTATTTTATCATAATTGTTTCACTTACCAAACATCATGGAACAACTCGCTGTGTCCTTCCCATATTTGGAATAGCACAACAATTTTCCGAGCCAAATACAACCTAACACGGTAATCAGTATCATGCAGCATGCTAAGCAAATGACCAATCATGTCCTGCAATCAGAATAATGGATTACACACACAATGAATCTAGTGGATGTGACCCTCCTAGTACAATGAATCTGGACAACACTCTGTCCAGATTCGTTGTACTAGGAGGGGATGTGACCCCTCCTAGATTGCCTTTTTTTTGGGACGGAGGGAGTATTTGAGATGGTAGTGCTTGATAACAGATAAAGGAAATAACCTGTGCGACATCAGGGAACAGATAAATAAAGTTGGAGATGCAATTAATCAGCCTGATGCGGAAAAACCAATCTGTGAAACTGATCTCTGTAGCCTTGTTTAGTAAGTCTAAGAAGACATCCTGGTTCTGGAATAAGTGCGAAAGAACTAGCAGTTATCACAACTTTAAAATAGAAGATAAAACATGTAAGACATCATTTTAGCATGACTATAGATTATGAACTAGTCCAACCAGGTTCACCAAAAGAAAACATTTGGGAACCAGTTGCCCATAGTAAACCTACTGTACAATGGACTGTACTAAAAGTTTCATTTTTTTATTTATGAATGATTCTAGCCGATTTATGGGTTTTCTAGGGAACTGCAGAGGATGAATTTGTTAATGAGAACATATCTCTAAATACTGAATGACACATAACATTTATCAACGATAGCCAGGACTAAAGGATTTTCAACCACCAAATTTAGTCAATCAAGGCCACCGACTGTCTGAAGAAAGTGGTAGTGTGCTACTACTAGATATTGGAGAAAGGATCCAGTTACACAAAAAAAAAATATTGATAAATATGCTGTTGTTCAAGAAAGGTGTATATGCTCTGAAATGGCGCTTTAATACATCACTACATGATGAAAAATCATAATATATGGAGTATACTGACCAAGTGAACATCAGCAGAAAATGATTTTGTTTAAATTACACCTTAGATATTTCTTCTAACTGTATTTCTTGTTCAGCATGTATTTAAGTGCAAAAGAACTAGCAGTCCATCCAATAACATGATTGACTGTGATTGCCAGGTCTGCAAATAGTACTTAATTTTGAGTAATTTAATTATATCTATAGCTATACTCTATACTCTTCTAAAAGAAGGCAATGGTAGATTGGTAGAGGCAGTGAATTTGCCACCCCACCAACTCTATTTTATATTTTCTTACCAACTACTCCTTATGTACTTCCATATTACTACAAGATAGTATTTCTATATATTGTGGTTATCTAGTCAATCTCTAAAATCTACAGGGACGAGTGCATGCATCCGTAGCAAAGCACATGTATTTAGCTAGTTATTAAAAAAAGACACCAACTGTATAAAACTAGTAAAACTGGTGTTCACTCATGAAAACCTATAACTGAAGGTATGTTGTCACAGAACAAAAGTTATAAAGTTAAGAGAAATATTTAGCGAAGGCTAACAGAAACATGCTAAATTGTATCATATGTCAAATAGCAACCTCATTGGATGCCACTTTACATCCTTGTGACCTTCCATCAGTATTATGCCCAACATCACAATTAGCTGTCAAATTCCTTAGCAAGGCATGGACATGTGCTAAACAATCTGCAGAGCTAAGTAGTGTACAAGCACTTCTTTCCCACATATCAACTACAAGATTGAGCTGCATGACCGAAGCAAAAGGATAAAATCAGATAAATGCCTGAGTGGATAAAACTCACAAGACCACCAGCACAACCACAGATTGAAGTACGATTTAATGGAAGTCAAGACAGTACCACAGAAGATAAACTACTTGATGAGGCAGAGATATTTGTGCAAAGTTCAAGCAAGATAGCCTGGCCAACCTGCAAATGGAAATAATAAACCAAGAATACAATTGAAGCAAAGGACAAGAGGGATATTTTAGTGGATACTACTGCAACTTCGTACCTTGATATTGACCTCTTTGTCAGCTAAGTTGTACAAGACTTCCCAGGTATGAAGCGGCACAACAGAGAAAAAAGTTGAAATAATACAGACTAGTTCTAGCTTGCACTCCAAAGGCCGTGGTGAGATACCCATACTTCCACTTCCACCTGCTGTGACAGGATCTACTTCACCAGAGCCAGTCATATCAAGATCCATATCAACAAAACTACTTCTGTTGTCAGGATGTAGGTCCTCTGACAAACTGACAAAAGGCACTGGCAACATTTTACTAGGATTGTCTCCATCAAAATTGTTCATCAAACTAGAGAACTGAGCAAATAGCTCAGAAATTGCCTCTAAGAGTTCATCAAGTAATTCGGTGACACCAAGCACAGAACTAGTTTTGTTATTAACTCTCCACAGACTAAATAATGGAGAATGCATGAAGCTCTTAAATGAGGATAAGGCTGAGCCAGTTGTGTCAAATACTGATCCTAGATTGGTAAGACCATGAGAAAGTTCAGCATGTTCCTTCATAACCACTGACACAATATGTTTTATGGCATTGGTGACATAATCCAACATAACTTGCAGAAAAGAAGATTTTTCTTCAAAGACCCTGAAAAGCAACATTGGAATAAAGAACTTTGTGGGATCAAATACTCAACAGATGGGAGAGAACAAGGAAAGGAGGGGCATAATTACATTTTCATAAACAAAAACTAGTTCAGAAAGATCTGGAAGTTTGAACTTAATCTCGTTTTAGTGCAAATTATCACAGATTTTGATTATGTGTACTGGCCACTGACTGTAAAAATAGGACGGAACCAAGCACATATGATTATAAAACAAATACCTTGACAACAGCGAACAATGAATTAGATTGCAGACTAGAGAGCAGGCATAAACAAGATTAGGTAAGTCCACTTTCTCAAACTGTTTATTTGAGGACATGAATCCTTTGGTGAACTCTAGAAGCTCCAGGAGCAAGGGTTGCTGAATATGCCGAGGAAGGTGCGCTCGGCTGCATTTCTCAGACATGGCCTGTTAAACAAATAAGTTTAACTTCTGTAGTTACCACCAATTAGAACACCCAAAGGGAAATCATATGAGTAAACACTATATTTTCATAAGTTTGCTTCTGCCCCCAAATCCAAATTTTGTCCAACAGAGCATACCAGATTTCCATGCTACATTACTAAGCTTGTAGTAGCAGATACATCATAAGATTTCCCAACTTCATTTAGCATCTAAGCTCCAGAATTTGAGATCTAAAGGCCCATATGTTGCACGTGGGCACACAGATTTTTTTACTCCGCGTGGTCAAAGTACAAATTAAAACATGCCATATTGAATTATGCATACAAAAAAGACATGATATTGGCTTTCATGAAGTTCCAAATGATCTAACAGGAAGATTCCAATTCTCTTAATGATTAGTGTTCAGAATTGAGATTTGAAGTTAATCATAAGCATCATAATGAATAGTTCTCCACATATTTCAGTCAAAATGGCATTCAGTTGCAAGTGAAGTCAGATGAGTTGAAGACTTCCATTATGAAGTCTCCAAGTTTACAAGATTTGCCACACAATCTGTTGGATAAGAAAATTTATTACTGACTTAAAAAATGAAAAGAAGTGCCACAAGTTTTACACGCATAAATAGATGCACCTCACTGGCCAAGATCAATAAGAAGAGCAACATAGAAAACATTCAGCTACCAGGATTAAAGCACCTTGGTAGGACTTTCCAGATTGATCTCCGATAGAGTTTCCACAGAATAACCTAGTTCTTCCTCGTGAGACCAGCACTTGTCCTTCGGAAACAAATATAGCAAACCAAATTAGAAAAAGTTCACCAGATAGAAACATTCTTCAGGATTCAACTGCAACATCCTAACTGACAGCTAAACAGAAACATACCTTAGATAAGTTTTTACATTCACCAAACAGTTGCGATGTATCTGCTGAGTTAATCACTGGCGAGGAAAAACCAGCACAGAGAGAAAAAATGGTTTCAGGAATCATCAGAACACTTTGTTCATTCAAAAGAGAGAAACCCTGCCAAAAATATCAGCAATTGAACTTACAAATCTCGGAAAAAATAGAGAAAATATTGACAGCCCACTCCAGAATGTAGTTTGGAAATGGATCATAATGTAAATTGAAAAATGGATAATCACTAACCACAAACACAAATAAATGCATGATGAAATGATAATTAAAGGTCCAAATAATGGGACCATCTATCTGGATTTTTTTCCCTTTTGTAGCTCACATTTGTATGTTGAACTATTCAAGAACCATTAAAATTAGTTATGTGATTCAACTAGTGAAAGCATCACACTTCCATTGCAGAATTTAAGTTACAATAAATTACTTAGATGAGCTCTATATATATCACAAATATGAAGGGCATCTGTATATATCTAGGAATAATCAGAAGGAATATAAAGCATACAAATGTCAAATAAGTCCTTGTGATGATTACAGTGATAAATAATTATGTTCTACTGTTGCCTAAATGTGTGATACTTGTATAAAGTTTACTGATCTATCACCATAGGAAACTATGCATCCACATTCAAAACACTAATGCAGCTAAACATAAATTTATAATTTGTCAAGGGAAAAATTGTCTCAGTTAGCAAAAAGTGGTCGATACAAATGTTGATAGTATCTTTGTGAAGGAGAGGATACACAAAATTAAACAAAAGCATAAATGGAATAAACAAAATACAGTTGTCTGGTAAAATATAAATAATTACCTTGGAGTGCACTAACTCAAAAGTTGATCTTAACAGATTCTTTCTAATAAATATGGAATTGGATACATCGCCCTGCATATAATGATATTGAAGAACAAAAGTATGCTTTGAGCATGTTTGATATAAAAAGAAAAAAATCTGAAATACAGAAAGTAGGAGTAACTAGTAATAATAGTCAAAGGCTCAAAGCACAATAGTTGGGAAGGTAAAATGATTAGCTCCAGTATATTGAATAGCTAAGGTGATTAGATTTTGTGCAGATGTTCCTTTTTCTACATCATCATACTAGCCTATCATTCACAAATTTGTAGCAGTTATTTCTAGACAGGCTGTTTACTGAAACATCAAGAAGAAAGGTAGCAACCATAGAAAGCACACGAAACTGTGGGGTGGTTTTGCTCTTTTTCAACTTCGGCCATAGAAAGTACAGGCAAACGTGAGCATTTGCCAACTCTGTAGTTACTTTGTGTGCTTTCATACTTAATCATCCAAAAAGAGTTACATGACAGTTCAGGAAATAACAAGCAGTGTATTTTGTGAGATTGCTGAACAATAAATTAGCAAGAATATGAAACAATTAGAATTATATTTGAGAAGGATAGATCCAAAACAATTAAACAAACATTTTGGCACCAACCAAACTTTAAAAATTGGGAAAGACTACAATGATGAATGCCCTCTTTTTGGCTTGATCTGGTGAATTTACCCTAATTAGTGAGTTAAGAACATGAATCCTTGTCATACTTTGAACAAAAGAGTTGCATAAGAGTTTTGGACAGTCTATTTGTTTCCTAAATGTATGGGATTGATCAACTCCACTACTCCACTGTAACCATAAGCAGTAAACAACTAAAATAGTGCAAGACAGCAAGCATACCTGAAAACCTATCTTTGAAAAGTAACAAGCAATGAAGTACAGAGTAGACCTACAGTAAGAATTGGGGGCCAAAACGAATTGTAAGTATAATCCCAATGTCAAAAAAACAATTATAAGAATTAGCTCACAATGAAATGTAAGTAAGTATAGGCCAAAATGTTCACATCAGTTAAGGATATTGAAGGAAAGGTTAGGCAACAATGGCAAGGACATAACAGAATGACAAAACAGCATAACTATGAGTTTATTACACCATGCAATGTCTTCCACAGTTCAGCTAACAGCAATTGTAAGGACTAAGGAATGTGTGCTGCATTAGTTATTTCTTTTCATAGCGGCAGGATAACAACCTGTGGTTTCTTCATATGCAAGAAAAATATAAATCACAATCAGGTTGGTACTATCCTAGTGCACTAAGAGCCTAAGAGGCTCATGGCTCTTCTATTTGATAGGATTTAACTCTCTTAATTCTTAGTCCAAGGATAACGCCAACTGAGCACACATACATCTACTGATTTATATAGTTCACAGCTAAACCAATAAGATGGGATCAATACATCATAACAGCAGCAACATATTCAGATTTCATGGACCTCTGTTTACTGATGTGCTATGTAAGCAACAGTGCTCACCACTCACTCATTTCTCTTAACGATTTCCCACGAAAGGAAGGATATTATTTTACATTATTCACCAGACCATCAGAAAAGTGGATTTTGGACTTATTTGGCAACAGAAATTTCAACCAATTTTCTGGGACATTCCGCAGATAATTAGGATAGTGGCAACTGATTATTTATGATCCAAGCAGAATGGTGATTAAACAGGAAGCACTGAAACTAGTCATTGTTGGAAGTTCAGGCAACAAAGCTACTGGTATTTGAGAAGAATACACAGTTTATTTTTTTTATTTGTCCATCATCTCTAGAAATCAAGATGCAGTTTAACTGTATGCAATATATTCTAGAATAGGAGATATTTACCGTGAGAAGAAAGACTAGTAGGTAGGGTCACATGACAATAGAAAATAACTGACATGAAAATAGCATGCAAAAACAAGTTAAATGTATTCAGGTACATAGATAGCACTGTGCTGAAGGTAGTTTAGGAGCTTTTTACTGACACATGCATATCTCACTACATGCAGGTACTCCTCCATCCAAAAATATAAGGATTTCTGGAGTTTCTCCACCTACTTCCTCCTCTTAACCTATCACAACATTTCCCCAGTTAATTCCACCTACTTTCTTAATACCCATGGTCAGCCTCAAATATTCTTATATTTTTTAACGGAGGTTGTACTGAAAAAATGAGGCAAGATTACAACTAATAAATGGTCAGTCTCACAGAAAGAGGGCATACGTACGATGATGGTAATTGTTTAAATATTTGTAGGTCCCATGTATCTTCTGACACAAATGATGCATGAACTTGGTCCTTGAAGAAGGAAAGCACAAAATATCAATGATATCTCGAAATAACTATAACTGGCCTGAAATTATGCACAGAATATGTTAGAGCTTCTGTTAAGATAATTGGGAATGAGAAGCTCACCCGCATGATCATTTCACCCAACAACCTCAGAACTGAATCAACCTATAAATGTGCAATAAAATACCAATCAAATTTTTAGATGTTCTAGAAATCATACAGTGATATTTCACAACCACTTGGGTACTCTAAATGCAGGTTATATTGACAATTATCATTCCATTTTTAGTGTTCAGTCCCTGAAGGACTAAAAAATAAATGGAGATATGGTAAAGAGCGCAAACACTGATAACATCAGAGTCATATACACTCTTTAATTGATAATTCAATTTTAGTAGTAGTAAACAGTTGTTTCAGAAGCACAGCACAAAAAACTGATTAGGCACCTTTTTTCAAACAAGAATGTTATGAACTTATAACAATTATAAGTTTTGAAATATCATAAGAGAAGGGTCAATTTCTGATACTCACGACTAGAGCTGTGGTGCTAAACAAAGGAAGTGCGTGAATAAGAGAATTCCAGGTATCTTGCCAATAACCTTCCAAAATTGACATCTGCGGAAAAAAGGTGATTGGTTGTGTCATATGTGGGTATAACTATGAACATCACAAGTCTAGAAAATACTTAGTAGTGATAGGGGGACCACAAGAGATAGTGGTAGATTCGTATAAGCTCTTTAGCCTCAGGCTAATTAACTGAAATGTAAATGGCACAGCAAAACAGAAATAAATTTACCTCGTCATTTGTTAACCAAAATGGTGGTGCATCCCTAGCACTAGACATGAGAAGCGCAGAGAACTCCTTGAGAACCCTGTTAAGGTAAGTGAAAGTTTGACATATTCCACTTGCTAGCTAGAATGTACAGAACAATTTCAGTAATCATCTGGTTACATAAAGCAGCACAGAACAAGACATTTAAGCCACCAACAAAAACAAAAGGTACCATCAAAACAAACCTGATAAGCCAAAGCAGTGAATCTTGAAACCGTAGGGCATTTGCATTGCTCAAAACACTGGGCAACCATAGAAAAAATAGAACATTCAATGAACTATACAATGCATGCTCATGGTAGGTGAATACCTATAATAAAATTTGGTACTAGAAATCCCTAGAGCACATGAATAACTACTAATGACATAATACTATACTAGTGACTAATAATAGCATGTACTCCCTCTGTCTCAAAATATAAGGGTTTCTGAAGTTTTGCACACGGTGATTAAGGAAGTACGTGGAACTAAATGGGGGTTGTTGTGATTGGTTGAGATTAGGAAGTAGGTGTAGAAGTTGCTATATTCTGGGACAAATTTTGAACACTAGAAGTTGCTATATTTGCTATATTTCAGATCAATGATTGATTGTCGATTCCAAAGTTGTGCAGTAAAAGTTATCCACAAGAGTGATTTTGCACTATCTTGCATGCATGTGCATTTCAGACACGCTCCATATAATACATATCTAGAGTGAGTGTCATATACTGAAAAACTCAAAGAACATAATCACAGATCTACTTACCAACAAGCATTAAATAACAGAAAGTAAAGCAGGTTGCTATTTTCTTTAATTTTGCAGTTGCCGATTGCCACAGAAAATATTACATCAACAAAAAATAAGGCAGTTGCATAACCTTTTCAAACCCTTACAGGTCGCCTTGAACCAATTGATCAACAAAGATTTATCCACTCGGTACCCATACTTGTGAATAAGACAACAAATAGAACCACTCCTGCGAAAAGACAAAGATAATAATAGGTATACAAAATCAAACACGTTCAACAGATTTAGTGGTCCTCGTGCTTAACAAGGAATAAGGGATTACATCTCACCACAGGGAACATCTGTGGCAAGTGCTACTATATATCACACCGACGTGCAACAAGTTTATCAGTTGTAACTTGTAAGGGGGCAGTGAGAAATAACACAGCATGAGGCAACTAAGGAACAGAACAGTACATGCTAGCCTTGGGATTCAACAATGGGAGACACCTCCAAATAATCAATTTCTAGCACATGGTTAGGCCATATGCCTACAAGAACATTTAGTTTAAGGGTTTAAGAAGCAACATGTCAAAATTGAAACTTCACAGAGCATGAAAGCTAATTGCTCGAAAAGGTGGTGTCACTGATAAGCACTGTGTTGGTACTAACTTAGAAAAATGCGAGTGATTTTATACATATTTCATAATATCAAAATAGAACTGAATTGGAAGCAGCAAGTAAAAGGCATGGAAAATGCACAGGATGAGGCATGTTTAATAAAAGAGATTCTTGAATTTCGACTGTTTACCTCAGGTTTTAACAAACCCAAGGTTGTCAGGATACGCATATGAGATTTCAGAGATAAACAATGCCTTCTTTTGAAGTGGATAGATGGTGCATACCAAACAAGGGATCCTCTCAGCAGGCTATCCATGATGGCGGTCATAACATGCTCCGTCTTTAACTTTTTCTTGTTATGTGATGTCCTCGGTGTGCATTTGTAGGCCTAAATATTCCGAACAATTTAAGCTGTTTTCGAGCGAAAACAGAACAATGAAATGTTGCGCGTGCAAGTCTGAGCACATGTGTGTGCAACTGTGTATAGATGCAGATCCAATACCAGATATAAGGCAGTAGCAGATAGATCCATCAATTCTTCCTGGAAGCACCTCAAGGAGCCAGCTTTCTCGTCTCGAGGTGCCTCGCACCTATATTTATTGTATTTCATCAGAAAAGAAATCAAAATCATAAAGCATTTTCAAAAGAATAACAGTATCCCTACCATACTAAACCGGCTCCAGTATTAAAATTTTGGTCTAATTCCTTAATGATGACATCAAGAAGTTTTTCCAAAATCTCAGGAATAGCCCTAGCAAGTTCCAGCTGAACCTTTGCATAGGTGATGAACAAGCTCTGGAAAAAGGGTAAAAATTGTTGCTTGAATACAACACAAAAGATGTAATGAAGGTATAATCAAAATTATGTAATAAAGATGCAGTAGTGCAAGTCAGGCTATCAGAACCTTCAAAGCCCTGTCGTGGGTCACAGGCCAAGAATGGAACATAAAATCTTGAACAGCATTATGGATATCAACAGATTTGCATCCCAGGTTTGGCCCATCCTTCAGTAGAAAGGTGTTAACGCATTCTATAAGTTTGCGGGTCAGCTTTCCCTCTTCCCTGATTCCACAAATTAAGTTTATTTCAGTTGCAACTCAGAAAAGCAGCGGGAGACAAAAAATATAAAAATGCAAACCATTCTTCTTAGGAGGAAGTGGGTTCAAGAGGAGCGTCAAAAGGACATGAGCAAACAATACATGCCTAATATTTGAGCATATTGCACAAAACCCACAAAGGACCTCCTCCCTCATGATATCAGGGTAATCACCCGGTGGGTTTTCAAGTAGAACGTGAAGGGTCAGTGTACAACGGAAGGATTCCTCCTTGGAGCTGGCCTGATTACTGATTTTTTCATCAAAACCAGTCGCAACTTTCTTCATGTAGAGCACAACAAAACCTGAAAAAATATAAGAATAATAAAGGAACAAAAGTGTCAATGGGATGAAAAGATAGGAGATCTGGCAAGGGAACTCACTGCTATATGTTCGAGGTTTCATCTGATACCGGTACTCCTTAACAGTTAAAAGCTGCCTAAGAATTATGCTGTACTCTATCAGAAAGCTGGGAGCATCTTTTACAACCTCCCATATATGACTGAAAAGTTTCTTAGCGACGGAAATCAAAAGTAACGACCGCCCTGCAGAGACAATGAACCTCTTGTTTATCGTCATACAGAATGTAAAATATTCCACTTCAAAGCAATTGAAAAGGATGTTTGCATATCTGGTTAAACGCGAAGCATACTGCTGGGTGTCTGGCAAGTGGCAAGTGAGAAGATGCATAAATAAACAAGAGTACATGAAAATCAGGAGCATCCCAACACCAAAGGTATGAGCATTACTAGCAGGCATGCATGAAAGAGAATGCCTGAGCACCTCCTTTCAGCCCTCAGCAGTATTCTTTATTGGAAGTTCCACGCAGAAATTTACGAGTGAACATTAATGCTGTCATGTTGGAGTAGACATTTGACAAAAAGGAACGGATGCGGATAAAATAAACGTTAAATTGGGTTAGGAATAGGTAGGCAAGATGAGTCGGGGTAATTGTACACATAGCATAAGTCATGGAATGTGCAAGTAGCTGCAAAATGTGTATCTGGTGAGCACGATAGAAGATTATGTTGTGTGTTTGTGCATCATTATTGAGTACTCTCTCCGTTTCATATTATAAGTCGTTTGAGTTTTTTCCTAATCAAGTTTGACAAAGCTTATAGAAAAATTTAGCAACATCTAAAATACCAAACTAGTTTCATAAAATCTAACATTGAATATATTTTGATAATATGTTTGTTTTGTGTTGAAAATATTAATATATTTTTCTATAAAGTTGGTCAAATTTGACTAGGAAACTTATAATATGAAACGGAGGGAGTAGGCAGCAGGCTGCCCAAGTTTGTGGGGATCCATGCATGAAACGATGTGAACTCAAGCAGTGTATAAAATGGTGGCAGCGCATTGCGTGAGAAAACTAGTGAGAATGCAGAATCATCAAAACTAGTTGTGAAGATAGATAGATAAACAAAAGATTGATTAAAATCAGCAGCGCAGGGCAGGTTGTCATTTGTACCAAAGTTAGAGAGCAACCTCCGTGACCGTGACATACATAGAAATACAAAGTGGATGAAAAGGAGGGCAGAGAGCAGGAAAATGTTGTTTGGAAAGAAAGGTAACCAACCTGAGAGGCGGAAGTCTTGAGCGCACTGGACGGCGAGGCGGAGCATCCTGGCAGCGGCGCTCTTGGGAGAGCGCTTCTTGCCGGAGATGTCGGCGATGACGCATTTGGTGAGCGCCATGATGAGGAAGGGCCATGTGGCGGCTGCAAAACAAACACGAAAGAATCATGAGATACTACTGTATTGTACATAGGAGTAGCAGTAGTAGATGGGAGAGACAGACAGACAGGCGGGGAGATGGGCGGGCTTGAGGTTGGCGGTGTTGCGGGCGAGGAGGCGGCAGAAGGAGAAGGCGCGGTCGCCTTGCAGCCAGGTGCCCAGCAGCTTCACCCCCTCCTGCGGGCGAGTCCATGGGGCGAATCAACCAATCAGGCAACATCCAAATTCAATCTAGGAAGGGAGGAAGGGAGGGGAGTGTACTCACATCGCGGGTTCTGGCCCGGTCGGAGGAGAGCTTCTCGATGATCTCATCGGCGTCGCGGGAGGTCGCCATGGGGGTGAGGGTGAGGGTTGCGAAGCGGCGGCGCGGCCTGGCCGGCGAGGGGAAAGGAGAAAGGAGGAGGAGAAGAGGTTTTAGTTTTGCCCGGGTTTTCGGCGACTCCGGGTTGGATTTTTTTTTTCTTTTTTGTTTTTTCAATTTCAGATCTGGAGCTGAAAATGAAGTCAGCTCCCACTGGAGTAGGAGTTTAGAGCTAGAAATTGGAGTTTGGAGCCCTATCAAACGGGGCCGTAGTAGGACCATCAAAAATGGTGAACCCAGAGTATATTGCAAATGGGATCAAAGATCAATCCACAAGTGCGGCCTCTAGCCCTCGCTAGCGTCGCCATCCCGAGCCACCAGCAAAGATCAATCCACAAGTGTGGCCTCCAGCCCTCCCTGGCGTCATCGTCCCATGCCGACTGCTTAAGCTCCAACGACACAATATCAATGCGCGCAGAGGACGGTGATGGATGAAATGTAGCCCTATCGTGGATGGCAGGGGTGGAGATGGTGAAATTTTAACACCGCGTGGACAAGGACGTAGATGTGTGACCCCGACAGTGAATTCCCCGCTGCCATCTCTAACCGAGACTGAGATCGAGGCTGATCGCTTTTCTGCACCATAGGTATTTGACCGACTCGTGAGCCCTACCCCTCGATCAGTATAAAATACCGCTACTACCTCTATAGTAGGGATATATACAATTGCCTCTATCCTCTCTATTCTCTTTTCTTGTACAACTTCCAATTTTTTTACTAAACATACAATGACCCTTTTATAATAGAATTTATTGTTGTTTTTGCTTAAATAAATTACATCCAATTACTACCGATATTGCAAATCGAACGGTCACGATTACAAATTCATAGCTTGATTATAAAAGCAATAAAACTACTTAGAATAACAAACTAAAGAAAGAGATAACACCTATTACTAAACTTCTATGTATGATTAACGATAATCAATATAACCATTTTTTTTCTCAGCGGCACATAAGTTATTAAAAATATAACGATAATATATAACCAGTATTTTGGGATAGAGGGGTTACAACAATACAAAATTATATAATACAATTAACATCACTCATTATATAATGAGCAGTGGCATGTATGTTTTATATTACTTTATTTTACAACACCACAGATAAGAAGACTTGTTTTACTCTTTGATTACATCTTACGTTTCCTATTTGCATACGTTTGTATTTTAAATTAACTGTTGAGTAATTTTCAAAAAAAAAGCTACGTACAGTATACTTTAACTAAACTATCACAAAACTATATATTCAAAAATGTGTATCCAAAAAATGATAGATTTAATGCCAAATTTATTATAAAACTACATATTTAAAGTATCATAACACAAAACTACAGATTTTACGATGAAGTTATGAAAGAACTATACATTATAGAGTTTATATCCATAATATATTGAGGTCAGAAACATTGTAGTTTTGTAATAAAACCAATATTATATCTGTAGTTTTCTGATATGATACTTTAAATCTATGCTTTTGTAAAAAAAATTATGTTAAATCTATATATTATGATACACATTATTAAATATATAGTTTTATGATAGTTTGAACAAAATATATATAGTTTTGTGAAATTTATTCTTAACTTTTTTTATACAGCTGTCGATGACACCATAAGCTATGTTAAACATTGTCACTAAATTTTGAATTTATATACCGGTGGTTATGCAAGTGGAGTGGACGCGCAATGGGAGGAGATGGAAGGATGGCAACTCCGCCCGTTACAATAGTATAGAAAATACTATCACTGCAGTAGTGTATATATAGACTATATACAGTAGAGCTCTGAAAAAAATAGATGAAAGATCATATTCCAGTATGGAAGTGTGGGTGTACGTATCATGTTTTGATTGGCAAGCCATGGTGCACGTACGCCACGGCAATGAGGAAGAAGAATCAGATGCCTAAACAACCCACCCATTTTCCTGCTCCTGCTCCTGCACTGTACTTGGATTGCAAATGCGGCAGAGAATCGTTTCGTTTCGCTTCATTTTCCGCAAGCTGAAAGCAATCGAAAGATACGAATAGGATCCTCCTCTCTTCTTTCCGTCTTGTATATATAGATTTCTGTGGGTTATTCCCGCCATTTCAAGCAATCCATATTCCGTCCGTCAGCTACTGCTAGTGGTAGGCTAGATCATCGATGAACGCCATGGATGAGGAGGAGCAAGAGCAGCCTCCCCAGCGCTACTGGTTCCCGTACTGGACCAGCCCTCCACCGCCTCCGCCGCCGCCACCGCCACCGCCCTCCAGCTCCAGGTACAGGCCGCCGTCACCTCCCTCATCGCGCCATCCCCACCCAACCATCCCAGCTGCCCGCGCCGCACCACCGCTCGGGCCAACCAACCGCCGCTTGCATCAGCAGCCGCCGCCACCAGCAAGCAGAGATGGTCGTCACGAGCCTCCTCCCAAGCCCAAGGACGTCGTCGTCATCCCCACCGACACCGTACTGCATCACAAACAACCACCACCCACGCATCATCATCAGCATCAGCAGCACAAGGTGAAAGATCAGGAGGAGAAGAAGGGCGACCTGCGCAAGGACCTCAAGGCGGGGCTCGCCGGCATGCTCAGCGCCGCCTCCCACGGCCAGCAAGGGACAAGCATCATCACGCTGGCCGGCGACAACAAGGGCGCATCCATGAAGATATCCTCCCCCGCCCCAGGCAGCAAGGGCGCCGGCGACGACAAGAGAAGCAGTGCGGATGGCAAGGGGGGCGTGAAGGCGATGATCAACAGCAACGTGCAGTCCATCAACAACTCGCTGCTTCTCCACAGCTCCTGCAGCGGCGGCGACCTCGGGGTGCACCTCAAGCTCAAGCTCTCCTCAAACTCCAAGTCCAAGTCCAAGACCAAGAGCAAGGAGAAGCAGCAGCATAATGTCGTCGCCGATACCAGCAACAAGGAGAAGAAGCCCGATAGCAGCCAGGAGAAGAAGGAGGCTGGTACCAGCGCCGCCAAACCCAACAAGCCATCCGCCGCTGCCAAAGGCAACAAGCCCGCCGGTGCAGCTAACAAGTGATTCTGCAGACATACTAATGTATGTATGTGCTTTGTACTGATCTGATTGCCTTCGCCTCATCATAATGATAATCGAATTAAATTTGCGGTGTATATACATGTATTTTAGTCCCCAAACCTGAGATGATCCAAATGTGAAATGACAAGCTTAGGCAATTGCGACAACGTAACTTACAAGGTAAGTTTGGAATCACTTGTAGTATAACTGCGAAGAACTGAAACTTTAATCAGATTCATCCCCTGAATCCGATGAATCCTGCAACCTGTATTTCCCACCCAATCTCCCGGCCTGCTTCCTTCACACGAGATGGGCCTTACCGTGCGGAGAGAATGATGATGGGCCGTGGCCCACTAGGCCCATCAGAAGGCGCCCCCCTGCTCCTAAAACCCTAATAATCGAGAGCAGAGCAATCCCCCTCGCCTCCAACCCAAACCCAAACAAGAGAGAGAGAGAGAGAGACGGTGGTTGGCCGGTGGCGAGGCGATGAGGGCGATCACCGGCGCCGTCCTCTCCTCCAAGCCCTGCTCGCTCGCCAAGGCCGCCCGCATCCTCGACCTCTTCGCCGACTCCGCCGCCTCCAACCTCCCCTCCTCCGACGCCGCCACCTACCTCCACACCGCCGCCGACGCCACCAAAAACCACCACCGCTTCCGCCTCGACCTACTCAACTACTACCACCGTGGGGATACTGCCTCCGCCTCCGACAAGAAGAAGAGGAAGCGTTCAGAGGACCATCACCAAGCAGCCACTCATGTGAAGCAGGAGCAGGAGGCACAACAAGTGGCCTTCGCTGCTGATCTCGTCGCGGAAGAAGAAACGGACAAGGAGACGAGCAAGAAGAACAGGAAGAAGAAGAAGCATGAGAGTCAGCAAGAGAATGCAAGGGATGTGAAACAAAACGGTGGTGCTCCCGAGCAAAGATTTGCCAGCCCGGAGAAGAAAAGGAACAAAAAGAATCATCCGGAAGAGGAAGAGGTGAAGACAGTTGTGAAAGGGATAATAGTTAGTGCTGGTGATTCTGTAGCCACTGAGAAAAAGAGAAAAAAGAAGAGGGAGAGAGCTGATGATACCGACAACGACAAAGAGCAAGTAGAGCATACAAGGAAGAAGCCGCGGAATCGGTCCTGATTTTAGGTTTAGTGCAGCCCATTCTGATTGAAGCTGTTCCAGAATTTTTGAAGGTGGTGTGGTGAGGTTGTTCTAGCTGCTGTATTCTATCTTCATTTTGTCACTGGGGTTGGGTTGTGGACTTCATGGTTTTATCTTGTAATATCAATCCATATGCCCTGCTTTTGTAACAGTGAAATTTACATTGTTGTTGTCCCTTGACTCCCTGTTACTCTGGTGCCGTCGGTTGCTAATTTGCTGTTTATATCAGTGCTTCAGAGAATTTCTTACAAAACAGTGCATTCAATTTTAGAATATTCAATACCATTCAATTCTATAATGTTTGGTTGGCCTTTCATTTCTAACGACTGAATCCATTTGAAACAACAACACTTCTGCAATGTATTGTTAAGAGATGTAATGCTTAAAACTTGCACGTATGAATTGATGTGGTTATTTCAGCTTTATCGTCTTGTACTTACTTGCCTGTATCTTGTAAAACATAAACTTGATCTCGAGTCAACCATGTCTATCTGCCCTCTTGTAGTATGAGAAATTGTGTACCATGTATCACAGGTGTTGAGAATTTCTGTAGATTCTAGTTTGGAGCATGAGCTAACTCTGAACAATTGCAGTCTATACGTGTTGATGATCATGGGTGCAGCTCATGTGTTCTTCTCCTCTAGGATTAACTAATATGTGCTCATTGTCCATGTATTTATTTATATGCCATTTACACTAGTGACTTAATGAACCTTTAATCTCTGTCTATCCCTCGCAATAGAGCTTGCTTATTCTGTTAGAAACAATGTATGTCATGGCTTCTGTTTTCTGCTAATGTACTTTTGGCTTTAGTAAAATCTGCATGTATTCATTCATGATAATTTGATACTATATGCAATAACTTCATCTTGCCATTCCATATCACTATGCCATACTAGAAGATTTTTGGCTTTCTCTTGGCTCTCATTCACCTCTTTTGTGGAGTCTATTGTGGTGGTATTTGTATGAATTGCTTGATTGAGTAAAAATGACACTTTTGATGATTTTCTTATTCAGCACAGGTACACTGTGATTGGTTTAAGAGGGAATAACAATAACAATGGACATAAATCGTGGAATATCAATGGACAGAAATTGCAGCAGGGAGTCCTTCAAATACATGGCTCTTACTACGGACTAGGTCTGTTTTACGCCAGGCTTTTGTTTTCAGATGTTACAATTTGCAGCCACGGAAGTCGAGGAGAAAGTCACTTACTACAGACTAGGTCTGTTTTACGCCAGGCTGTTGTTTTCAGATGTTACAATTTGCAGCCACGGAAGTCGAGGAGAAAGTCACTTATGAATTAATTCTTTTGGTGTTACTGACTTGTATTTTGCTGAACAGATGATCAGATATGAAAATGGTTAGGCACAAAGATCCTATACTCCTGTGTCCATACCTAAGCTCGGTCCTACCCTGACCACCATCAGGTACAACCACGACAGCTGCCAAGTTGCTTGATTCATGCACCCATATAAAGATAGGATGAAATGGAGTAGATCAGCCCTTCAAAAGGTAAAACTGCACAACCCCCTCCTTCATTCCAAAGGATTTATCGATTGAATGGATCGAAGGTGGCTCTATCTATGTCATCTTATAAAATAAAGACTGGAGACCCTCTTCTTCCTCCTCTTTATCTGAATCTGGGAGAGAGCCCCAGCCCCCTTCTTTTGTGGCTTATCTGCAACTGAGAAAACTACATGGGTTGCTTGGTTGCATGGTTATGTAAGATAGGTATGTTGCGCTAATTAGGAAATTCACTATCTGTTAGCTGACTATTGCCCAAGCTTGATCCAATGTGTCATACGAAATTGGGGCACATATTTTTTTCACTGACGAAGTAGCAGTATCGAATACAAATTACCACTAGTACTGGTTGTTTCACCTGATGTTATAGAAACAACATTCTAGAGATAGCAGTAGTGTGCTTTCTATTGAAACGAGTTACTATGTGTGTGTGCTAATAAAATCTCAAATCTTTATTAATGTGTTCTTCCATCTTCATTGAGTCGTCTGCAGGTAATATGTCATGGATCCTTGTGCTCGGTTCAGTTCCGTTCAGCTGTTCAGACCTTGATCTGTACTGCCTATCTACCTTGTCTGAATGAATGCCAAGGGACTATCTTGTGGATTTTTTTTTATTGGCACACACACTCACTGACTCAGAGATCAATTAGAAGTCGAGAAATATTGGTCTCATGCAAGCAAAGGCGAAACAATAATCAAGTTAAACTTCGATTCGAGGCTTGCCAGTTAGACCATCGGTTAGACAGGCGTACCTCTGTTTGGATCGGTCAGCATAGCTCAGTAAACATCGGTACATATGACTGGCCTTTGCGTGAATGCTTTGATCATCTTTCTAATTAGGACCAAATTTAATGGTCGTCAACACTTGGTTGCCAAATTTGGCCAATCTGTTGGTAGATATGGGCGGTGTAATGGCATAGCCATCATCTATACATAGAGGTTTTTGAGAAAGTTTGCTACATTTTAAAACAAAGAATGAAATAGCAAGGCTCTTAGGTGCGGTGTGACAGTCCACCTGTAGAGTGCAGTGATGGAGATTTGTGATATTTCGGTGTTGGTAAGCTGAATATAATGGCCGCTCGCTGATGGGTGCGTCATGCACCCTAATTTGGTTGGTCCACCATACCGGAAACAGCTTAGAAAAGACGGTACCTAATCAGTTAAAATAAATTTATGTCACCTTAAAAATGAAATGATGAAAGAGTTCATTGGGTAAAGTTGGAATCCAGGCCAGTGATGAAGATGTGTGAGCGGAAAATGGTGCTCTGAATCCTGACTGGTGGATACTATTTGGTTGGTGGATCCAAAACTGGGCTGGAAACCTAGGCGAAGTTCGTTGTCCGCTCGCGTCCAGGTGCACTGAACCAAGTGCTCGCACCGCAGGAGGCATACAATCGCGTCCAGGTGCACTGAACCAAGTGTAATGCCGTCAAGATCATGATTGGGAGGACGTCGATTAATAAATAAATTAACGGTACGAATTACTAGTACACGGGCGTGGTGGTTGGCCCAGACGTTCTAGAAACAACATTCTGATTGGGACAAAAATGAAGAGAAATTTGAATAAGAAATACTTAATTTCCCCGTCTTGGAAAAAAGTATAAAAGGGGCCGGAATCGATGAAGGCGATGCAAGCTGTGACACACTAACACTCTACTTGTACTAGGTAGATCGCTAGAACAATGGCGTCCGGTGGCGAGGAGAAGAAGAGCAGGATCCTGGTGGTGGGCGGCACGGGGTACATCGGCCGGCACGTCGTCTTGGCCAGCGCGCGGCTGGGTCATCCCACCACCGCCCTCGTCAGGGACCTCTCCCCCTCCGACCCCGCCAAGTCGCAGCTTCTCCAGAGCTTCCGCGACGCCGGCGTCACCCTCCTCCACGGCGACCTCTACGACCACGCCAGCCTGCTCAGCGCCGTCCGCGACGCCGACGTCGTCATCTCCACGCTGGGCGCGCTGCAGATCGCCGACCAGACCAAGCTCATCGCCGCCATCAAGGAGGGCGGCGGTGGCAACGTGCGGAGGTTCCTGCCGTCGGAGTTCGGGCTGGACCCGGACCACACGGGCGCGGTGGAGCCGGCCAGGTCCATCTTCACCGGGAAGGCCGCCGTGCGGCGCGCCGTGGAGGCGGCGGGAGTGCCGTACACGTACGTGGTGTCCAACTACTTCGCCGGCTACGCGCTGCCGACGATCGGGCAGAACCTGCCGCCGGCGCGGCCGGTGGATAGCGTGGTGATCCTCGGGGACGGAGCCACCAAGGTGGTGTTCGTGGAGGAGGGGGACATCGGGACGTACACGGTGCTGGCGGCGGTGGATCCGCGGGCGGAGAACAAGACGGTGAACATACGGCCGGCGAAGAACGCGGTGTCGCACGAGGAGCTGGTGGCGCTGTGGGAGAAGAAGACGGGGAAGAAGCTGGAGAGGGTGTACGTGCCCGAGGACGCCGTGCTCAAGCAAATCCAGGGTAACGTACTATGTTCCATATGTACTCTCTCCATCCTAAATTCTAATACAACGAATCGTATCCAATATTAAGTTAGTTTTTTATCCGTCCATGGCTAATTGCATGGTTTGGTTGCAGAGTCGGAGATCCCGTTGAACATCGTGCTGTCGATCGCGCACGCAGGGTACATAAGGGGGGAGACGACGACGCCGTTGGATCCAGCCACCGCCGTTGAGGCCACCCAGCTCTTCCCGGACGTCCAGTACACCACCGTCGATGACTACCTCAACAGGCTCCTCTGAAATACATCGATACATCCATCATCTTTTATGTGCCAATAAAATAATTAAGTCTCTTCCTTAGTAATGTACATGTTCCTGCAAATTTCACACCGTCGGTGAGAGTGAGTGTCTTGGTTTAATCTGTCATGGATCACTGTGCTCAGTTCAGCTCTTCTTCAGGGCTTGATTTGCATGTTAATGAATTTATTTGCTTAAACATTATTAGTATGATATGGAGAAACAACCAGGGATCTTCCGGGTAGCTTCACAAGGTGGTGGGCTAGATGATCTAAGTTCAAAGCCTCACCCATTCTAATTATTTGATATTAAGTCATTCCCTAATATCCGTGTTTTTTTATTAGTATGGTATGATCTTGGTTATACATGATCACCTAAATAATTTTACGACGAATTGAGATAGTGAAGAAGCCATGTGCCGCTGGTCAATCACGTTGTTTGTTGTACATGTAAGCGTTGATCTACCACGCCGCTTTGTTTGTTGTACACATGTAGGCGTCGATCTACGTGTGCCCCTGGGTGTGTGCCCCTGGGTCAGTGAGTGTTGACGTGAAATTTCGTCCTGAAACACGAAGGTCTAGGATATCTGTTTAAGTGCAGGTCCTAAATTTTAATGAAGTGCGGACGTGCCAGTCAGTTTGATACTGCAAGATAGATAATTTAATGGTCAAAGATCCGACCAGCTAATATGCCATCGTAGCGATACTAGTCGATGTCGACGACTGGCAACTAACAATTTCCGTAAGCCATTTCTAGAACTCTGAGGCCGATGACGATTTCGGAGCTTACCAAATTTTAACGTTAACAGTGAGGCAGCAAATGTTAGTGATGGTTGTCACCAGCAACCTTGACATGCCAGTGAATGGGATAATTGGTGTAGAGTTCAACCTTCGGTCTCTCTTTAAAACTCACGATTATAATTTGTTGACTTTTAAGGGTTTTGAGGAAAAGAACCATGTAGAGGGAGTTTTCTCCCTCTTATAGCGCTACGGGAGCCAATGCGAGTCAATGGGATTAGTTGCACAATCCGATCGCCGTGTAATTCAGAGGGGACGTGCGCGCGAGTCTTATTATCTTGGTGCCATCATAGGAACGCGTGTGGCTCGGGGTAGACCGAACCCACTACGTTTTCTCTGGCCTGTTAGCCAGAGATCAAAACCTAACATTGTACTACCTATTTACCATGTCTCAACCAATACTAAATCATGCGTTATATCTACCAGACCTGCTTATGCTAAACCCTATTGCTATGGTACGTACCAAAATTTAAAATCTAATTTTAGAGTTTATTTTGATACCATTTATTGTAGTTTATTTTTCAGTATTGACTTTTAAGTCGTTCAGAATACTTGCATAAATGTTGTACCTATGAATTTATGTTTTTGGTTGATAAGCGTGATCATTTATAATAAGCTGTAGGTAAAACGATGGCAATTGTTATATCAGTCCTTCCTAATCAGCGAAAATGATGCACAAAATTAAAGAAACATTAGATCGGGACTTCCAAAAAAAACTGAAAATTATGCAGTAAACTAAAGATACTTCAGTGGTTTGCAAGAAAACCATTAGATCGGGGCGGCGACCGTGCAAACCTCCACCAAAAAGTAGGTCACTGCTATGTGACGATGGTCGATGGAAGGAAGTGGCAAGAGTCGAGAGTCAAGACTACGACTAATCGAGCGATATACAAAGACTAAGAAAACAAAATTGCCTCCTCATCGTCGATTTAGGAAGTATTAATGTAGGCTCAGATTGTTTTATACTTTCAGTAAAGAAGCTCTGGCCTAATGTACATCAACTTGAAGTGAAATTACGAAAGAATGCATGAGGTTAGTTGGTCTCTGTCTGTTAGGTGTGCGCTCATGAGTGGGTTGCGTGTTCATATGTGTCATCCATGTAATCAAATTTTTTCTTGTGAGAAATAGCATGTACAATGATGTATTGGATGTTGTATAATTAAGAAGTATTATGCTTTGGTTATATTTTTTTCTTTTTTTTTAAAAAAAATAGGGCTTCATTTTATATTTGGTACGGGGCATCAAATTTCTAGAAATGCGGTGTCTTAGCTGAGAATGAGATGCAGTGGAATGGTTCACTTCTACGGAAGCAGCTAGTGATGAAGATGTATGATCCTTGGGTGGTATCTGGTAAGCGGAAAATTGGTTTTTTGAAAGAACCCAGCAAGCTGGTTTTATATTATAGAAGAAGTGAGAGAAACTGTACAGAACAGAAGGCAGGGGAGACGTTCTCGGAGGAATTCTTCCTGCCTACACTCCCTAAAAAAACAAAAGCCTAATCTCCATAATACACTTCACTCCCTTGGCACCTACCATTTCCCACAAATGAAGCTCATCTATGATCTTGCTAGCCACTGGCCGACCATCGCTAGAGGATTGTGTCCTTAGCCCCTTCATGGATCACCTCTCCTGCGTTGTGGAGCACTTCCCATACGCATATATATTCCTGAAGGAGTTGTATTGTCACCCCTCCGCGGATGTCTTCGATCCAAGCATCATTGGTTATTGCCTCAAGAACCGACCTGTTTTTCCTTTTGGAGTGCTTGAAGAGGTTTGGGGCTAAGTATTTCAGCGGCTGGTCTCCTATCCAGTTGGATTCCCAAAATTTCGCCTTTCGTCCATCTCCGACCGATACTTTGGTGGCAGCAGCAAACAGAGCACGATCAGTGTCATCACAGGGCGGCGGGGTTCCTATCCATGGTTTTTTCGGGCTTGTCCACTCATACCAGAGCCAACGTAGCCTCAGCGATCGTGAGAACTTCTCCAAACAAGGTATGCCCAATCCACCATGTATTGTCAGAGAACATACTTGCTGCCAATTCACTTTACATTTCCTGCCCAAGCTTTCTTAGTCTCCGGCCCAAAGAAATTTTCGTCGCGCTTTGTCAACATCATCTAGGAATCCTTTTGGTGGTTTAAGAACGGTCAGCAAGTAGGTTGGAATGGCACTGAGAACTGATTGCACAAGAACCTTCCACCTGCTTTGATAAACTAGCTTGTTTTTCCAGCCCCCCATCCTTACTCTGATTTTGTCCATTACCAGCTGCAAATGGACCAGCTTTAACTTCCCCGTAGTAAGAGGCAGTCCAAGGTAGATTTGGGGGAAAGCACCAAGCGGAAAATTGGTGGCAGCTGGTTCTTTAATTCTTGTCTACAAGAACATACAGGAGGCAATTAGTCGTCTCCAGGTAAATCGAATCCCGTACAAAGTTACAGCAATTAATGATTTATTGTACGTGAAAGAGAATCACCAAGAGTAGCTAGGAAGCACTGAAACAGTAGTGTGCATGATACTATATAGCTAGCTAGTGACGTGCGAACTGAAACGAGGGAGGCGAGGCTTAATTGGTGGTGATAGCGTTACGTTACTAACCAAATTAAAAGGCCATCAACGCGCGCAATGGTCTCTCACACACGCTCGATTGCATATTTGCATTAGCTCTAGTTGTCTTGCTACCGATCGATCGAATTCATCAATGGCATCCGGTGGCGACCAGACGACGACGAAGAGCAGGATCCTGGTGGTCGGCGGCACGGGGTACATCGGCCGGCATGTCGTTGCCGCGAGCGCGCGGCTGGGTCATCCCACCACCGCCCTCGTCAGGGACCTCGCCCCCTCCGACCCCGCCAAGGCGCAGCTGCTCCACACCTTCCGCGACGCCGGCGTCACCCTCCTCCACGGCGACCTCCACGACCACGCCAGCCTGCTGCGCGCCGTCCGCGACGCCGACGTCGTCATCTCCGCGGTGCGCGCGACCCAGGTCCCCGACCAGACCAGGCTCATCGACGCCATCAAGGAGGCCGGCGGCGGCCGCGTCCGGAGGTTCATCCCCTCCGAGTTCGGCATGGACCCGGGGCGCGGCGCCAGCGCGGCGGTGGAGCCGGTCAGGTCCATGTACGGCAGCAAGGTGGGCATCCGGCGCGCCGTGGAGGCGGCGGGCATCCCGCACACGTACGTGGCGTGCAACTACTTCGCCGGATTCGCGCTGCCGTCGATCGGGCAGTTCATGCCAAAGGCGGCACCCGTGGATAGCGTGGTGATCCTCGGGGAGGGGCACACCAAGGTGGTGTTCGTGGAGGAGGGGGACATCGGCACGTACACGGTGCTGGCGGCGGTGGATCCCCGGGCGGAGAACAAGACGCTGCACATACGGCCGCCGGCGAACACCATGTCGCACGACGAGCTGGTGAGCATGTGGGAGAAGAAGACGGGGAAGAAGCTGGAGAGAGTGTACGTGCCCGAGGACGCCGTGCTCACCAAAATCAAAGGTACGTAACATGTATGGAGTACTCCACTGCAATAAACCATACGCAATTATATATATATTGCTAATTAATTGCAATTGCAGAGTTAGAGTACCCGAAGAACGTTTTGGTGTCGATCGCGCACGCGGCCTACTGTAGAGGGGAGATGAGCTCGCCGCTGGATGATCCGCAGGACGTGGAGGCCACTCAGCTCTACCCGGAAATCCAATATACAACCGTTGACGAATATCTCAACACCCTCCTCTAATTCATTTCGTCATGCATCATATCACCCTAAATATGCATGCGCCAATAAAAACAAGTCTTGATTTTATTTTGTTCATTGCTCCATCTTCAGTCAGTGTCCACTGGTTTGTCTGTCATGCATGGATCATTTTTACTCTTCAATTCAGTTCTGCATTTCAGTTGAGCTGTTCAGCTGAGTGCCTTGATTTGTACCACCTATCTGCCTTGTTACAAATTTATGTCAAAGTCTTCTTGCTCTGGTACAGTTTTACGTTTTCTTCTGCAATACTAGTACGCACAGGAAGCTAAGCTGACACCTTCCAACTCTTCAAGAAAACGAAAGCTGCAACAAGTGTAGCACGATTCACGACCCCGAGCATGAGCTAGGTTAGGCAAAACAAACAAATCAGCAGGGTCGGATGACTTTACTTACTGGTCATTTTCATAATCAACCGGGCCACAATCAGAGAAAAAACACACGCAGCGAGCCAGCGAAAAAATGTTCACTAGCTTCAGATGACTCAGCTTTTCATCCACGCAAGCAGACAGTGCCCTGTTGCTCCAACAAAGCAGCTCACCGCCAAGTGCAATTGGGTCTACAATTTGCCGTACCACTTGTAAAGAGTAGCTGAACCGTTTTGTCATATTTTTAACGAGTCACACTATATACCCATCCAAGAAAGCATTCTACCACAATATCAATTTAAACCGTGAACCAGAGTCTGAAATACAAGTGAATATCCTTCTAGCTCTAGATATGAATGAAATATTACAATTGGTATGTAGCACATCAAATATCATCGACTGTATCTTCTTGCCCCTTCCATTTTTCCTACCAGAGTGGGTAGGCTGCCAATCAGTCTTTCGAAGAACTGCTGCCTGCGCTCTTCTTCCCGCCATATTTCTAGCAGAACAATTTGGGATAAATGGTGAGGAACAAAACAATTGCTGAAACCACAGGTATTTATTTTACACCAGTACATGATGACGCATACTGTAAAAGCATTTGTTCAAGATCACAAATAAAAAGGCACAATTGATGGTATTTAATAATGGCCCCAAGCATGGATATATAATGGCACTTCTTTCAAGTTTCAGTATGTGGTAAAACATGTAATTCTCATGGTACCAAGTACCAACACTCATCAGATAACATAAACCATGTATTGAGCAGTAAACTAACCTGCTTCCCAACGCTGAAGGGAACATATTTGTATTTTATCATGTGCACAATCTGGCGCTTCATCGTGAGGACAAAAAGAACAACCCAGTAGCAGAGAAGTATCGGCCAGAAGACAGGAACATCAAATACAGAGAAGAAAGTCATCACAAAAGCTATAAGAAAAGCTTTTGTGATTGCATACCTGAAAGCCAAGCAAATGAATGTTAATAATATGGTGTGGATACTGAGGTTGAAAACACAAAACCAATGTTCAGATTTGATGAAACAAAGGAATTAGCTCAGAAAATAGTGAAATACGTATTAGCGACTGCATGCAAAGATAAGAGGTATGCTTTCCTGCATACAAAGTCACAGTATGGAATGCTAAGGCTATAGTTAAACATGAGTTGTATGCTGCACTGAATTTAAGACAGATCAATGAATGCCATGGACATGTCAGGCTGAAACATTTATTTTCACGAGAGTATGCAGTACGCAGTTCTGCATCTAAATTCACTCATGATGAAACATAGCACATGTCTGAACCATAGGTTATATAATTGCATACAGGCATGTATAAATATTATTGTGTCATTAACCAGTACCATTTATTAAATTCCAAAGGGAGAGATATGGGCAAATTGAGAAGAGATCCCAAGACTTTGTTGAGGAGGTCATTACGGGACCCCAAGACCAATTTGTATGGTTGGCAGTGGGCACATGTCCAGTGGAATACAAATTCATATAAATCTGTTAGGTACTGTTAGGACTTATCCTTAGCTGGTTAACATGCCACTGACTAAAGGCATAGAATGCATTAGGAGGTAAGCAAAGGATGATATATATGACCACAATTTCCTTCTTCTATATAGCATCAATATTTTCAGTGTGCGCACATTTGCTGCACTAACAAACTTAAAGATGTGTATTACCATAGGACACCAATTACAATTCACGCGGTCCGGTAGTGTGGCACTACAATTGAAGTTTGTGCACAGATAAGTGTTATGGCACATAGCACACACAATAATATAACAAGATACTCCATAAGATAGGGAGGACGAATTGAGCAGACAGGATCAAAGGGTGAGGAGGGCTGAGGGTAGTTGGATTAGAGGTGACATGGACAGTATAGCTAACACATCATGGCAGCATGAGATGGAATTAAATGGGGTTGATGATAGGGGTAGTAGTAGCAGACCCAAGCATTGATTGATGATGTAATAATAATAATAATAATATAAAGAAGAATAGTGGAAGCATGTGAAATTTGAGGCCACATGGTTTGGTTTGGCCTATGTCAACCGCGATGAATAAAACATAATAACAATAGTAATAATAGAATGAAGAGGTAGATTTGCGAATTAGAAGGAGACGAAAAAAAAAAGGTCAGGAGTGATCTGAATCTGGATCTGGGGATGGGGGTAACGAACCAGAACTTGAACTCGGGGAGGCGCCTGATGAAGGGCTTGAACTCGTCGGAGCCGCGGGTGGGGAGGGCGGGGCCGTCGGAGGAGGCAGCGGCGTGGGCCTCGGGGTCGACCATGGGGGAGAGGAAGCCGATGAGGAGGTTGAGGAGGTAGATCCCGAGGCCGTAGGTGACGATGTAGAAGCCCTGGACGAGGTAGACGCGGAGGGCGTAGATGGCGGCGACGGCGAGGGTGCCGATCCAGCGCCCCGTGGCGTGCGGGGTGGAGCGGTCCAGGTAGTACTGGAACGCCCGCGAGGCATCGGTCCGCCACTTGGCCGCCGCCGCCGCGGCGCCCGCCGTGCCGGAGTCGGCCGCGCCGTCCATGGAAAATCCTGGACGGAAGCCGGAAGGGGAGGCGACGACCTCGCGGGCGGCGAATCCTTCCCTTCCCTTGCTGCTGCTGATGCCGAGGACGAGGACGATGCCGATGCCGATCAGATGCGATGCGGGTCGGTGTTCCCTTCCCTCTCTCTCTAATCTCCTCCTACTACTTGTGTCTTTGGACAACACTACTAGCGAAGCCTACTACTGCTGGACTTATTATTGGGCCTCGCTCTTCTTTTGGGCTTCTATACATTATAGAGAGAGAGGTTGGTTTGGGCTGCCTCATATTTATCATGCATGGGCCGTTGCAGTTACACATATCCCTTTTTCTCTAACTGTTAAGGGTTGGATCAGAAATGGAGTTGTCTACACCCAGCTTCGCGTCTATAATTCATTTTCTTGAGAACACTCATCTTTTGGTAGAGTTGAAACGGTGCTACAGAAGAGATAGAGCTAGGGTAGTATACATGGAACTCACCCTAATAGTGAGATTCATAATACTTCTCTTTTTTTTTTACTATCAATACGTTTGTCGATAAATTTCTTTAAAAAAAAATCAAATGTAAATATAATAAAATTGTAGTATAATTACACTATACCTATACCTATACCTTGTATGTAGCTTTCAAAAATCCTGACGTAACACGCTATTTTTGTGAAGCGGAGGTTGGGGAACCAAATCTACTCACCTGTGCATGCATGCACTGTGACCTTTTTCTTCCCGCTTGCATGAATATTGAAGTATATCTAACGATTGAATATTATATAAATGTTACGTACAAGTTATATCGTAATTATATGTTATATCGTAATTATATATAAGTTACAATATAATTATACTATTACTATTACTGTATCGTATTTATATTCGATACATTTTGGGGAGAAAATTTATAAAAAAAATTAGCAAAACCCGCCCTTTTTTGAAAGGTTGATTTAGAATACGTGTTTACAAATTTATTGATGCTAAAAGGAGCACTACATTGTTTAAATGAAGTAGCAGTGGAGCGCTTCTTCCATAAAAAGAAAACTTATCTACTACTATTTTAGATTTGTTTTTTTAGAGTAGTATAGGGTTAGAAGTGTTAGTATTACAGTATGAAATATGAAATAGATAATGATACTATCTCCATCATCGTTTTGACTTTTGAGATTTTGTTATAATATTTGATTATTTATTTTATTCAAAAGATTATAAAATTATCATTTAGGACGGAGGGAGCAGTCGACATACAGCACAGGACACGTAGCAGCAGATTGCAGGCAGGCGGGCGGCGGGCGGTCTCCATGATTGGATGCTGAGCGATGCGCTGCCACTCCCCTGAGCCCTCTTGCTTGTCTTGGCTCTTTGTTGTTTCTGCAGGCTGCGTCCGAATCCATCCAATTATTTTTAGGTAAAAATCTGAATCCATCCATTAATACACTATACTCTACTGCACACGTGTTAATACCTGTACTCTCTCACTCCCTTTCTTCTTTTGTTTTTTTCTGTAATGGCAGTGTTTTTCTCTTGTGTCTTCTAGTTTTGAATTCTAAGATAACAAATTTTGACATGACGTTGTTCAGATTTATTATTCTACATGATATTAAATTCTCATCTAGATTACGAATGGAGTACTCCCTCCGTCCCATAATATAAGGGATTTTGAGTTTTTGCTTGCTACGTTTGACTACTCGTCTTATTCAAAATTTTTTAAAATTATTAATTATTTTATTTGTGACTTGCTTTATTATCTACGGTACTTTAAGCACAACTTTTCGTTTTTTATATTTGCAAAAAAAATTGAATAAGACGAGTGGTCAAACGTTATCAGCAAAAACTGAAAATCCCTTATATTGTGGAACGGAGGGAGTACTACATTACAATGCTTGCATGTCAGAATCAATATAATCGAGCATATACCAACATCTGTCTTTGATGCATCTGTCATATATTTTAATTTTTAACAACACGCAAAAGGTTGTCTCTGTTATTTCTCTCTACCTCTCTAGAGGATTAAAATGTACTACTAGCTATATCTGGATATGAGAGCTCACTCAATTTATACAGAGTACACATTTATATATACACTTTTTGACAATTACACACACACACGCTTATATGCTTGTTTCATGTAGCTACTCCATCCGTACCACCAAAAACCATTATAGTATTAAATGAGACGTTCCGTATAGAAATGGACCTAGACATAATTACATAGTACTCCCTTAATACTCATAAACGAAATCGTTTAAGATAATATTTAAGTCAAACCTTGGGAATATAAATCATGAATAACTCTCAAGTTGTTGAGTTTGAAAATATAAAAATTATATGAATAGATTTGTCTTGAAAAATACTTTCATAAAAGTATAAATATATCACTTTTTAATAAATATTTTTATAGAAATAATAAGTCAAAATTGTGTTTTGGAGACCGTGTCGCTGTCAAAAACGACTTCATTTATGAGTACGAAGGGAGTAGTTAGCTAGGCTAGGCTAGGCTAGGCCTAGTGGTTGCAGTGACATGAGTAGCTCCCCAAGGTCCTGAATTCAAATCTCTATAGGAGCGAATTTCAGATTGGGTTACTTGAGGGTTAAGTTCCCTATTTGATAGGTTAGGACTAAGTTCCCTATTTGATAGGCTAAGTTCCTAAATTATAATGGCGGTATATATCCGGTTGGATATAGAGGCCGGATAAATTAAAAAATAAATAAATAAAAAGGCTAGGCTAGGCCGGTAGGTTGTCAATTATCTGCAAACTGAATCAGCCATGTGGTTGTCCGATCATGTATGGTTTCGTACGTATGTGGTGGTGTCGCACACCGATTGGAACTGGATGTGTTGTTGGATTGGCCCGCTTGGATCCTCCTTAGATTCTTTCTTCCTCTTTCTCACTGTTCCTCCTCCTCTGTCTTTCTCTGCACTCGTTACTATCTCTTCATGCTTTCTTTCTTTCTTTCTTTGGGCATTGACACTGTACAGAAACATTATCAGTATTGATTTTGCTTGTCAATGCAACACATTTATATGTACGACCATCCCTAAGTAAGGCCATGCAAACCTTACTCTATGGAGGTTCTTTCCATCCATGTAATTGTCATACGGAGGGTGTGTCTAGTTCATACTAAAATTGAAAGTTTGATTGAAATTGAAACGATGCGATGGAAAAGTTGAAAGTTTAAATAAAAAGTTTGCAACTAAACTCGGCCGGAGTATATCCTAGCCAACATCAGTAAAAGAACAGCTCAAGGAAGCAACTACCGATGTGGCTGGTCACCTATAATCGAACTACTAGTAACTTAAACCGAAGGTACCCAGAAATTCACATCCCATACTAGTTGCAGATGGTCCTCTAATCTATAGTTGCGGATGGTCAAAGTATGCCTGATGCAGGCCATATGGCCAATGGCCAACCAACAGATCACATGTCCTCTTCTGCTCTGCAGTTTCACTGTCACTCACTGTAGAATGGACAATGTTGCTACTTGCACTGAATTTTCAGCAGATAATCATCATCATGCACAAAGTTCACTAGTGCCTAGTATCTTTTATATAAAGATCCGGCTTTTCTTGCCATTTCCGCCGCCTGCTTTCTTTGCACTTTCCTAGCAAAAATGTCCTCAGTTCGGCTGCAGACAAAAAGCCCTTTCTTTCTTTCGTCAGACTCATTATCTGCCACTAATCTAAAGAAAAACAGCAATAATTTCAATCCACCACTGCCGCTGAAATTCAGTAAACAAAACACATGACTATCGAACTAGCAATTTTTAGGCATGCATCGTGCCATCATTCAGACGCCAAACAATGCTCCATTCGTGAGAGAGAGAGAAGAGCAGCCTTGACCATTTGAATGAAAGGGGAACATTGGATGCAACCTCGCTCCACTAGCGAGGTTGTTCTATTTAATAAACTCATTCAAATAAGAATTGTAAAAAAAAAAACATACCTCGGACCTTTTTCTAGATAAAAAGGACCAAATGTCCAGCATGATTGACCAATGGAATGGTAAACTTTTTAATTCCTTGAGTTGAGGGAATGTTTCCTCGTTTGCTCAAATACTATCTAAATAGCAATGAAAAGTTAAAAAAGAATACGACACCATTCGTGCAATTAAACATACAACTCTATAAATACCATATGTACTAAGGAGACATTTCCTCAAGGGATTAGAATCCAACCCTCTGCTCCCTCCTCCCAGTAGATAGGTTTAACATATGATGCGGGGTTAAATACTTGTCGATGATATGGCCCCGGGGGTACCATGCTTAAAGGGGAAAGGTCGCTCTCGACATCCACGTGGCTTTTCCCCGAGGGGTCGGGCCGTAGCCGCCCCTCTCTAGCCTGAGGGGTTGGGCCACCCCGACCCCTTGGGACAGTCACCATGTGGCCGTCATGCGGGGGTGGCTAGGTGGACGCCACTTGACACTCACCTAACCGCATTTAGTGAGGGCAGAGCGGGTGTGCCACGCCGCATTTAATGCGACGTGCCGCTCGCATGACCTAATCGTGACCGGTGCGTGATCGGTTGAAGTGACAGACGAGACAACGGCAAGCCACGCGCACTCTGCCCGGGTGTCAGGCGGCATGCGGTGGGTATGCCTTGTCTCGTCAAGATGATGAGAGGTACAGTGCCTCTCAACCGTTCAGGGCTGGCTTGACCGCCCTTAACATACCCGGGATAGCGTTCCTGGCACTTCCACACCCCAAATCCACATCTATTAAATGGTGAATGACGGGGATCCTCCCCGTGTCGGCCTGCGTCAGCCGGCATGATTTGATGGGCCCCGCACGACAGCCGATGCCTAGGTGGCTTCCAAGCTGTAGCGCAAGACACACATTTAATATAGGGAATTGTTACCCCCCCTTTTCACCGAGCGGCACACCTGGTGCATGTGAGAACCCCTTGAAGTATAAAAGGAGGTTCGAGTCCAGGGAGGGGGGAGAGGGAGCTAGAGTGAGAACGCTTTGTCCTAGCTTGTACACCAGAGATTCAGAGACTTTCAAAACTCAGAAAAATCATCATACACAGAGTAGGGTATTACGTTTCTTAGCGGTCCGAACCTGTATAAATCCCTTTGGTCTCATCCTCTTCATTGAGGGCCCAACCCCCTCGATCCCTTCCAATCTTCTCAGTTCCTCGATCTACACTCGCTGCCCCCGCCCGAACTAACGAAGGAGGGGCCTCACGGTCCCCCGCTCGAGGAGTTCACCCTTCGACAATACTGATCTCAGCCATGATTATCTCATGTATAAAGTGCATAAGCAAGTTGTATGACTGCAAATTGAGTAAAATAGGGAGAATAAGTGAAGAGAAATCTTGAGCCAAATATTTTAGGAGTTTCCCCAAAAAATTATACATAAATCCCATATTATAGGAGTTGAGAGCAACATTGTGTTTGATGTGTATTTTTACAAGTTTTATTAAGTGTTATTTATATTTATTGTCAAACAAAACTCCCGTAGCAATAAGCGGGTTTCACCTAGCATACGTTTATAGATGTGTGTATTAGTAGTGTATGATTGTGTTTGGGAAAAAGAGAGGAGTAGGGGTGGGGTGGGGTTGGGAGTGAGAAAATTGACATTTAGCCATCTTCAGGATGGGGTTTCTCTGGAATGCCACTCCCGAATATGGCTTCGTTATAATGCCATTGTCAAATGAAGCCAACTTACTATAATGCCATTTCAACCATTTTAACTGATTTCCAAATGTTTTCCATCATTCTCTGGCATATTTGCCCCTAGTCATTTTGTTGACTTTGCAGGGGAAAGAAGAAAGGGGATCGATCCCCATCCAGTCGCCGGCGGTGGAGCGTAGCGGCGGCGACGGGGCGTAGCTGCGAGTCGGTGGCCGCCGGCTCCTCGTCCTCGTCACCACCACCACGCCAACATCCATCGGCTCGCCGTGGGCGTGACGGAGAGGGCGAGGAGAGAGGAGCGGAGCTCGCCGTGCGCGCGACGGAGGCGACAAGCGTGGTGAAGTGGTGGGGAGTTGCGGGAGGGAGGCATAGGGGACGCCGGCGAGGCACTCGAGGAGGAGGTCGTCGAGGAGGATGGAGATGGGGGTCGGCGATGAGGTGGGTGGTGCCGGCGCGGCTGGCGACGGGGACGGCGCCGACGTGGGTTGGGGAAGGCTGCTCGGCTCAGCGGCGCCATCTGCATCAGCGTAGAAGAACATCCCACCTGCCCCAACCATGTCGGCGCCGCCGCCGTCCCCGTCCCAGTCGCCGCCGTCCCCATCCCCAGCCATGTCGCCGCCTTCCCGTCCCCATCCGCGTCGCCACCGTCCCCGTCCGCACCGCCGCCTTCCCCATCCCCAAGCGCGCCGCCGCCTTCCCCGTCTCCGGCCGCGCTGCCGCCGTCTCCGTCTCTAGCTGCGCCGCCGAGCCGAACGGAGAGGAGGAAGACAGAGAGGAGAGATGAGATAGGATAAGGGTATTTTGGTCATCTCAACAAGAAAAACATTACAAAAAACATTAAACTGAGAAGAAATGGATGGAATGGCATTGCAACAAGTTGCCCCTGTTTGAGGGTGGCATTTTAACGAAACCACTTTTGGGAGTGGCATTCCAGCGAAACCCCGTTTTGACAATGGTTAAATGTCAATTTTCTCGTTGGGAGTTGGGAGGGATGGGTGGTGCATCAAGATTGATGCAAGGAAGGAAGGAGCAGTGGTGAGGAAGGAAGATGCTATAAAATGGGGGCATTGGTTCCTTGAGAGCTGGAGCCTGGACCTGGAGGAGCGGTGCGTTCTCCTTCTCCCTCCCCGGCCCCTAGCCGCCGCACCCCCACCCTCGCCCGCCTCTCGCCGTCGCCGGAACGGAAAATCATGGGCGCGGAGGCAGAGCACCGCATGTCTCCCTCCCCCGCTCCCGCTCCCGCTCCCCCTACCCCTGTTGGGAGGACCGACGGCGACGCCCCTCCCATGGTGCTGGGCCTGCAGCTGTCGGCGCTCATCGACCACGTCGCGCGCGTCGACTGGTCCCTCCTCAACCGCATCCCCGGCGACCGCGGCGGTTCACAGCAGGTACCTCCTCCTCCCTACCATACAACTAACACGCATAATTCACCTCAATTTCTTTGCTCTGTAACTGTCTGTAACTCTATGTTAATTGATCCTTCTGAATATGTATAACTGGTTACTATTCTCACCACAATATATACGTATTATACTATACACACAAGTCCTTTTAATCTTAGTTACATCCCATAGTAGGAGTACTATAAACTAGTACGTATTCCCTTTGATTGAATCTATCTAGGAGAGGAGTACTCCTAGACAACAAAAAGTTCAAACCATGTACCTTTCAGGAGTCAGATTTGACATGGTCCTTACTGTATTTTGGTTGGTTACATGCTGCAGCTACATTGAATTTAGTGTTGCTTTCGCTCTCAAAACTTGGGTAACGAATCAGTCTTTGCCTCAACTGTCAAACGCGGTTTCAAAACATCTTTCATGTTGCTCGCTCACACTGATTGGTCTATCAATCAGCCATGTCATTTGACATTATCTCATAGTACTAGGCAAAAAGCTTATGCTGACGAACCACTGAATCATTGACTTTTCGTTGCAAAGATACTCCTAGATCAAGTAGCCGGCTCAAAAACATTACTATCTTATTTCAGCAGTTGTTGTGCCCTTGTCACCTATGTGCTCCACAAAAGAAAAAGTAGACACAAAAGCTACTACTTTGGATGATCTTGCCCCAAACATTCAGCACCTTTTATTGTGGGTCTTGCTGACTCCTCCTATCCTCCATACAACATGCTACTTAAGTTAAAAATTTGCTGTAAATTTGGTACCGTTCGATCCCAGCTTTGACTTTAAATATCTCAATCTGGCATTTTCATGTTATCTAAATTATGCATAACCAATTAGAATTCGACACTTGGAATCGGTTGTGACACACTTCACTACACTTCTCTTTTCAATACCTTAACTCCACCTATCATTATGTCTATCAAGTTATCTATTCTCTCTTATCGTGGGGCTGCACCAGGAGATTCTACAAGTCATCATACTTAATCCTTGTGAATGCCCATGTTGCTTTAGCATAAGCACAGCAGCAGGTTGTATATATTTAGTTTCCTTTCCACAAACGCACATGGGCACATGTGCAGGGGAATATTTCCATGTTATTAAAAACATGTCTCTGAGAAAATTTATTAGAAGGAAATTAATGAAGATCCCGTGTTGATAGTTGGCATCATTTCACTTATTCTTAGGGTCGTAGCTCAGCAGCTGTTGGGAGGTTGAAGAATGATGGCCCTGCCCTTTGATTTATGTTTTGTTTCATTTGCCTATATCATGTATTGGCTTTGTTTGGAGGCCTGGCCTCGCTACATAGTGAAAAAATAAACATGTAGAGAGAAGGTTACCAAACATTGCTAAAGAAGCCAGGGAAGAGTGCTGTTACATTATGTTTCTTTCTGAATTCCACTTGTCATTTTATTTTGTGATGTACAGGTCTGTATTGAGGAGTTGAATCATATTCTGGCTGAAGTGAATGCTCAAATCCTCCCTTGCCGTGATGACCTTTCTTCAATAAGGACTATAGCCGGTGGTAGTGTCGCCAACACAATTCGAGGTCTCTCAGCAGGTTTTGGGATATCAACTGGAATAATTGGAGCTTGTGGAGATGACAGCCAGGGCGTTTTGTTTGTCAGCAACATGAGCTTTAGTGGAGTAGACCTCACAAGATTAAGGACAAAAAAGGGGCACACTGCTCAGGTAGTCTAAAATCTGAAGCCAATATCTATCTATTTTTTGCCCTTATTTTGCTGCTTAGTGGATAAGGCTGAAAATAATACCTATTATAGTGTGCATGCTTGGTCGATGCAAGTGGCAATCGCACCATGCGCCCTTGCCTATCTAGTGCAGTCAAGCTCCAGGTAACCCTTGCTTGATGCAGTCTTACACTGTTACTTTTCTCTTAACAGTCGTAGGCTTGATACGATCATTTACTCATTAACAGGCCAACGAGTTCAAAAAGGAGGACTTCAAAGGCTCCAAGGTGGTCCTTTTCCTCTTACGCCACATTCTGTGCACACAAATTCCAGCATATGTTACCATCACACAAAAAATCTTACTATGTCATAATAAATATGTTTATTTTTTGACATGGAATGTTTTTGTCATCATGATGTAATGCAGTGGTTGGTTGTACGATATGCAAGACAGAACATGGAACAGATCCTTGAAGCTATTAGGATTGCTAAACAAGAAGGTCTCTCAGTATCATTGGATTTGGCTAGTTTTGAGGTCTGACCGCAGCTCATTGGTACCGTAAGGTCTTTTTTTGGTACAGGCACCAGTCTGATTTTGTTTATTTATTACACAGATGGTTCGTGACTATAGGACACAACTCATTGACCTTTTGGAAACTGGCAACATTGACCTTTGCTTTGCCAATGAGGATGAAGCTAGAGAGCTTCTAGGGTGATACCCTCATCGCCTTATTGTTTCAGATGTTCTTCAGTGAGTGATACCTATTATAGTATATCTGATGTGTGCGTGTTTTTTCAGGGGAGAGCTGACATTTGATCCAGAGGAGGCACTTGCTTTCTTGGCCAAGTACTGTAAATGGGCCGTGGTGACCCTAGCTTCTAAGGGATGCATAGCGAAGCATGGGAAGCAGGTGAGATCAAGGTTATTGTGATGTACTACAATAGCAATGTTATTTGGGATGTTATTGTGATGCATACTAGTATTTGATACACATGCATGATGCATGGTTCAGAGTTGAGAATGGTTTCCTTTGCAGTTTGTTTGAGCAACAAGAAGGCGGCTTTGTTAACATGTAAAGTGAAAAATAAAATGCAGGTGGTTCAAGTGGCGGCAACCGGGGAGAGTAATGCGGTGGACGCGACGGGGGCGGGGGATCTGTTTGCGAGCGGGTTCCTGTACGGGTTGGTGAAAGGGCTGGCATTGGAGGAGTGCTGCAAGGTAGGGGCGTGCAGCGGTGGGTCAGTGGTGAGGGCTCTGGGCGGGGAGGTGAGGCCGGAGAACTGGCAGTGGATGTACAAGCAGATGAACGCCAGTGGCCTGCTGCTCCCTGACCTCAAGAACTGAAGAAAAAGAAAAAAGGGCTTGCCTTTTACTTGTCAAGCTTCCAAGAAAGAAACAAAGATTCAGACCATGGTCATTGATGGCTTGATTGTTTGTTAGTTAGACCTCCTATGCTCGGTTTCTTTCTTTGTTTCTTAATTTGTGAGATGAGATGAATGGAATGGATGGTGGTAACCTGCACTGCACTACAAGTCTCGCTGATTATTCAATTTGCTCGAGAAAACTCATATATATATATATAGTATAATAAAGTAACATAAAAGTTTGGATGTATGAAAATCTGAACGTGTTTGTTGTCAGCTGTCACCTCACCTGTGTGCAGAGTCTTAAAAGTAAACTAGAGACTACTAGTACCAAATTACGATCAATCATTTGCTGAGCTCGTGAATTCTGTCTGGTTCAATGTTTTGCAAAAGGAGGTTCTTTCACTTCTCCGCAGCAGGCAGCAAGATGATGTTTGGTTTTTATGATTGGTGGATACGTAGAGTGGATTGTGAGGTTAGAAAAGGTGTCAATTCCTTTATCATGCTATGCTAGGAGCTGGAGCCTTGTCGCTTGCTTGCTAGGGAGGAGGTGGGGTCTGGCCGGGGCTAAGGACATCTTCTTCTTTCTTCTTGCCCCTTGTGCCAGACCAGACGGAGAACAGTGATCAACTGTTTAGTTTAGTTAGCGCTTACTTATCTTTTTCTTTTTATTGTCTTGTTCTCGTGCGTGTTGAAAAAAAAAAAGATTGTCTATGGGTAATCCGGCTGAAAATTTCAGCCGAATTTGTAGCCTTACAATCAGCCAAGTCAGCACCCGCGCGTGCGACTCCGTCCAGGCCTTATTGGGCTGGATTTTGTGCTATGATGGGATTTGAGGCGGCTTGGGCCCAGTACAGTTGATAGGCCGGAAGTAATAGGCTTGTGGGCCTCGGCCCATACATACATCGAGAATCTTCTTCCTTTTTGTGCCGTTCTCCACGAGTCCTCCTCTTCTTCTTCTTCTTCCTTCCTCCTCCTTCCCAAGGCCAAGGCCAAGAAGAAGAAGAAGGGTGTGTTTAACTTTAACACCGGGGGTGGAACGGCCGCCGGCAGCGGAAGAAGATCCAGCCAATTCAATCCAATCCAATCCAATCCTCAGGTGACCCTCACCCTCGCTCGCCATTTGTCTTGTGAGTTGTGAATTCGAATTTGTAATTCTCCATATCCCCATGCAGGCTGCGGAGCGGAGGAATCAATTCAATGTCTTCCTCCGCCGCCTTGGCCTTGGCCTTGAGGAGGGCCACCTCCTCCGCGCACAAGCAGAAGCAGAAGCAGGCCCTCGCCCTAACGGATGCCGCCGCCTCTCGAATACGCCAACTCCTCAGCCTCCGCCACAGACCCTACCTGCGCCTTGGCGTCAAAGCACGCGGCTGCAATGGCCTCTCTTACACCCTCAACTACGCTGGTAACTCTTCACTTCTTCTTTTCTCTCTCTTTCTTCCACCCAACCTACTACTAGCATGCGCCTGCCTGCCTTCTTCTTTTTGTTCAATCAGGCCATTTCTTATCAAATAAAAATGGGCCAATCAATATTCTCTCAATATGGTTGACATTTAGGCCTCAATATTCTTTCTCTCTTGTCGAATTTAGACGTTATATCCATTTGGGATTAGTGGCCCATCTATGCTATGCATTGCGAGTCTCATTTGGTCAAACATCCTAAAAACCCTGCTAATGTTCCTACAACTCCGATCGGCCTTTCCTACATAACATAACCATTATTACATTAGTAATTACTCCCTCCGTTTCACAATGTAAGTCATTCTAGTATTTCCCACATTCATTAGCATCAATATGAATGTGGAAAATGCTAGAATGACTTACATTGTGAAACGGATGAAGTATCTATTATTGGTCAAACCAGTGTAGGAATATCAATCCCTATTTGCAGGCCTTTACATATTGAGTTTATGATTCTTATCAACTAATTGATTTTTATCTTCAGCTCATATCCATGTTTGATATCCTTACCATGCCTTGTTAGGATACTTTCACATCTAATGTTAATATGTTTTCTTCTTTTTGCGTGGAATCTAATGTTTATATCTCATTGCTTCTTTTTGCGGGGAATCTAATGTCATATCTTATTGCGCTACTCTGTCAAACATTGCCCGTGTAATGATAAACTTAGGTCCTGTCCTGTCTTTCAATCATCAAGAATACCATTACTATTTGCAAAATGTTTGTAGAAGCTGACGCTGTCTCTGTTTCTTTGTAATATTTTCTCTATATAGATGTCAGTAATTTCCCCATTAATTAGTGGATATCTTCCTTTTTGTGAACTGAATCATCATCTCCATTGTCCAACGGCTACATGTTCCTCTTCCTCTACTGCTATTATGTTTTTATTTCTATTCATGCTAAAGAGCGAAATATCTGTTTATTCAGATGAAAAAGGCAAGTTTGATGAGGTTGTTGAAGATAAAGGAGTTAAAGTACTAATCGATCCCAAGGCTCTGATGCATGTCATCGGCACCAAGATGGATTATGTTGATGACCCGCTAAGGTTTATGATTTGTGCACAACATTTCCTCCTCTCTACTTATTACCTCCTTTCACTACCTTACGGAGGCTTCTCCTGTAGGTCTGAATTTGTGTTCATCAATCCAAATTCCAAAGGGGAGTGCGGCTGTGGTGAATCTTTCATGACTACAAGCAGCAAGGGATCTACATCTTGAATAACGGATAGTGATGGGGGTAGTACGTGAGGTAAACAGAGCTAAATATGTCGAGGCTTCAGCTACCACTTTTCTGCTTTATAGCTTATTATTATTACATTGGAAGTACATAGCTCAACAGTGGTTGTAATAGATGCAATTGTGTGAACCCACCTCAACTGTGTTCTTTACATTGGGGGGGGGGGGTATGTGTTCTTGGTTTCTGTTGTTTGTTTACATGTGATTAATGAAAGAAACGAACCACGTTTGGTTCAGACACATCTGACGTGCTCATTGTGAAGTGGAGACTAGCTAATTCAAGTAGCTAGCTAGAGTTGTGTTTTGCTGCAAGAAAAAAAAGTATGATCTGGATGTCACATATCAGACAGGTCTCTGCTCTGGCTACTTGACTGCTGTAGTATATGATGTGTGCCTGAGCAAAGACCAAATTCTTAACAAAGAGGAGACATACACACCAGACAAAAGCAGAGGAATCGGATACTGAGATCCTCCAGCCGAGTCCAGTAATGTTGCTCAGTTTGATGAGTAGTACAACTTTGTGTGTTGGATCTGCTGTAGCTAGCTAGCTAGATGAGCTGACATTGTTGTATAGTACTCCTAGCTAGTAGTATGAATCTGTGATAGATTAGTTCAGTTTCCTCTGAAATTGGGTGGAGGCCAAACCCCATTCTCGTTGGTGACGTAGGAGGTGCACGACAGGGGCACCAGGCAGAGTCCTCTACTTCGGAGGTCAAGCTTTGCTGCTGCGTCCCCTCCATTTGACGTCCCCTTCTAATTGATTAATTAATCAATTGACACCAAGCAAACATGACAGGTCAGTTAACATAGTTTTAATTTCTCTTCTGAAACTAAATGAACAGAAAAGTTTATCTTTTTACCCGTTGTTGTTGTGCTGCCCTGCAGGCTAATTTCTTGCTGTTCTTGGATGATCTCAGGTATGGACCGCTCAAAGTCTGCTTACATTGCAATGTTTTATTATTATTTTTTTGCAAAACAGCACAGGAACAATTAATTCTCAGCTCAGGCCAAAGATTAATTCACAGGTAGATGTGCATTGTTACATACCTCAACTTGGTCCTGAAGAAATTTGATGTAACCGATGGCCTCCATGAGTACCGATGCGGTATCAGTCTGCATCTCATCATTTTAAAATCAAATTCTATCAAAGGGTGATTATATAATTACAGAAACTGGTAATGCATTCATTGATTGTTTGTTACATACCTTACCAAAGGGTGAGACCAGTTGCTGAAGGGCGGCAATTCTATCCCCTAGTTTCTCTTTCCTTACCTATAATAATTAGTTGAATTAGGATATGCATTACCATTGTCCAATGTTCATGCAGAGCAGATAAATGATCAAACATCGATCGGTCAGATCGATCTTTGTATGTGTATATACGGACCTTGAATGAAGGAAGCATTGAGGAGGAGTGTGACTCGAGCCGGGGCTTCTTTGACGATGGCGGCAGCGCTGTTGATGATCTGTGCTCCGTTGAACTCCCATGGCGGCCACCTCTCCCTTGAGCTGCTGCATTCGTATTCCTCTTCATCTGCATGTGTAGGTACACAAATTGACCTGCTTGTTAAATTGCTTACGTATTGAGCTTCCAAGTAATTAAGCTAGTTTCATCACTGCAAGTAAATATAATTATGTGTTGCAAACTGAAGTACCACTGATCAACTCCAGTCCAGGATGCATGTTGCTGCAACTGATGCATGTTCAATGTAGTACCAGTACTTTTTGGGGCAAAAAGATGACGCATGTCACCCTTAAAAGCTGCATATGTGCAGAACAAAAGGCTGTACTTTTTGTGAATGGACCGGGCCTAGCTAGCTAATTGGTTCAGGCAGGCCGGGAAAGCAAAATTACCTAACTAGCTAGCTTGCTGCTACTGTTTCAGCTGTGTCACCTAAGCTTGCTGCACATATATGCTTATGCTGTCCCCAGTTCATTACAGACAAATGGTCCTACAATTAACAACTCACAGGCTTTTGCCAAGCACAAACATGTTCTCTTGTTCTCTACTCTGCCCAAGACATGCAGATCGTTCCCTTACGTACCAGTTAAGCTAATTAAGCTAGCTAGCTAGCTTGCTGACAGTATATCTAGGAGACATCTGAATCAGGGCAAATGCATATAAATATGTATCTGTCTTACAAGGGCACTACTGAATATACTTCAAATTGGCACTCCGAGATACTGATTCATGCATTTTAGCCCGTCAATGCTAATTAATTTCGTCATATATTTGACCATGGCAGGATAATATATATATGTATGTATCGAGATCCGTCAAAACCTGATATGTCACAATCATGACAGAGACAAAAGTTAATTATCATCATGCCTGATGTGTAAGTATTTGCATGTGTAAGTATAGGCTGAAAATGCATGCATGTTCCTAATTACTAGTTTGGTTATCACTTATCACCATTATTAGCTTAATCAGTTCCAATATGTCTACAGTAACAATTAAGTGTTAGTCAGACAGTTTAGCACGTACTCCTCCAAGGACCATGTACTATATGAGAAGAGAAGGCAATTAATTAAGCTAGCCAGCTGGATTAATTAATGTATAACTAGTGCATAAATGCTGTGATTATGTACTGACCTGCAGGGTGTTGGATGGTCCTTGAATTAGATGAGCAGGAGGGCCAGCATAGGGGCAGGGCACATGCTCATCTCTTATGCTGCTATGGCCGACCACTGCAGCAGCAGCAGCCTGCCTCTTGCAACATATCTGCAGCGGCTCATCGCCGGCGGCCAGCTTCTGCAGCCGCGAGACGTTGATGCTCGGGAGCACAGCGCCGTCCAGATGTAGATGCGGCGGAGGAAGAAGCGTGGTGGCGCTGCATGACCTTGGATTGCTGATTAGGGATTGATCAGGACGTGGCCGTAGCTCCTCCTCGTTCATCATCACATTACTATTATTATTCGTGGAGCTTGCAATACTATGTTGATCTGCTGGCGCAGCGCAGCTGCTCCATTGGAACCCTAGCTCCTGCATCATTAGCACCGTGCTGAGTTGATGAGCCTGCAGATGGGGGCTTAATGTCGGAGGAGCAGCAGCTGCCAGCTGACTTTCAACTGATTGGAGTGATTCAAGCTCATATGAGCTTAACTGATCAGTACTGCTGCTTCTGATCAAGAGAGAAATTAAGAAAATCGAGTCAGATATTAATTACTTAATTTGTTATTATCACTGGTATCATCTATCTACCAGATTATTATGAGATATACAGACCTTGATCATGCATGACAAAAGGAACAAAGGTAATGCGAGCGGATGGAAGCTTTTTACATCAAGGAAACCAACAAATCAATAAGCCTAGCTAGATCCATGCTGCCAATATAATTAATGCACACATTGTTTCCTCTGAAGTTGTCATTTTGTTGTGCTTGCTACAATTCCCCAGAATCTCAGAAGGAACAAGGAGGTAGCAGACAAGAAGCCAGAGAAGAAAATCCAAATCCTAGGAATCCCAGGTGCATGATCTACAATACAAACTCAAAAGACATACATATAACTTCATTTTCGATCCTTTTCAGAGGGAACAACATATATGCATGAACAACTCAAAGAAAAGATGCATGAATAAACTATATCTATATATAAATATGTATGTGTGTGTAAAGCTATATATCTTACAGCATTGGAGGCTGGCTCCATTGGTGGTTCAATCCAAAGGTGTTGGGAGCAGGAGCAAAGGGCATGGAAGGCCATGGGATCAGGTCATCTTGCAAGAGATGATTATCACAGAGGCTGGAGGAGGAAGAGGAGGAGGCCATCATGATGATGATACTAAAAGGTTTATAATGATGATGATCTTTTTATTTGATGTTCCTTCCAAGAGAGTAAGAAAAGATAGGCCACACACGCACACATTGACACATGATCGATGCACGTACTACTACTAGCTACTGAATGAGCTTTTAGAATCTCTCAACAACATGCATGTGTGTAAAAGGAGAGAAGAAGTATACTATTGACTATTGAGATTGGGAAATAATGGATCCAGGTGCCCATAAGCTAAGGCTTCCTCGCCGCTTTCTCTCTTTTTATATTGGTTGGTAACTTTGTTCCCATGCCATGCCTCCTTACAGTAGTTAAGTTACAAAGGCAACTCAGTATCAAGAGACATCTGCAACTCTCTCTCTCTCTCTCTCTCTCTCTGTACTATCGTCATAGTTGGGATTTCTGTCTTTAGATCCATAAGCAGATGCTTGCATGCATGATTGACCAATTAATATAGATTGCTGCATGACTAATTAACTGTGTTGCCCTTCAAATTCAGAAAACAGCAAGCAAAAAGTAATGCAATTATTCATCGTGGCATCTATGACCTTGTAAGGCCTGTTTGATAGAGTTCCAACTCCTAAATTTAGCTTCAGGAGTTGAGTCTGGAGTAGAGTTGTGGAGCTGTCTAAACTCAGCTCCACCTCTCTAGTTCATTTTGTGTGAGAGAGTTCCACCCAACTCTACTCCCATTTAAGCTGAACTCTGAAAAAGGTGGAGCTGAAGTTGGAACTGTACCAAACAGGCCTGTAGTATAAACTGATCGACATCTGTGACAAGTCGATACATATACAAGGGCGGAAGCAGGAATGGAAGTGAAATACAATTCACAGAATAATTTGGTCCATGGACGATATTGTGTGGTAAAGGTTAGTGAGGGTCAAGAGTCTATTGCAGCGAGTACAATAGCAGATTATAAGTCAGTTGTATGCACATGTGGAGGAGAGAAGTGAAGAGGGAGAAGGAAAGCGGGCTACAGATCTGTAGCCAGCAGCAGCACGGAGGATTCCAATACGTTGTGTGTGTAGTATATGCTTATAGGTAACTATTGTATGAATAAGTTATTAGATTGGTTATAAATGAATTGGAGTTTGTAGTAGTTGGTTGTAGTATTAAACTTGCTCTTACTCAAGTAAGGAAGTAAAAATTTACGTCTTTGCCCCTGCTCAGTGTAAAATTGACCCCTGAGCACGGTGATGATCCAGAACAACGCCTTCTCTCCCTATCGAGATATCGTCCAACATCTCACGAATTGAGATAATTAAGGAACAAGATGTTCTCTGACTCTATCCCATCGATCATCAGTGATATCAAGCTAACCGTGTTTAGCTAGGGCGGAGAACAATGCATGCAACGAGCTCGCCGGCAAGCTTCCGGCCGACATCGATCGATCGATCGACGACCTCACCGTTTAATTTGTCAATGCCCGGCCGGTAATTGATCTGAATAGCTGCAGGCATACATGCGTCGATGAAGCAGGAGCTAGCTCCTGGAGAATTCAATTTGCTCAACTTGAGCAGCATGCAACCGGATGCATGGCGAACTTCGGGACTCTCTCGGTGTCCTCTTATATATCGATCCTTACATAGCTAGATCATTATCCTTGGGCGTACTCTCGTTTAATTTTGGATGACGTCCACGTTCATTACATGCCTGCCTGGTAAGTGAAATACTCCCTCCATCTACTTTTGATAGTCATATTTCCAAATCTGAAAATTTTATTTTTGATAGGCATATTTCAATCCAACAACCTATCATCTTAATGACTTTCTCGGATTTAATGCGTGACTCTTCATTGTTCCACACATGATTGGTTACATGAGCATTGAGAAATATAAATATTAATGAATCGCTTGTTTACTAGTAGTATGTTTAAATGGATGATAAGTAAAATTACTTATCCTTGGTCTATGTGCCATGATGAAATATAACTATCGATTACTAGCTAGCTAGGGTACGCAAATTAATTAATTAGAGATCAGTAGGGTGTGTGACATTGTAGGAGAAGATCAAGATGGCCTAAATAATTAGGGAGAGTATTATCTGATCTTTTGGGCTTCCAACTAGTAGTATATACTTTATGTAGCTTTTGAAATAAAGGGACGAGAGATAGCAGTAGTTCCGGTCCTTTTCCTCAGAAAAGGGACCTCTTTGTGATCTCGGTAATTGTGATGTAGTATATGATTCCATGCATACATATGGCTTAGGGTGCATAAAGTTAAAGTTGGTCTCAGCAGCAGCAGCAGCACGCTAGCTAGCTGGCCCTTCTTCCTTCTCCAGTTCTCTGGTCCTTCGGCCTCCAACCATAAAAATTAAATTAAACCGGATAATATATACCCCACAATCCTAAAATATAATAATCTATAATTAAATGGAACACATTATAGTCACATAAATCTGAATAAGACTATAATGTTCAGATTCATATATAAATATGTTCCGTTTATTTGTAGATTGTTATATTTTGGAATGGATGCACTAATATTATAGTATGCACGCACGAACTTGTGCTTCACACAGCATTGCCTGTCCTAGCTACACCTCGAGAAAACATGCATGCATGCATGTAGCCAATATATATAGACAAGCTAATATATATATCTACTCTGCAATAAACAGGAAGACTGATGGATGATCAGATGGAGCCCCAGAACATATATCGATCGTCCATTGATGCATGTCATGTCACTGGAGAAAGGCCGGTTGGGCAGCCATATATATGAGCAAAAGCTAGAGATCGACACTGATCTGCTGCAGCTGCATCTTTCAGTGTGTATGTATGGGCAGATGCTATATTAGAGCAGGTACAATAGCAGGCTATAAGCCAGCTATAACCATATTTTAAAGAGATAAAGGAAGAGAGAGAAGAGCAGCGGGCTATACATCTGTAGTCAGCTGCAGCACGGACTCCAAGACGTAATGTGTGTATGACAGGTAGGACCAGGTATTAATAGTATAGTAAGCAACTATTATATGAATTGACTATTACATTGGCTATAGATGATTTGGAGCCAGTAGTTGGCTATACTATTAAACTTGCTCTCAAACTATAAATCTCCTTAATTTACTTCCTTGGCCCTATATATATATATATATATATATATATATATATATATATATATATATATATATATATATATATATATATATATATATATATATATATGCATAAATGATCGACCTTACTTAGCTCCTACATGCATTTCAGAATAATATCAAGACGTGTCGATCGATGAGATTAAGTACTCTCGATGCATGGGGGTCAAGCTTAGGGCCAGTTTAGTTCCCAAAATTTTTTCCCCTTCACCCATCGCATCGAATCTTTGGACATATGTATGGAGCATTAAATGTGGACAAAAAGAAAAACCAATTGCACAGTTTAGCTATAAATCGCGAGACGAATCTTTTGAGCCTAATTAGGCCATGATTAGCCATAAGTGCTACAGTAACCCACGTGTGCTAATGACGGCTTAAGTAGGCTCGAAAGATTCGTCTCGCGGTTTCCAGACGAGTTCTGAAATTAGTTTTTTCATTTGTGTCCAAAAACACTTCCGACATTCGGTCAAACGTCTGATGTGACACCCAAAAATTTTCTTTTCCCCAACTAAACCCACCCTTAACATACATCGATCACATCAGTATAAAAAGGAGAGACATATGTACTGTATATAAAGATGAGCTAGAGATCATATATTCATATGGAGAGCCAGAGCCATGCATGCATCGATCTTAATTAAAGAAATGAAAGGTAACATCGAAAGGTATCGGGAGAAAGGAAAGGGAAAATAAAGAGAAAAAGGCAAACAATAAAAAGGGAAAGGAAAAATGTACTCGATCACCTCCAAAAGTTCCATCAAATATGTCGTACGTAGCTTTAAGCGCATCTAATCCATCCATCACTTCTTCTCTAAAGGCCTACTAGCTAGCTCTCGCGCTACCTCTATCAAATAGTATATGTATCTTTTGATTAATTATTATTACTCCATCCGTCCCAGAATATAGCAACCTAGTACCGGATGTGACATATCCTATTAATTCGTAGTAATAGGATATGTCACATCCAGTACTAGCTTGCTATATTCTGGGACGGAGGGAATATTACAGAGAGTTCTGCTTTAATTAATTGCTGCTTTTATGCATTAGATGGACGGGAATGGAAAAACGGAGGAATAGAAAAACATAGGATTCTGACAGGAATGCAAGTGTAAAATAGAAGATTGCAAAACACAGGAAAAACACAGGAATGAGGGCCCATTTGAATCGCAGGATTGAGAAAACGTAGGAATAGGAAAAACACAGGATTTTGATAGGAATGCAAGTGTAAAACAGAGGATTGCAAAACGCAGGAAAAACATAGGAATAAACGTTTGATTGAACCGCAGGAAAAACGTAGAAATTGGATGAGAGAGATAGACTCAAAGGAAAGTTACCAAGAGGTTGAAGCTCTTGCTAAATTTCCTCCAAAATCTCTATAGGATTGTCCATTCCATAGGAATTTCAAAGGATTGGATTGGATTCAATCCTTTGTTTCAAATGGCTTCATAGAAAATTTTCCTATAGGATTGAAATCCTTCAAAATTCCTATGATTTTCCTCCAAATCAAAGGGGCCCTCATGATCGTTTGATTGGACCACAGGAAAAACAAAGGAATCGGATGAGAGAGATAGACTCAAAGGATTTTTTCCAAGAGGTTGGACCTCTCGCTAAGTTTCCTCCAAAATCTATATGCAATAAACCATTCCATAGGAATTTTGTAGGATTTGGAAAACTTCAATCCTTTGAATCAAAGGGATACATAGGAAAATTTCCTATAGGATTTCAATCCTATAAAATTCCTTCATAATTCCTTTGATTCAGGGCCCCTTTGAATCGCAGGAATGGAAAAACTGAGGAAAAACGTAGGATTCTGACATGAATGCAGGTGTAAAACAGAGGATTGGAAAATACAGGAAAAACACAGGAATGACCGTTTGATTGGACCACAGGAAAAACGCAGGAATCGGATGAGAGAGATAGACTCAAAGGAATTTTTCCACCTCTTGCTAACTTTCCTCCAAAATCTCTACAGGATTAGCCATTCCATAGGAATTTT